GTTTGTTGAGGAGAAGATGGATCGCCGAGTGCATACTGGTGATCATAGTTGTCTGCGCCTCAATTTGATGCCTCAGTGTATCCACTGTTCTCCGGAGTGTGGTCGTTTGCTCTTCGAGGATTTCAATCCTGTCGGTGGGTGGGCAGATTCGGCTGGTGGCATGTCTAATGGCCCAGGTAATGTAATTCAGGTCCGTCTGGGTGTGCGTGTCCTGGGGGACAATGCTCGGGTAGAGGTAGTCGACTCTCGGTTGGTAGGGGTCGTTATAGTCGGATTCTGTTGCAAAGGTCGAGGAGAATTCTTGTTCCTGAGCTCCGGGTGGGGTTGGGTCGGGAACCTGAGTGTTCCTGTTCTGCGAGGGGGCTGTCCCTTGCTGGGAAGGCTGGGAAGACTGGGTAAAAAAGGACTGGAGCGAGGCTTGCTGCGACATGATTGAGTGTCCAGTTCTTCTGGCGGCGTAGAGTGATGTTTCGGATAGATTTCTTTTCCTTCCCTTCGGGAGGTCAAGACTAGAGAATTCTTCGCTAGAAGCCAGTTTCGTAGGTTTCTTTCGCTTGGAACAACAAAACGCGACCGTACGATCGGGGGCAAAGTGGCTCAGCCTGGTATGGTATACCAGGGTAAACCGAGAGGAGTAAAATAAAAGTGTTTTTAAGGCGAGGTTTGTTATCAGGGAGTTCTTTGCGAGCCTTAGCGAGCAAGTAGAATACAGAGGTTGCATAAAGAGAAAAAGAGAAAGAAAGAGAAACAAGAAATCACAAGACAACGCCCCCCTTATATATCCATACCCTATCCCAATGCTGACTCATACCCTCACATAACAGAAATAGAAAGAACATAATAGAAACTTGCTTCGCTAAACCCAACCACACTACATAATCCTTCTCCCTTGTACCCAGACAACTCACATAGCCAATCCGCCTAGCTGCCGTTACAGACCACTCCCCCCTCTACGGCCTACCTCCTGGTAGGCTTAGGCTTCCGTGGATATCGTTCGTGAAATCGTTTGACAATATCGGTCGAATGTTCGACATCCGACAATGGCTGCCACGAAGCTTCGTCATAACCGGCATACTTAACCAAGTATTCAAATCTTCCTCGACGATTCCTGGAATCCAAAATATTCTCGACTTCCCACTCCTCCTGTCCTTCAACTTCGACCGGCGGTGGTGGTAAATGTTGTTGTCCTGGTAAAGGATCGTTTGCTGCAGATGACAATAAAGAGACATGGAATACGGGATGAACTTTCATAGAACGAGGGAGTTCCAACTCATAGGCATAAGGATTAACGATCCGCTTCACGATATATGGTCCAATGCATTTCTAATCGAGTTTCTTCGAAGGGCGTTTAGTGAGGACATGGCGTGTTGATAAGAAAACTTTATCCCCCACACGATAGTGAGGTGCTGGAGTCCGACGTATATTGGCGGACTCTTTTTGAATCCTTTGCGCTCGAAATAATTCATCCTTTAGAAAATCCAATATATCCTTCATCTCCCTTGCAATACTATTGGCCTGATCCTCCGCTGTCGTCCTACCATGTTCCAAAGGACCAAAAGTCATTCTTGGATTCCTCCCTGAGTTGGCGTAAAATGGAGAGATTCTCGTCGTTTCCGAAGCATGGTTATTTGTTGCAAACTCGGCCATTGGCAACCATCGAACCCAGTCGTCCTGTTGATAAGAAACATAACTTCGCAGGTATTGTTCCATCACAGCATTGATTCTTTCCGTTTGTCCATCCGTCTGGGGGTGAAACGCTGTAGAGAACTTTGGCGATATTTCCAAACGATCGCAAAGGGACCTCCAGAATTCCGCAACAAATTGTGTTCCTCGATCAGATACCATAGTTTCAGGGAGTCCATGTAATTTCCAAACATTATTGATATACAACTTCGCTACTTCTTTTGAATCCGCCTCTTTAGTTGTAGGAATCAGATGTCGCATCTTGGTTAGTCGATCCACTACCACCAATATCGCGTTATATCCATCGCTTTCCAGAAGATCAGTAACGAAATCCACTGATACGTCCCTCCATGGTCCATCGGGTATTGGCATAGGTCGAAGTACCCCATAAGGTGCATTGCGTGGTGCCTTACTACGGGCACACACATTGCAATTCCTAACGTACTGGTCGACATATTTTCGCATCTGTGGCCAGTAGTACTCTCGATTCAGGAGTTCCAAAGTCTTCGCTCTGCCTGGATGGCCTGCCGATGGTTTGTCATGATGTTCCTTTAGGAGCCTTAGTCGAAGATCGTTGTCATCCGGTACATAGAGTGCGCCACGATAAAGTAGCCGACCGTTATTGTCTTCCGTGCATTCGGCAAGCGAAATCTTATTCGAGTGACGGACGCCGTTCCGAAGCATCACGAGTACTTTGTTCGGGAAACTGTCAACTTGATAAGCATTTGAAAACAACTCTTCTACAGTGGACATTCCTTCAGCGGATTCATTTGAAAAAGAACCCGCGAACAAACTTAGCTTTGAATCCAAATTTTTTCGCTTCAAAACCACCTGGCTTTGATGCGTCAACCGTTCATCCCCCTCTTTAGGTAGGTCACCCGACCTCCTAGTCAATGCATCCGGCTTTGCCCCTTGTTTCCCTGGTCTAAATTGAATGACGAAATCGAAACGTGAAAGAAATTCCGACCAACGGGCTTGTCGACGGTTTAATAGCTTTGTTGGCATGAAATATTCGAGATTCCTATGATCGCTGAGAACTTCGATTGGGAATTGTGCCCCTTCCAAATGATGTCGCCATTCCTCAAAACATCGTACAATTGCCAGAAGTTCTTTATCATAGATTTCATAGTTGCATTCCGCAGGGGAATGATTCTTTGAGAAGAAAGCAACTGGATGTAAAATTCCTTCATCATCACGTTGGGACAGGATTGCAGCAGAAACATAGTCGGATGCATCGGTTTCTATTACGATTTTCCGATTCGGATCAAAGTGCGCTAGTATGGGTGCCGTTGTGAACATCTTTTTCAATGTCTGGAATGCCTCCTCCCTCTCATCCGTCCATTCGAATTTAACATTTTTCTTGGTCAAAGCCGTAAGCGGAGCAACAATTTTTGAATATCCTAAAATAAAACGCCGATAGAAATTCGCAAATCCCAGGAATACTTGAACATCATGGAGATTCCTTGGTGTGGACCATTCCAAAACATCGACAACTTTCTTCGGGTCCATTCTATTCCCATCCGGGGGGGGAATAAGGCCGAGATACTTCGTTTCCTGGACCATAAATTCACATTTCTCAGGCTTAAGGTGAACATGATTTTCATCAAGTACCTTCAAAACTTTTTGAATGCGCTCTTTGTGTTCTGCCAGGGTTTCCGAGTAGATAAGAATATCATCTAGGTATGCTGTCACAAATTGGTCGAGGCATGGTCGTAAAATATCATTGATCCAATGTTGGAACGTGGCAGGGGCATTAGCTAATCCGAACGGCATTACAGTATACTCGAAATGTCCATAACGAGTCCTGAACGCCGTCTTCCATTCGTCTCCCTCGGCGACCCTGATTTGGTTATATCCCCAACGTAGATCCAGCTTAGTATAATATTGCGCTTTTGATAGCTTGGCCAGGGTTTCTTTTAACAATGGTAACGGATAGCGATTCTTAATCGTAATTGCATTAAGGCCTCTATAATCCACACAAAGCCGAAGAGTCCCATCACTTTTCTTTACGAATAGTATGGGTGCTCCCGCTGGCGACTCACTGGCTCGAATGAATCCCTTAGGTAGATTTTCGTCAAGGTATTCTCGTAGTGCTTTCAATTCAACCTGGGATAATCCATATGTCGGTCCGTACGGTGGTCGTTTACCTTCCTCCAATACGATCTCAATATCATGTGACGGTCGATGTGGTGGAAGGACTGAAGCATCATATTCTTGGAACATATGGAGACGATGGTGGAACTCCTTTGGTACTAGTTGCTTGACGTCGACGGTGGATTTCTCAACTGCTGAAGCGACAACAGTATGATGTTCTGGTAGAGGAATCGATATTCCATGGACAGTGACTGTCGTTCCACTGAGTGAACAGTGTTGACAACAGCTTTGAGAGTCAAAAACAAGTAAATTTTCCTTCGGCCGAATCGTAACATCGTGACGTCGCATCCAAGGTATTCCCATCACAATTGGATAGTGTCCCAGCTTCGTTACAAAACATGATGCAGTTTCCCGATGACCATGGATATCCAGCAACACATTGACAATATGAGTAATCTCTCCTGACTGGATAGGTCTTCCATCCATAACATCTACCTGGCGAGATTTCCTAAGGGGGGTCATTGCAAGATTGTTGTGACGTACGAAAGATTCATCGATAAAAGCATATCCTGATGCTTCAGTATCAATAAGAGCGTAGGTGGGAATAAAAGAGTCCGGATTCTGAGAGACCGAACAGGTAACAACAAAAGAGTCTTCGGACATCTTATCCTCAGACACAGCAGCAGCAGGGAGAACAGAAACAGGTGGCGGGGCTGGCCCCTTTGGTTTGCCATTTTTTACCAAAGGGGCTGACCTTTTAATGCCGGCTTTGGGGACCCATTTTCAAGTGGCCTCTCTCGCCAATTGCTAATGGAACGGGGATCTTGGGTGCGAGGAGCCAGGTAACGAGGCTTGGAGACATGGCGAGATTGGGTTTTAACTCTAGCGGCAGAGACGAAGACACGGGAGCGAAGATCGGCAATGGTGGCATTGGCTTGAACTTCCCAAGCGTTTGCAACAGAAGTGATGTGAAGAATCTCATCTTCAGCATCAGCGAGGTTCTCATCGACAATGGCGAGACTTTCCTGGTGTAGTGCCAGACGGAATCGAAGCTCTTCTTCTTCAGCCTTCGATTCCTCCAGCTCAATCTTCAAAGCAACGATAACCTCGTCGCGACCTCGGATGATCTCGGTAGAATCTTCCTGGTTATCGCACAAGGTTTGCTAAAAATCGGCAGCCTTTTCGTTGGCTGCTTCTAGTTCTGTGGTAAGGCCGGCAATGACCTCTTCCTGAGCCGTGTCGATAACGGGTTCTAGTGGCGCGGGGGTGTCAAGAGGCTTGGTGAGAGCCTCCAAACACTCAGCAATGAGACCATGAGCCTCCGTAAGTTCTTCGCCGAAGTCTATATCGGCTGGGAGGGGACCACAGGTGATCAGAAATTCTGAAAGACGCTGCAACAGCGTATCCTGAGTGGTGTCGGACATAGTCACGACCAGAGCTAAGCAAGGTGGTGTTGTATCGGTTGGCTGTAGAGGATGCAACCTAAGTGTAACGGGGACTATGGGCGATGGAACTATGAAGCCAAGGAATACAACCGAGGCGAAGACGTGGACGTAGGAGGTTCGTGGACTATGGACTATGGGGCTGAAGGGTACTCCTAAGGCAAGAACGGGGACTGTGGACTATGGACTATGGATGGTTGTACCTGGTCTAGTATACCGGGTAAACCCTATGACGTAGCGCAAAACAAATAGTATTCGCGACTGTAAAGTACAGAGATTGCATAAAGAGAAAAAGAGAAAGAAAGAGAAACAAGAAATCACAAGACAACGCCCCCCTTATATATCCATACCCTATCCCAATGCTGACTCATACCCTCACATAACAGAAACAGAAAGAACATAATAGAAACTTGCTTCGCTAAACCCAACCACACTATATAATCCTTCTCCCTTGTACCCAGACAACTCACATAGCCAATCCGCCTAGCTGCCGTTACATCAGGACTTCAGTAACAGGCCAGACCCCCGAAGAGCTGTTTGGGAACATCTCCTCCATTTTGCTACAGTTGCCAAAGAACTGAAACCTCAAGAAGCTAGAGATGCTCTTAAAAAGATAACAAATAGGAAGTCTTCTCGTATATTAATATTAATTTAAATTCTATATAAAAGGTAATACTTATAAATTCAATTAAGGATTTAAAAAAAAAACAGGGAGAAAGTAAGTTCTGCGGAATGGAGAGCTAGAAACCCTAAGAACGCTCAGCGGGCACCAGTCAAGGGTGCAACAAAGCTTAAAATTGAAAGAAATTGGAGGCGTTTATAGCCACGAGAGTTTTCAGAGGAAAAGCTAAACAAATTGCTTAATGAGAAAACGACGGAGTGGGATGCATAGAATTGAATGTATTAGTAGTGTTAAACTCAGACCGGGACATGATATATATATATAATTGGTAACTATATGGTTGTTAGTGGTCGCACGGGTTACAAAATGTTATAGTTTGCCCTATAAAGTAACTGAGAATTATGAAATATCTTCATTATCCATATTATTTATAGTGATATTTCCGACTGTTTTGACCTTTTTCCCTTTACACTTTTTCAATTTTTTTTCTCCCCCTTCACTGCCTTTGCTACCTTCTTACTATCTGATTCCTCTCTTGATTTCCTGAGCCATTCAACATATTCAGTAGTAATAACTCTCGCTTTGCTGAACTGTTTCTGATCGGTTGTTGCTGTTGATTTCTTAGCAATGGATTTCCGGAATTGGCTGTTAATATGGTCTCCAATCTCCTTTTCTGTAACAGTGATTTACAATTCCTTATTCAGGGCTTCTATGAAAGTGCACAACTCTTTGATATTTTCCGATCCAGCAGTATTTGCAAGTGCTAGGGCTCGATTGGTTGTGTAACGGGGGTCTCTTCTAAGAAAAATAGAATAGGAGAGAATAGAGACGGCCGTGCAAGATAAACAATCAGGTTGAGATTATTCAAAGATACTATCGCTAGAACTCAATAATCTTTAATGGCTCTGCTACTGATAAGAACTTCGTTTTCTTTCTGATGACCACTGGGGAGAACAGGACTGAAGGGCGAGAATAAGCCTGAGTACTTATACTCCGAAGACTTCTATTCTCTGCTCCTAACTTCTTACTAAGTTCCGGTGACGCCTTTCATCGGCTGTTGAAATAATACCACCGCTACAGCGCTTTTCCCAAAGCGCTAGCAGGTGTTTCCGATACCCAAGGCAACCACCCTTAGTTAAAGCATTTGTAACACCTGCAGCGTTGGTTGCCACACAACTGGGGCCTGCATGAATGAGCTGCGACTCGGGTGAAAGCTTAATCATTGCTGTAGAGCTTTCGCTTATTGTAGACTTCCTTGGCGTAGTCCCTGCCACTATCGGTGGACCTGCAATGCTCAGAGGATACAGAGGAGCACCGGAAAATCAGAGCTTCACTCTGACCGGTGTTCTAGTTACTGATGAGACATAGACTCGTCAGTTATCACTCCCATGAATAGATCCCCTTCCTATCGCCCAGAATGTAGCTACTCTAACAGCTGGTAGCTCACCACACTGTCGGTACTTACATATCACTGTGCAATTTGGTTCCAACAATAACTCTCAGCATGTAACCGGGCCCTGTGTATACTCATACACCAGACAGTTGAAATGGCTTCATTACAGGTTATCGCTCGTGCTATTCTGATTATGCGTGGAGTACTAGGGTCAGATACTGCAAAACTAATTGGCTTTTGCAGTTTAGGGGCGAATGAAAAGAATTGAGAACTCGACGACGGTTGAAAGGTTCAATACCGGCTTTGGCCCATGCAGCGAGGATGTTGCTTTTCGTGTACATCCGCCTTCTAACTTCAAATTGGTATCTATCATATGGTCAGCGATGATTCTATTTAAATGAGGTATTTAATTAATATACTTTGAAAAGGTCCCTTATTAAGTCCTGTGTCTCCACCTGAAGTTTCCATAGCCCGATTCAGAATATTGTTATAATGCTTCTGAAGTGGACTGAATAATCTAACTTCAAGTGGCTGTAAGTTATGTGTAGAGTTCGGAGGTAGACAAAAATGCATTATTTTATGAGACAAGCAATAATCAAAAAATTTCCAGGTCATATGTGATATGTGACTATCTAAAATCAATAGTCTCCATCGGCCTTTTGCTACAGTTGCAGTATATTTCTCGAAATTATCGACCAACCAATCCATTCCTAATTTAGAATCGGTCCAACCTTTTGGGGAATAGGCAAATGTAGCAACATCTCATTTCTCAGAGCTAAAATCAGCATACTAGCCTATATAGTGTGCAGCGCTTTGATTGGTTATCATCGACGGTATTGAAACTCCAGCTGCTGTTACAGATTCGATAACGGTAACTCACGCACGATTACCTGAATGGGTTAAGCGAGAATTTTTCTGACTGTTCCTGCAAATCACCTTGACCATTGCAGCCATCCCCATCATGAGTCCTTTCTCGTCCATATTGTATGATTCCTTAGGAAGAACGTGGTAAAGAGCAATTACTTGTTTCAATTAGTACAGATTAGTAAACATAATACCGGTAGTATAAACTGTAACTTGATAACCTATAATTCCCTTACTTTTTTGAAATAATCCTTTAGAAGCTCCAGATTGCTGGTAATAGCTCTCTGTCTATATAATCGTTCACTGAATTTTGATGTTTCATGGATCGACCAGTGGAGGTACGGGGTTATGAAGAGTCGGATTAGTCAGAAAGGTTCTATTGGGTTCTACCGGGTTCTGTTGATCGTTGATGTATGAGTCATGTTGGATTTGTCATCGCTGGGGTTTCCTTGAGTATATTAAGGGGGGCGTTTGTTTGTATTTTGTGTTCTTCTTCTTCTTTCTTTATGCAACGTCTTCTGTATCTACGCTGTCTATTGCTATATAATATTCTCGTTCTCTTCTTTTCTCAAGAAGACCACCGCCTCGCTTTGTTCTCGTCCCCCTTCAAACCTTACCGACGCTAGAGCCCCGTAGTACCCATATCGTGGAGCTCCCACACCGTCCCCTGCTACGCTCTTCGTGCCCTGCGGAATACTCGCTACTCACTTCCTTGAGATGATGATAGTTGTGGGTTTCTTGCCAAAAATCGGCTCAGCCAATTTTTCCCAAGAGTTCTCCCTTTCTCCCGCTTCGCTACTAAGTAAGCTGCAATTTCCTTTACATTTCCGAGTCTTACATGAAATCCCCAATCATCTATCCATTTACACCATTTAATAATCGTAGATTCTTCATATTTGGTTAATAACTATTGAGACCGATTTGCTGTATGTCTGGTTTCAGCTCCTTTTAGCCGGTCCCTTAGGGTAGTATAAGGAATATCAAATGTTTCTGCCGATACATGCATTGATTTAGAAGGATTTAAGGAGTCATTATAATGAAGAATTGCTTGATTTATTACCTTTTCCCTCTCTTCCAGTCTTTTTCCTTTTAGGCTAGTCATCGTATTGCAATTGTTATGAAGTTAGGTTTACAAACAGGGAAATGGGCAACTTGAAACAGATGCTTTTGTGAATAACCAACCTCAACCCTGGACGGTTACCTGGTAACGGGCGGTTTCCCAGTGAAATACGTTAATATGATCAACTGCAAACAATATTTCAATCCTAATGCTCTTATACTCATTTTTGCTCCTCCTTTATAATACCTATACTGGAGTTTCCTCTATTCCTTGTTAATAATCCTACTGGAATTGCTTCTTATCATAGCCTGACGGCTCCCACCCCACTTATCGTATGGAGGTTTTTGAAATCGTTTTGTTAGTTGAAAGATTAGTATGGTTTCAGTGTTATTTACTGTATTTGGATTACGGTCGGGACTGGTAGCACTAGGTCGGTTTAGGTTATATTGTACAAAGAAATCTTGGATTTCGAATTTAGTTTCTATTTGGTTCTTTATGTTTCTTTGGTTCGAGTTACACAGATTAGTTGTCAGAATTTCCTTTTGATTTATATAGGGGGCTTGTCCTCCGATCCTGTACTTTCTCTCTTTCTTCTTTACAGAATATTCGCTTTTCTCCTGTTACTTTTAGAACAATACTATTATTCCTCTTCTCCATACGATTTCTGGCCTGTTCTCCCTTGATATGATATACCAATGAGATTTTAAATAAAACCTCATATAATTCAAGTTCTCGCATGAAATCCTCCCTGATTTACTCTCGACTCCTACATCAATGTGTTCCAGCCCCTTTCAAATCCTGCCCCAACTCGAATGTATACTGAGTCGATCCGAACACTAGCATTACTCTATTAGACTTCTTCTCTTCATCATCAGATTTCATCAGTAGTTCCCAACCTTATTCGTAGTTATCAGATCCTGTTGATATTTCTCCTATAATTTTACCAATCAAATAAAAGTAACAATACTTAAACCATTTTAATAAGAGTCAGGATTAGTATCATGGATACTATTAATCGGCTGAGTAATACCATAGAAATTAGTTGTTTTCCAAACTACAACTGAGTTTATAGTCTGTCGGATCCTGATTCCATGATTGGGAATGTAGAAATGACCCCCCGTATTGGTAGTATATGTTCTAGAATTCATCCAAAATAAAGCGTATATCTATTGGGGCATCTATCATTATGGGTTCCTCTATTCATTATATAATTAGTAAAATTGAAGAATTCGTACTCGGATTGAAAAATTCCTCGCATAATTATATGCCAAAAGTTCTGAACATTATGTCATTTGAATAAAATTAAATTGAAGGTTGTCCTATTCTACTCGAACAGTATAGTAGTCAAGAACACCAGAGGTTGTATTTTCTTTGGCTGTATAGTTCATTCTCAGAGTCAAGCTAGAGTTGCAAAAACCTAAAAAATTTTGAATAATAAGAGTCGACAATCTCCCTAGACACATATTCCAAAGAAGAGCAAAAATATAGCTCCCTATTTTTCAAAATCCCTTGTCAGCTTCTGATAGAAGTAATATTTCTGACTAAATTCAAACTATATTTGTTTCTATTGCCAGCCGAGTGACTAGTTTGGGTGGGTTTGCCGGGGTTTTCAAGCTAAAGAAAAATTAGTTTTAAGATTTTAAGTTTTAAGAGAATTTTACTTACTCGAACAGATATCCTGATATCAGATATATTATCAATGACCTTATCGACTCAATTCAAAATCTTGCCTCTAACCTCAAGCATACAATTCCTATCAACCAACTCAACAATCTCTTTGTTTTAGGGATCAATAAAGATCAAATTTTACTAATCAGAAACATCTAGCTGCAGCTGTTGAGGACGATCGAAAAGTCTTATCTGGGGAATTTTCAATCATTTATCATTGGGTTTTCTTAGTTGAGTGTAGTCATACAAGATGTCATTAATAGCATCAGATTCATAAACTCATTTGTTGGTAGTTGGATAGGGTTTATAGTATAGACTAATCTCAACAATCGGAAATTTTTGTAAGGAATAATTTCTCCTTTTATCATCTTCGTTAGGGTTAAAATATATGACAAACAAAGCCCTAACCCTATTGACTATGTAATTTTCATCCTTCTCTACTGTATAACAGCATGTAATTCAGAATGCTTAGTCAGTTGCTGCATTTGTTTGAATTGTTTGAAAAAGGCAGCGGTATCATTGACAATTCTATCATTAATTCTATCAGTAAGATTGGAAAAGTGTCTCTTAATAGAGGTAACAACAAAATCAATATGATTTTATTTAATTTTCTTGAGTAGAGATGGCTTGTTTGCTATATATATATAAATTTCTTTCATAACCTTTTTCTAGTATCAGCCTGTAGGCATTCTATCGGATCTGGCAGAGGGTATTCTAATATCTTAGGTTTGTGGAAACTGTTGATAGTTTAAGTAGTAAGGATTTTGAGGGGGATAGGTAAGAACAAAATAAATAAAAGTAAAAGTAATTTTACTTCTAGAAATAGAAATAGATCAAGGGGCTAACAGCTAAATATTTCTCTTCCTATAATAGTGGAACTTTCATTTAATGATTATGGTAGCTGATAGTAATTCAGATTTGTTGAATACGCTCAGGGAGGATGTTCAGAGAGTGTTGTGAAGGAAAGAATTTGGAACTCACCAAACCTAATGAGAATCCTCCTTATCATTTTACCTCTCCGCGTTATCACCTCTCCCTCCCCAGCACCGACCCCACTACCCTATCTATCACCTGCATGAACACTCCTCCATTTTATCTACAACCCGCGCGACTATCTCTCCCCCAAAAAACCGTCTCCAGTACCCTATCTACCATCTATATGAACACTCCTCCCTCTCCAGTATCACCTCCCAAACCCTATCTAGCACTCACTCAAAATCTCTCCCAATCTCATCCCGATTTCCTCCCGATCTCCTCCCTATCTCTTCCCGATCTCCTCCCTATCTCTTCCCGATCTCCTCCCGATCTCATCCCGATATCCTCCCTCTCTCCTCCCGATCTCCTTTCTATCTCCTCCAAATCCCCTCTCTATCTCCTCTTGATCTCCTCCTGATCTCCTCCCCATCTCCTCCTGATCGCCCTCCGATCTCCTCACCATCTCCCCTTGATCTCCCCCAAATCTTCTCCGAATCTCCTTCTGATCTCCTACTAATCTCCTCCGTATCTCCTCCAGATATTTTTTGTGACTCATATACATTTTCTTACGCGTTCCACCTTCTCTCTTGAGCCCTTCTGACTCATCTTGTACTGTAGTGCCTATAACTATTCAGCTGTGGCAATCAATATTACCCCTTACACCACTGCCTCCTACATCGATGTTAACAGTCAGAATCCACATTATGGGTTTCTCAAGCTGTTGGAGATGATTTTGGGGAAGCCATACCCAATGCTACTAGGTAGCACTCATATTTTGAGTGCGTGACTCGTATAAAGTAGGTTAAATTGTAGTCCTTTTACGGGTTCGGTTAACAGAAGTCCGATCCGGTTGAGGTACTTATATTTGCATATGAGAATTTATACAGGTAGGTATAACTACGAGTGTTAGAGAATTGGTTTGCTAATAATAAATTTGTCTCCTTGACCGCATAACTCTCAAACTATCAATAGGGTGGAGATTGATGTAATATACTAAATTATTCCCAACTCATACTGATAACGCCGTACTTACCAATTCTTCAAATATACGCTTCACGAATTTATAGTATACTGTTACACTTACTTAATCCCCGTGTTCTTGCATCCCAAACTGTATTGTCCAAAGCAATTAAAATTGACTGATTATTTAAAGATATGGTGGCTCATTCAGATTCATCTGTTCACCTCCTGCATCATTGTAAAGAGGGAATCTCTCAGGAGCAGAAAATCTTTCAGAAATGTATTTCACATCATTACTATCTGAATTGATAGATATCGACCTCCAACATGCCTAACTAGCATTCCACTTACGGATTATTGAACTGGATTTGGCAGACCTAACAGATTGGTAATTCCAAAAAGCGCAAAACAAATCTAGAGTCTGTTATATCCACAATTGAATTACACTGTTAAGGCAATTACCATCTACCAGCCAAGCTTCATGGCTTTGATGAAATAAGATTCTTTAATTTTCCCATTTGTTGGAAAAAAGCTTAGAATCAATATCCCAATTTGAGACCATGATTATACCAGAGACGTTCAAGCTGTATATTTTGAGTTGATTTGTTGTAAAAATAGGGTGCAAACTATCGGTGTGTAGAAGGATCATTTGCTTAATAATTAGCATATTCTCCACGTCATTATTGAGATGAGTGTTCGTGGGAATCTCAATTTTGAGAATAGCATTTTTGAAGCATACTGTAGGTAGTGAAGCCTTCGGAAATGGAGATTAAAGAATTGCTAGCTGGAGGTTGGGAATTGGACAGTATCTAAAATAAATATTACCAACAAGGTTTGTATATAATTATTTGTCTTAACCTGAAGCTAAATTATACTTTGAGAAAACCCACCTATCACGCTGTCCCCAATAAAGCCCCATCTGATCAATTTGTAGTGCTTCTCAAAGTGCCAAAAAGAATTGAGGGAGTGGATAAAGTAGGGGATAAGAGTTGGTAATTGGCAGATCCAGACTTGAATTCCCCATGTAGGGTCAATCTGTGCAAGACTTTTGCGAATGCAGTTTTTGGCAATACCAATTCCTTCAGTTCTGATACTGCAAACTACAGGCTGCTAGCATTAGGACAGACGATATTCAAGAACAGTAAAAACTAGCGAATCGATTTTGTCACCTTTAAATGCTTATCAATGAAATTGTATGGCCTCAATCTACAGCATGTACAAAGTTGATCAGGAAACATTAGACCCTTTAATAACCCTATTCATATGATAACATTGATTGATATTTTACAGTATATCAGGCAGATTAATTGTGATATACAGTCTAACGCTGGGATACCATATCGACGAACTTTGGACGATCAAATACAAGATTTGAGTTTTGCGAAAACCTTCATATTATAGAGATAAGCCATTCACATAGAGTTACAGTATGGTTTCTTCATAGTGTATATAATTCAAGCTTGATAGAATAAGTGGAACTTGCAATTTGTAAGCTTATATTTTCCAAACGGGATTCTTGAGCATTGATATTTGATTCTGTTTGAAAACTTAGAAACATATTACCACTGTATACACTTCTCACTTTTGTGGTGTCTAGCATTCGATTTCTAAAACGGGAAGGTATTTTCGCTGTTCATGAATAAAATATAATAACATATTCATTACACTGAATACCTGTTCATGCTTCTAACCTTATTTCAGGTGAAAACCTATCAAGGAGTTAGGCCTGGGGAGCTGATTTAACAATGTGTATAAAGCCGTAATCTTGCCCTGAAATATCCTATTATCAAAGCTGATAACTTCAAGTAAGTACATACAGCGGGTCAATCCATCGATTTCTTCACGAGTAAATCAAAAAATGTTAATAAATATATATATTTTTCTCTATAAGAAATACTTCAAATATATGAGCTAGGTATTACTAACCAAAGTCTCCAAATCAATTACACTACCGTCTCTTACCTGTACTCTCGGTATTGTATTATTGATTTTTAGAAGATCTGCTAAACCCTAAAGTTCCTCATTGCCATCTAAAAACTCTTGACATAATTCATATATATCAGACATATTTAATAGTTGCAGTGCTATTGTTGCAGCGATGACTTCCTTTTCAAATCAGAGAAATCATACCTAATAAAAATGACAGCATCTCGTACCAATAAGACAACCGTAGAAGATTTACTTTGAAAGATGGGCTTTCCAAATCTTCAGAAAATATTACAAAGGGGTAAAAACTGGCCATTCTATAATCCATCGGACTTACAGTAGTTTCTGTTGAAGATTGAATTACATGCACTTTATTAGATCGAAAACAAAGAGCCTACCACGTATGTCAGACATACGGCGTCCATTTAGGAGATAATTTCAAAGGCAGGCTGTTCAGAAAGTTAATAATCGCTAGCCTCTGGCAATAAACTCGAGGTTGTGCAGCCATTTGAAAATACCTTACCTAAAGACACCTAAAGTTTTACCAACCAGTGGTAAATGTAGCAATGCAGTAGGTAAAAATCAAGATGCGAAAGCGTCTTACTTGTGGAAGAACTTTCTCTATATTAGCTAAATTATTAAGAATATTGTGATTCGGATAAAAATTGAGTATGGTCTGGCTCTACGAAGTTCAGAGGTCAAATTTGGTTGTTATGGAGTAGAACCTATGTCAATTCTACAACTGAACCTATATTTATCGCAGCACAAAGGCTGTATTAACTCTACAAAAAATCAGCTTTCAAAAGGATCAATTGTGGTTGTTGTTAGGCTAATTGTGGTGGATCGGAAAGTGTCGAAACCCGTTGCTATGCGCGCCTTTCCATGATTTATAACCTCGCGCTGTACCTATTAACTATTCAAAAAATTAAAAGTCTGATAATCATTAGCTTAACAAAACATTACTCTCCGGCACCGGTACTATATTAAAGATATATCAACATGCGGCCCAAGGCCGCTGCTCACTACTATGTTATATCAATCTCTTATTGCTCTTGAGCACTACTAATACAGCAAGCAAAGTCAGTATTAGACTTCAGACTTCCGACTCTTGTTGCGAGCCGCAGTCTGACGTTCTGGCTGTAACTATATTACTAGCACCATACTTATTACAACTATGAAACCCCAATATCACTACTCTTTCACGAACAGATAGTAGTAGATACGCAACACTTCTGCAAAGAACACGCCAGCGCGGTGATTACCCCAGAATAAGGGTAAGGGTTGCATCACAGACTCTCACTCACCCCACCTGGACCAACAAAACATATTCCCTGCAGGTGCCATTATGGTCTACTACCACGAGAATCAAGAGAACAAAGGGCTGGAGCGTATTTCTGCCCACCCCTGATTTGAATTAACTCGGGCGTCACATTTTATTGCGCGATGTTCAGCTACACGACGAGATGTTTACCGCTCCACAGCTAGACCACCTAGCCTACTGATGGGCACACGAGGTCTCCAGACCAACTCCAGAATCGATCATCTCGAGACAATCAAGAGTCACCCCCCATCCATCTTGTCTTGTCCCGTCTGGAAAGCTCTCCAGTCATCAAATCTCGCGCCCATCAACAGCTGGTCATGAATTGCATCCGTGCTTGTGAGGTCGATATAGATTTCCGCCCGGAACCCGAGTAGCGATACGCGCACGCACCGAGGAGATCGGGCGTGTAATAAGCCGGCATTGGCAGCGGACTGGGCTTTAGGTTGCAGGTCAGCGTATCATATAACTACATGTACACCCACGGGAAAAAAAAGTGAGGAAACAGCGCCTGCACTCTAATGACGAGAAGAACTTGAACTATAAAATGCAAAAGAGAGTATACAGTGCGGCCTCTGAAGCATTTTTGACGCCTTGTACGGCGTCCCTTCAAAAGTCATGGTTGTTGTTTAACCGCGTTTGTGTTCACTCGTTGCATTGTTTCGTCACTTTTTCCTGTGGGTGTACATAACCATGACTCTTTTGCGGCCGCAAAGCTTATATCCTGGGCTGGGAGAGTGGTTTGGGGGCACTCGGTCCGATTGTATCCTCCATGAGTTCTTGCGGCAATGCCCTGCGTGTCTACTTTGCCGAGACTTCTTCGCTCGTCGTGAGATGTGAAGCGCTTCTTTCTTCCTCCTCTTCTTCTTCTCCGATACGTACGTGAAATTGGTACTCGTGCTTGTTCGGCGTTGCAGTAGAATACATATACAACGAGATCAACTGCTCTATCGATCCTAGGGCTCTTAATCCCGGAATGACCACCGGCCTATAGTGACGAGTGATGGTTCATGATGGAGGCCTACAGCACCGAAGTATTCACCAGATCGATTCTACGGCGCTGGACGAGCATAGCTATCGAAGGTTTGATGACCAATTCAGGTTACCTCTTCCGAGTCTTCTTTTCAATACTTGGCCTTAGTGGTTACACATATATTTCGGGGGTGTAGTTCGATACAGGTGGACGTATCCTAGGGCATACAATTGGCAGAGCGTGCCCATTACACCCGGTGCGAGAGGGAGATGTCCGCCCCTCATATATCTTGCAGATGGCTTCTGTAGTGTACAGTGTGTTCGGACACAGCACGTGTGTGTGTAAAAGAGACAAACCGCCGCGCCATGCAAGCCAGTACTTACACTGTACTGCTTGCTTTATCTCTGCAGTCATCATATTGTCTTTTACATGTATAGGGCCCAAGTATCTTCGATCCCCCACCGGGAAATCCCCTCAGCAAGCCGAACCTGCACGACCAGTCACACGTGCGCGTCCCCCGGTCCATGGCGGCCTTTACCTTCACCCCGCTCGGTCCACCACCCACCCACTACGAAACCCGTTCACCAAGCCATGCAGAAGTCTTTACACCCCAACAGGCCCTTTTTAATCGGCCAGCCCCACCCGCAAACCCTCCAGACCCCCCGACCAACCCACATACGCCCAATCACAGAATATCACTCGACCGCCAAGACCTGACATGCGCATTGGAAAAGGGGGTATTTATATAACTACTAAACCCCTAGAGACTTCTTGCATGAGGCTACTCAATTGAACCGGAGCAGCGACAAGTTACATTCTCGGCGTTCAATTTTCAGACACTGCCTCTGCTCGACCGAGTGAGACATAATGACTCATGCGAGGTACCAGAGGACGCGTACACCGTTTCGCCATCTATAGCATACCCTCCTCTTCACCACCGCCGATACGTTAACAGTGCACTGGCCAGACTGCGGCGCTCGGAATCTTGATGTTGGCTCTTAAGCTGGCTGCTGCGTCAACCTCGAGCCGGCGATGGATGCGTGGAGGTTCACGGAGGGACTATATATGCAAGGGCGGTCATATAGCTATATATATATCGGGTTGGACCGCGCCGGTCGGATACACAAGGCCAGTGGAGTCCCGACTATAGTAGTGTTCTCGATGGTAGTATATCCCCGATAGTGGCATATCGTGAGCAACCCCCGCGGCCGGATGAGTCGCTGCTAGCTCTCGATATAAGCATGTTGTCAACAGTAACACACGGAAATCGACACTCCGGTGTGTTTCATGCCGCTCTGCAGGTAAGGCCTGGTTTTGACTTCGGCTCACGCTGTTCCCACACGACCGTTAGCGCAGCACACAAACATGACTCTTGCCCCCCCTCCCCTTTCCGGCTCCCCCAGTAGTGCCAAGACACTTACGCCGGTAGCCGAGAAAAACCGGTTCGGGATATCATTACCCCTGCTGCTATTGGTCCGTTCTGGTATCACGACGAACCTACTTTCCGAACTGAGAATCCGTGGAGGAAGCTATCTAGGTTGATGCTAAAAGGGGCAGCATGAGCTGTGTGCAGAGGTGTTTTGTATTCCCCAGCTACTGTATCCGCTTTTTTCTGCGCTCGGTGGGTCATGGGATATCACTCGCGCCAAGCCATGCACCCCAGTCTGCGTTTTGAATTCCTGGCGACTGCGTCTCGATCTTGCGTGGTGCTGACAGCTAGCCGGCTATCTAAAAAGTATCAAACTCTCCACTTGGAACTCTTTGCTAGAACTGGGGCGTATCAGGTCTGTTACATACGTCCTCAGCCAGCCAGTTACTCGGTACTAGTATCACACCAAGATACGGAAAGGTGTGCGTTGGAGATAGTTAGGCATGCAGCTGGTGTGCTAACAGTAGCCCGACTTGTTGTTATGAATTATGGTATTATGGGAGACGTCCTCTTTCATTTGGCGCGGTGGGGTACAGTACACAGAGGGCCCCCGCTGGTGGATTTGTTCGAGGAGAGGGTATATAGGGGTTTGTTGGGCTGTAGTCTTGCTTGGAGATCTGGCGAGAGAGGACGTGGCTGTGTAGATGAGTTTTGAATTTCCTTCTAACGTTTGGGCGTCCGTCCGTCTATAGAGGACAGGACAGGACGGCTACAGTTCTGACTATACTACTCCTTACTTGCACAATCTCACTACTCCACACACAAACAAAACGAGAATCAAACAAATGCTCCCCCTACCACCCATCCGCGCCCGCCATCCCCCCCGCGCCCCACTGCGGGGGCTCAAAACCGCCCACGGCCTCCTCCAGCCCAATGCCGCCATGCACCTCCCTCATATGCACATACACCTCGCGACTCGAAAACAGCTTGCCACACACCCAGCACATGTGCGCCAGGCAGCGCTGGCACTGCACATGATTGCACCCATCGATCTTCTCGATGACGGCGCCGCAGCCCTGCCCCGCACACGACTTGACGTCCTTTCCCGCCGCCCACTCGCCAAACAGCCGCTCGGCCTCCGTGTCGCTGGCCACCTTCCAGTCCGCGCAGCTCATGCCGTCGTGCGACGCCACGCCGCACCGCGTGCACTGCTCGACCAGGCACTCGCCGCACAGCGCCTCCTCGCCCTCCGCCGTCACCGGCAGCACACCGCTGCAGTCGGCCGTCGAGCAGAAGCGCAGCTGGGTCGCGTGCGTCAGCACGTAGTCGCTCCAGGCCGCGGCGTGCAGCGTGCCGGGGATCAGCGAGAGCGGCAGCGGCGCCCGGCACGAGATGCAGCTGATCGGGAAGGAGCGCGTGCTGTGCGTGGAGTCCAGGAACGCGGACAGGCAGTCGCCGCAGTAGGCATGCCCGCACGTCGGCACCACCACGGCGTCCGTCGGCGCCGTGAGACACACCGGACACTCCCCTTCGCCCGCCGCCGCCTCCTCCGGCGGCGGCGGTGGCGGCGGGAGCGTGCCGATGTGCGCGAGGAGGCGCGCCCGAGCCGCGGTGCGCGCGGTGGGCGTGCCGTAGGCGGCTAACCGCCGCTTCTGCACGTCGTAGTGGATGTACGCGCCGGTGCCGGCCTGGATGCTCCGCAGCACGCGGATGCCGGCGGTCGTGACGAGCGTGTCGTTCCACAGCGGGATGCCGCCCGGGAGCGCCACGACCTCGCCCGCGATGATGCCCGCGACGCGGCGCTTGGCGTCGCACACCGCCGCGCGATCGCACCCGCCGATGGTGACGCTGACATGCCCGCCCTCGCCGCCCTCGCCGCCGCTCCCGCCGCCCCCGCCGCCGTCCTTGAACACGCCGACCCTCACCAGCTTCCCCCGCAGCGCCCGCTGCAGCGCCTCCACCTCGCCGCCCACCACGCGCCATATCCTCTTCGACGAGCGCAGCCTTGCGCTGTACACAAGCCGCACACGCACCTTCGCGCCGCCGAGAAACTCGCACACCCGCCCGCCCACCTCCTTCGCCGCGCCCCTCGCCATCTCCGCGCTCCCCATGCGCACCACCATCTTGACCGCCCCCTCGCCGGCCGCACTCACCACCTCGCAGCTCAACACCGTGCGCCCGTCGCTCTCCAGCAGGCTGCGCACGTACGCGGTGCTCTCGCCCTCCTCCTCCTCCTCGTACGACGCCTCGCCGAGCTCCACCACGTCCGCCTCTGGCAGCTGCAGACACCGAGTCACGTCGCAGGCCCGCGCGGAGGGGGGCACCCCCGTGACGCGGAACATCCCGTGGCCGGCGTTCGTGACGCGGATGCGCCGCCCGAGCATGGTGCCTTCCTGCCGCGGCGCGGCGGCGGCGGCGGCGTCGGGCGGGAGGGCGAGGATGGCGGTGCAGGAGGGCGCGGGGTAGGTGACGAGGAGGGTGTCGGCGCGGGTTGATGCGGCGCCGGGGGCGGGCGCGGGGGTCGCGGTGATGAGGGTGCCGTCGACGCGGGAGGCGTGCAGGGCGCTGATGGCGGCGGGGAGGTGCTTGTAGGGGAGGTGGACGGCGGCGTGCGTTGCGGTGAGCGTTGTCTCGTGTGGCTCGTAGGGGGCGAGGAGCGCGGCGAGGGTGCCGGGCGTGATGTCGGCGGGCAGGTTGTGGATGTGCAGGGTTGGCGGGAGGACGGGCGTGGTGGACTGGATGGCGAGGCCGGGGCCGAAGGTGACGGTGTGGTTTGCGAGCGTGGCGGTGAGCGTTGTGGGGGCGGGCGGAGGGGGGGAGGCCGGCGGTGCGGGGGGATGGGTGAACGGGCAGCGGGGACGGCTGCAGTAGCCGGCGGCGGCGAAGCGGCAGGGGGGGATGAAGGGGGCGGCGGTGGGGCGGAGGATGGACGTGGAGGGGATGCTGGTGCCGGTGCCGGTGGTGGTGGGAGCGGGGGAGTGCAGGTAGGAGCAGGTGCGGCCGCGGTGGCAGGTGGAGAGGAGGTGGTATTTGCAGGGTGTCTGGGCCTTGGTAGTAGGCATTGTGGTGGTCTGTGTCGTGGATGGCCCGAGGGGGGGGATTTACATTGACTGTAGGTTTCGAGATGCAGAGATCTTATGGAGATGCAGAGATCTTATGGAGATGCAGAGATCTTATGGAGATGCTTAGAGTGGGTAGATTTCGTATATGGTGCAGATAGCCCCCGTAGGTGGATCCGTAGCCCGCAGTCTGTAGTCTGTAGCTCGTGGGTCCGTGGATAGATCCGCAGCCCGTAGATAGCCCGTCTCGTGTTTGCCCCGTGGTGTTGAGTCGGCGTTGACGTTGATATAAACAACGCCGTTGGGGTGGGATGCCTGAAACCGGCCAGACATGCAACACACCCCACACCCACACCGCACACACACACCCCACACACACATCCCACACAGATGCACCCCACACACACACGCAACACATGCAGCCAACATGCAGCAGCCATGCACGCAATTCCTGGCTGCCTCAGGCCTACGACTGGCCTGACCGGGGCGCATATGCACTGCTCTGGCTTTCGGCTGTTGTGTCCAGACGCGGTTGTTGTTTACGTTTCAACGGTTGCTAGCTGTGGCTTTTGGGTTGTGGTTGTGGTTGTGGCTGTGGCTGTGGCTTGGCGGGTGAGTGAGTGATGGGTGGTGATTGCGTGACCAGGGTGTTGGGCTGTGACAGGCGAGTGATGGCCTGTGATGGAGCCCTTACCCTGCATGCAACAATGATCGACGGGGTAATGATTGACGAGGGGGATAGTAGTTCTTGGCGTGTGTTTCAGTGGCGTAGAAGGTTGCAAGAGCAGTAGCGGAGGCGGCTATGGGGAAGTGGGATATGTCCATTGGCCTCGCCACGTTGTTGGCACACTCCAAAGCCTGCTTAATTATAACGGGGTGAGTGATAAAGCATGATTGCCGGCCGGCAAGTGATCCTCGTGCATGCTCTATCGTTTCGTAGCCGGCGCGAGACTCTCACTCGATGATCTAGGCGCATACTAGCTACGTACCCGTACATCGGGTTCCTCATACACCTGCACGCACGGAATTCAAAAGCCCAGTACAGCACCGCCACCTAAACCCGCGCCACAGCACCCCCTACCGCCACGAGAAGCTGGTCGACATGTAGAACCTCTTTTCCGGCGCACTGTGGAGGTGTATTGACAAGCGTGGCCTGGGTCTTGGCGGGCGAGTGATATCGTATGATTCCGGATATGTGATTGGTCGAGCTGGTGCCTCTGGATTGCGGGCGATGTGCGGCATGGGGAGTTAGGTGGTGGTGGTGGTGGCCCTGCGATTTTGGATGGGAATGTTTCTTTCTAGTCTAGCGGCGGCGGGGGGTGGAGGTGAGGGCTACGCTAGGGGTTGCGTGCGGCCGCTGCGCTGGTCGTCGGGGGAATATTTAAAGGTGTATGAGGGGTACATGTCTCTTTTTAAAACACCCACTCACTTCTCCCACCCCGATTGGAAATAAGCGCGACGGCGCCGAAGACCCGGATTCATATGGTCGTCCCTGGATGGGGCTACATCTTTACCTCTACCGCACTGCGCAGAAAAGCACAGACCAGGCCGCCATTTTCATGGAACCACGCCGTGTGCCTCTACCAGTTATGCGAGATAGAAATAATTTGGCATGCGCGATATGGGAGGACACGTCTTTTAGGTTCTTTCGATTTCTATTGTTATGAGTCATTGGGATTGGTCATCGGTGGACTTCCTTTGGTATATATTAGGAGGCCTTGCCCCCCGCATTCTGGTTCCCTTTCTTTGCAGTCTTCTACTATACAACACAATACTATTGTTCTTCTTCATGGGTAAGCGCTGATCGCCGTACTCATTCCATAACGCTTTAATTGGTCCAACTCGATCCGTGGATCAAGCTGGACCACTAGCTTGCAATCAATACTTCTACTACGCTGTTCGTACCCTGCGGAATATCGAACCTCACGCCCCTTGAGAGCCCTTCTGTTACTTCTGCATACAATGTGCACAAGGTGGGCTTGGCGGATAACAATATCCGTCAAGCCCACTCGCTCAGCCAAGGGAATCCCGTCCTTTTCATTCCATCGTACACCACCATCATTCCTATTCGCGCTCGTGGTGCCAGCACCAACCTTCAAATAACCCTTGAGACGGCCAATTCCACCAACTACAACCGAGTGATGCCTCGTTATTGCTCGACAGAACCCATTCTTCGAGTATTACTAAGAAAGAGCATGCGCAGCTACATGACCACCATCACCCAAGGATAGGCAACGTACTAGCGCGTGTAGAGCTCCTGGCAGCAGACAAAAAAACACCCATCCTTTTACCAAGACAGATCTTAACCTCTTACATAGCAAAATTCCCATGATAGCGAGCAAGCAGTGTAGAAGCTACGGGTTCTACAAGGGCTTGGTATTTCAGTGTTTGCAATGGTGCAAACCGGTATGAAAAAACGTCCGCGTATTGTATTAGCTGTACCAGCAGGGACTTCAAAATTGTACAAACTATTTAACCACCTCTTCCAATATGGTTAAACCGGCAATACCATTTATCTAAATGGTATGTGGGTTAGGGTTCCTCGTGGGTGTTTAGAGCCGAATGTTGCTCCGGATTGGTAACGGTTCTACCGAAGGCAGCGGAAAAACAATACTCCGTACCATTTAGTTAGTTGGTTTATCTCAGTTTAGGGTGTGTCATGTCTCAGTAAATCCACCATCGCTTGAAGCCCAAACTGTACCAACTGTCTCATTATTATTTAGTTTTGTACCGGTTTGTACCGCCAAACTGACGTCTCATTGCAAACACTGTGGTATTCCAATGGCCAGTTCGGCGCTGGTGCATGGTGGTGGGTTGAACGGCCGAAGCAGCAGAATTGGACATTGTTTCTTGGTGAATGATGTATATGCAGCTGCCCCTGATTGACAACGTTTTTACAAATACCTCTGCGCTCAATTATCCTCATGTGAGTGGGGTTGCCAAGAACACATCCATCTGCCAAGCCTTATTGCGGACGGCCAAGCACACGTCTGGCCCGGGGTTGCCAAGCACATGTCTAGGTTGCGAAGCACACATCCACTCACGGCTGATTATATTACAGACTTTGCGTTCGAGAGGTCCGGCTCTCCAAATGCCAAGAAACAGGGTGCGAGGTCCGGAGGTGCTTTTCACTTTGCGTTTGGGACTAGTAAGTGATGTCATCCCGGTTCTTTTTCACAACCCATTCTTTTTCACAACCCATTCTTTTTCACAACCCATTCTTTTTCACAACCAACGCTGTTTATCAATTCAAGGACACTTTTTATCAAAGGAGAATTGGTATGACCTATTGCCCTCTAAATTTATAGGTTATAACTACTTAATACAGGATCATCATCGAAACGAAACGCAGAACGAAACGCGAAACGGGCGCCGAAACGGAACAATCGGGCGAAACGGCAGAACGTCGAAACGAAACGAAACGGCAAGACAGCGAAACGCCGAGAGAGCGGAAATGGAGGTAACAGGTCTCCTATCTACCGGCACCGCTTCTGACCCGTATTTGGGTGGGAGTTCCTCTGCCAATTTAGATGAACGTACGGCTGCCAAAAGACGAGGTGCAGCATGGGATGGATGGGAGGACAGAGCTTTGACTAAACAAGTTCTGGCGGACGATCCGATCTTGAGCAAAGCCTGTGGGAGGAGAGAAGATTGATGGCAGCAAGTCTCAGATAATTTGAAGCAGTCAATGGGGATGAACCGCTCTTGGATTTCTTGCAAGGACAGAATGGAAAGGCTTGTGGGATGGCATCGGGTAAGTGCTTTTTTATTTGATATATGTATTACTCTTATTAGTTTTCGTTGCAACTAATTTGTATATGGATTTTGCAGAAAGAAGAAACCCGTTCAAGGCAGAAGACAGGTACGGTAGAGGAAGTGGATGAGTATGTTTGCAATATGACGGATATCGTTTTGCTCTATGATTCTGTATCCACCAACGATGCTATCAAGCAAAATGCAAAAGGGAAGCTTGCAACGAGAAAGGCAAAGGTGTAACGGCAGCTACGTATTTCGGTTAGGTGATAAACTGGAACGAGAAGCGGAGGTATTGTGCAGTGGGATTATGATTTGTAATTGGGATTTGTGTTATGTTCTTTCGGTTTCTGTTATACGAAGGTATTAGTCATTATTGGACTATGGTTGGATATATAAGGGGGCATTGTCTCGTGCTTATGTCTGTTTTCCTTCTTGTCTTGTTTCTTTACACAACCTCTGTATTCTACTTCACGAATATTATTTTTGTTCTACGCTACGTCATAGGGCTCAGTTTGGCTGTCAGACTAAATAGAGCCACCCCATAGTCCATCGTTACGAATATCTTCTACTACGTTCTTGCCTCGATTGTATTCCTTGGCACTATAGTTCATCGTCCAGAGACCCATGTTATACGTAGGTTGCGTCCTCTATTGCCAACCAATACAACACCATAGTCTACAATGTCGGAACATGTTCATGTCGATTATCAACAACTCAACGATAACCTCCAAAGATTCTTTCAAGCGCATCCACAGGTCGATAACGTTGTCGGAGCTGAAGCCTATGCGCTTCTTCAACAGTGTCAAAATGGTTTTACTCAATATGCAATGGATTTACAGGAGGTAGAAGCGGAGGCTGAGAGGGCAAGAAGGATGTTTGAACGAAATCTTACTGCTACCCGAGCTCAACGAACTGCTGTTGAGGTTTTGGCCCCTGACATAGAACCTATTGGAAACAATGCTTCACCGGCACCCCCAGCACCACCAGCTACAGGCACCATCTATCGGTCGGAGAAACTCCCAGATCCCGATGTGTTCAGAGGGGATCGTGATCGAGAAAGATTACACTTATTCAAGCAACAAATGAAAATCAAGCTACTGGGAAATACCGATCGCTATCCTACACTACAGTCTAAATTATCATATGCGTTCAGCAGATTGGAAGGCGCTGCTGCCAATCAGTTCTTACAGTATGTCGGAGAAGAAGGCATTGCTTTACCTTCTATGACACGGTTTTATGAAATCCTGGATACAGCGTTTGGAGACCCCGATCGAATGCGTACGGCTAGGAGAAATCTCCGAAACATCAGACAACGCACTCGAACCTTCCCCGACTATTTCGCTGAGTTTCAACGGTATGCTGCTGAGTCGGGTATGGGTGAAGTCTCTCGGATTGAGGCTTTGATGGAGGGAATCAATGGGGAACTCGATAAATCAATGATACACCATGAGACTCCTGCGACGGTAGATGCCTGTGCGACACTTTTGCAACGGTTAGATAATCGCCGTCGAGCGGCAGAAGCTAAACGAGGAAATAAAAAACCTTGGAATACCACTACTACTCCGGCCCCGCGTCCCCCACCAGTGAATCCTGTTACTGTTCCTCGTGCTGCCGCCTCAGTCGCCAATGCACCTGCTACTGAAAACCATCCCTCGTTCCGCCCGGGAGGTGATGTACCAATGGATCTATCTAGGGAACGTCGTCGCCTGACTCCTGCCGAAAGAAATGCCCGCTTAGTTGAGGGCCGATGTTTCTATTGCGGAGGTGTTGGACATATGGTTAGGGATTGCCCCCAAGCGATTGCAACTGGAAATCAACCAAGGAGGCCTGTGATGAGAGGAGGGGCATTGATGGTGGAAGAAAATGCCGGAAGCGATAACGAGTCGGCAAAAGATTTGTCCCTGCACTAAGTGGCTCAGCCCAGAGATCATTTAAGGATTTTTCTAGGATGTGTATTTCTGGTTTTTCGGTATCAGAGGAGGAAATGGATGGAAATCAACTTGTAGTAACTTGTTCGATTTCACAGAATAAAAATTCTTTCGTACCTACCTACGCCCTTATTGATACCGGAGCATCAGGATATGCTTTCATTGATGAATCTTTTGCACGCCACAACAATCTTACAATGACCCCCCTTAAAATACCTCGCCATTTAGACGTTATAGACGGGATGCCTATCAAGTCAGGAAAAGTTACCCATATTATCGATGTCTCGCTAGATTTTCATGGTCATCGGGAAACGGCGCCATATTTTGTGACAAAGTTAGGACACTATCTGATTGTGATGGGGATACCCTGGATGCGACGACATGATGTTACGATTCGATCAAAAGAAAATCTACTTGTTTTTGACTCTCAAAGTTGTTGTCAACACTGTTCACTCAGTGGAACTGCAGTTATTGTTCATGACATCTCGATTCCCTTACCAGAACACCATACGGTTATCGTTTCAGCAACTGAAAAATCTACTGTCGACATTGAACAATTAGTACCAAAGGAGTTTCACTATCGTCTCCATATGTTTAAAGAATACGATGCTTCAATTCTCCCATCACATCGACCATCCCATGATATGGAAATAGTGTTAGAAGAAGGTAAACGACCACCATATGGACCTATATATGGATTGTCTCAAATCGAGTTGAAGGCACTACGGGAATATTTTGATGAAAATTTATCCAAAGGATTTATTCTGGCTAGTGAGTCACCAGCGGGAGCATCTATATTGTTCGTAAAGAAAAGTGATGGAACCCTTCGACTTTGTGTTGACTATCGAGGTCTAAATGCGATTACAATCAAAAATCGGTATCCATTACCATTGTTAAAGGAAACTCTGGCTAAGCTGTCAAGAGCACAATACTATACTAAATTGGATTTACGTTGGGGATACAATCAAATCAGGATAGCGGAGGGAGATGAATGGAAAACGGCATTTCGAACTCGATATGGACATTTCGAATATACAGTAATGCCATTTGGATTAGCTAATGCCCCTGCTACATTCCAACATTAGATCAATGATATTTTACGTCCCTATCTCGACCAATTCGTAAAGGCATACTTAGACGATATCCTTATCTATTCCGAGACTCTATCAGAACATAAAGAACATATTCAAAGGGTTCTAAAAGTACTTGATGAGAATCATGTTCACCTTAAACCTGAAAAATGTGAATTTATGGTTCGGGAAACGAAATGTCTTGCTTTAATCCTCACTCCGACTGAAAATAGAATGGACCCAAAGAAAGTTATTGATGTTTTGGAATGGTCTACACCGACGAACCTTCATGATATTCAAGTATTCCTAGGATTTGCAAATTTCTATCGACGGTTTATTTTGGGATATTCGAAAATTGTTGCTCCACTTACAGCCCTCACAAAGAAAAATGTTAAATTTGAATGGACGGATGAAAGGGAGGAAGCATTTCAAACTTTGAAAAAGATGTTTACAACGGCACCGATATTAGCTCTTTTCAATCCGGATCGGAAAATCGTGATAGAAACCGATGCATCCGACTATGTTTCAGCAGGAATCCAATCTCAACGTGACAACGAAGGAATCCTACATCCAGTCGCTTTTTTCTCCAAGAAACCTTCTCCTGCAGAGTGCAACTACAAAATCTATGACAAAGAACTTTTAGATATTATACGATGCTTCGAAGAATGGCGACATCATCTGGAGGGAGCTCAATTCCCAATTGAAGTTCTTAGCGACCATCGGAATCTTGAATATTTTATGACAACAAAATTGTTAAATCATCGACAAGCCCGTTGGTCCGAATTCCTTTCCCGCTTTGATTTCGTTATACAATTTCGGCCAGGAAAACAAGGAACGAAACCAGATGCATTAACTATGAGGTCAGGTGACCTACCTAAAGAGGGGGATGAACGGTTGACGCATCAGAGTCAAGTGATTTTGAAGCGAAAAAATTTGGATACCAAGCTAAGTTTGTTCGCGAGTTCTTTGTCAAATGAATCCGCTGAAGGAGCGTCCACTGTAGAGGAGTTATTTTCAAAAGCTTACCAAGTTGATAGTTTTCCAAACAAGATCCTCACTATGCTTCGGAATGGCATTCGCCACTCGAATAAAATTTCGCTTGCCGAATGCATGGAAGATATCAACGGTCGGCTACTTTATCGAGGTGCACTATATGTACCAGAGGACAATGATCTTCAGCTAAGGCTCCTAAAAGAACACCATGACAAACTATCATCAGGTCATCCAGGCAGAGCAAAGACTTTAGAACTCCTAAATCGAGAATATTATTGGCCACAGATGCGAAGATACGTCGATCAGTATGTTAGGAACTGCAATGTGTACACTCGTAGCAAGGCGTCTCGAAATGCACCTTATGGAGTACTTCGTCCGATACCAATACCTGATGGACCGTGGACGGATGTGTCAATGGATTTTGTTACCAATCTTCCTGAGAGTGAGAGATATGATGCAATCTTGTTCGTGGTTGATAGGTTAATCAAAATGCGACATTTGATACCAACAACTAAAGAATTGGATTCAAGGGAAGTAGCGAGGCTATACATCGATAATGTTTGGAAGCTACATGGATTACCAGAGGCTATACATCGATAATGTTTGGAAGCTACATGGATTACCAGACACTATCGTATCTGATCGAGCAACACAGTTTGTTGCAGAATTCTGGAAGTCGCTTTGCAATCGTCTAGAAATATCACCAAAATTCTCTACTGCATTACACCCCCAAACGGACAGACAAACAGAAAGATCAATGCCGTAATGGAACAGTACCTCCGAAGCTATGTTTCCTACCAACAGGATGATTGGGCTCGAATGTTACCAATGACTGAATTTGCGACAAACGATCATGCCTCCGAAACAACAAAGGTCTCCCCGTTCTATGCCAATTCAGGGAGAAATCCAAGAATGACTTTTGGCCCTTTGGAACATGGTCGAACGACGGCGGAGGATCAAGCGAACCGTATTGCAAGGGAAATGAAGGATGTGGTGGATTTCCTAAGAGAAGAGATGTTTCGGGCGCAAAGGATACAAGAAGAATCAGCCAATAGGAATCGGCCCCCAGCTCCTCGGTACTATTTAGGGGATAAGGTTTTCCTATCAACCTGTCATATTCTAATCAAGCGACCTTCCAAGAAATTCGACTGGAAACGTATTGGACCTTATAGCGTTAAGCGCATTGTCAATCCCTACGCTTACGGGTTGGAACTTCCTCGATCAATGAAAGTTCATCCAGTATTTCATGTTTCGTTATTGTCACCTGAAGCAAATGATCCTTTACCAGGACAACAACAATTACCACCACTTCCAGTTGAAATTGAAGGGGAGGAAGAATGGAAAGTCGAAGATATTTTGGATTCGAGGAAACGTAGAGGAAGATTTGAGTATTTGGTACCATATACGGGATATGATGAAGCCTCCTGTCAACCACTATCGGACCTTGAACATTCACCCAATATCGTTAAACGATTCCATGAGTGTTATGCAGGGAAGCCTAAGCCTACCAGGAGGTAGGCCTTAGAGGGGGGCGTGGTCTGTAACGGCAGCTACGTATTTCGGTTAGGTGATAAACTGGAACGAGAAGCGGAGGTATTGTGCAGTGGGATTATGATTTGTAATTGGGATTTCTGTTATGTTCTTTCGGTTTCTGTTATACGAAGGTATTAGTCATTATTGGACTATGGTTGGATATATAAGGGGGCGTTCTCTCGTGCTTTTATCTGTTTTCCTTCTTCTCTTTTTTCTTTACACAACCTCTGTATTCTACTTCACGAATATTATTTTTGTTCTACGCTACGTCATAGGGCTCAGTTTGGCTGTCAGACTAAATAGAGCCGCCCCATAGTCCATCGTTACGAATATCTTCTACTACGTTCTTGCCTCGGTTGTATTCCTTGGCACTATAGTTCATCGTCCAGAGATCCACGTTATAAAAGGGCTCTCAGGTTAGGCAGGCTTCACAGCAAGGTCAAGTAAGAAAACGAGACTTAATGGAGTTGGATGTTGACAGCGATTTGGAGAGTGGGTCAGAGCCACCAGCTAAAATTATTCGGGCTCCAAAGAATCAATTTGCAAAGGAAGTTGAGTGTGTAATAGGTGGTATACATGAGAAAGCTGACGAGTTTAAAATTGCGATGGAAGAAAAATCAGAGCGAGACAAAGAGTTAGGCAACAAATTGGATAAACTTATTGAAACAGCAAAAAGTACAAATGAGACGATGGAACGTCTTATGAATGTAATTATTCAAGGTACGACGAAAAATCAATGAAAGTACTCCTCTAATGTAGGAGGATCGCATAATTCTACATCTTCGGCAAAGATTGCAAAGTACTGGGGAATTTGGGGACGGTGAAGGCAGACATGGGCATTGTGAAGCAGAACAGCTACTGGATACTGGAGGCCGATAGGGGACAGAAGTACTTTCTGTGACCGTTTGAAATCCAAAGCAGTGAAGATCTGTAGTATTTCTTTGAAGCACTATTCGACAACGATTCGGACTTTTGACATGGATCTATTCCAGAGCTGTTCGTCTTCTGTAATTGCTGCCCCTTGGAATGGTGTTATCAAATGCTCGCTGATACCATATGCTGGATCCCCGTAGATCTGAAGGCTTGTCCCATCAGGTGCCTTTGCGTATCTTTCTATTAGATCAGAAATCCCGCTCTCTTGCCAAACAGCTGCATCATGCCTTGTACCCTCAACCGGCCCATATAAGTGTATGATGATACCATCTGGTGTAATGATTGCTTGGTATTTGAGACAGTGATATCGTTTCCAACCATTGTAGACTGATTCCTGTCCATATATAGGCCTAGCTATTGCGCGTAGAGTTCCATCTACAAATCCAAAACAGGTCTCTAACGGCGCATCAGTAGCTTGTATAACACGAGTAAACAAGTACAGCTTCTGCGGTGTGAGGCGTTGAAAGTCGAATACAAGTAGATGTTTCCAGGTGTCATAGATAAAGCGTAGGAGGGTATTAACAGTACGGGAAACTCTCTCTGGTTTCCGACCAAATTTAAGATGGAGATCCGATAAGTGATTAGGACATGCCAATTGTGCTAGCAGCATACACAAGGCAGTGATTTTGTCCTCAAATATGAAGTTATCACTCTGGATCTTGTCGGGTATTTTCAGACAGGTAGCAAGCCGGTATACCTCATCTTTAGAAAATCTAAAGTAGGTTTTCCAAGCATCACCTTCCAAAATATCAAGATCTATAGGTCCTCCATGCCTCTGCTGACCTCTCCACCTTGTGTTGCTTTGTTCGGACGCTTTGGCCAGCACTTCGAGCTCCGCAATTCTGGTAAGGATTTCAAAGTAAATCCCCTCAGGTTCGGGCATTGTAGACAGCGGGAGAAAGAACACAGGCGAGTTCGGTGAGACAGGATTATAGAGCACGAGAAGACGGTTCCAAAGAATCAAAAATTGTTTCAATCGGACTAAAACAGGTGATTCTATGGGGATTCGTAGCAGTGGGGGTCAAACATCGTTGAAAGACCCCCGCGTTGGAGTCAAATCAACAGGTGGACCAAAGAAGACTTGGCAGCACAGCCACAAGGGCTAAAAAAGACTCCGGATTTCCCAACGTGAAGTCTGTATTAGATGGAAACCGGATTTTTATGTTAATGTCGACTCTGATTGGGTTGGGGCCAGCCCTGCTAAACACACAGCTGGGTTCCAAGCACACACCCAACGGTGGCCACGCACTGTTTCAATGCAGGAGGTTCAGGTTGTCTCCCGGGATTTCAAGGATTATAAGTACTGCCTTTGCCTCCACTCTCAATTTGCCAAAGTCCATACCTGCCATCTACCTCATCCTCCTACATCTAAAATAAAAACAACTCCTTTATACCACTCACTAAAACCTCTCTTCAACACACAGAACGCACGATGGCCGAGAACACCGACCGCCTCGCAATCTCAAACACCGTCCTCACGGCAGCAGGAGTCCTAATCGCATTCTTGACATTTCTCACTGCACTCAACATCTGGGGTTGTCTAAAGAGACAAAGACAAGTAATCCAACCTTCCTCATTTACTGACTCCTGAGAACCGAATTAACCACGGTAGTCAGAACGGGAACGGTCGATGGACGAGCATGCACATGTTCTTCGACCCAAACGATGGTACGGTTCGTGTGTTTGTGGATGGGCAGAAACGGAGTGTTTGACTGGGAGAGTAAGCATTGCTGTTGAGGATGGAGGGTATTTTCACGATGTATTCGCTCTTTACTCTCTTTTGTTTTGTGTGATGCCTTTTGCATGGAGCGAGCGAGTATTGTATCTTGGACTGTGTTGTGCACGAAGTGAGCGAGCATATATTATATCTTTGCCTAGAAGGATCTTATATTAAAACTTAACTCCCCCACTTTATAAAATTAATCTCAACAGTAATACAATGTAATTTATTTTGCGCGCCGTATTTTGTTGATGAAAATTAAGAGTCTTACACCGGTATTAGTCGTGGCTGGTGCATGCGCGGTTGGAGTGCAGGTGAAAGTGCACTTCGCGGTCTGGTGTTCTCAATCGCGTGATTGAGCATATCGACCCAATAGGTGCTTAGATACACCCAGCCAGCCAGACGCTCCAGGCCGGTATCAGTCATGAGAGGCTCTAGCCGCCGTGGAAATGTGTACCTCGAATATTACGTAAGGTCGTCGGGAAAGTCGTTTCTGGGGTCCCAATTTTCGCTGGGAAATGTCAATATTTTGGTGGAGGGAAAGTCGTTTTAAGGGAAATCGGACGACTTTACAAACGCTTTTTATATAAATTGATAATATACAAATGACTTTACCGACGACTTTACTGATGCCTTTACCTGTCACGCTTCTGTCACACTTTTTGGGCGTATACACAGGGGGGGGGATTAGTTTTGACTACCGGTGCTGCTTCACATGATTGACGGGGGCCATCGACAATGAAACGAATCATCAAAGGGCATCCTACTATTATACCTGAAGCACAAGCCAGAATAGCCTGCATGTATATGTCAAACAATGGATCCGCCAAAATGGAATTGTATTCCCCAACTGTTACAAGCCCATTGATGCCAGATACCATTTGATGACCCCACTTCACTGATAATGATAGTATATACTGTAGATATCTATCCTTGAATCTAGTGATGGGCACGAGCCGAGCTGGCTCGAGCTTTCAGCTCGAGCTTTAGGCTCGAACAGGTCGAGCTCTCTTAGTGACGAGCTCGAGCAAGATCGAGCCCATATCCAAAAAGCGCGAGCCTAGCGAAACATTAGTAATGGTTCGAGAAAGCCAGAGCTTGGTGATTTATATAAGAATATATCCCCCATTATTCATCATGAATACGAACTCTATATGCCGACTTACTGTAAGCTCTATTTTTAGGTATAAACATGAGAGCTCGAGCTTAGCTCCAGGGCTCGAATACCTCGAGCCTTTGCCTCCACAATCCGAGCCAGCTCGAGCCCTACCTCGAGCTCGTCTCGAGCCGGCTCGTGCCCATCACTACTTGAATCATGTAGTCAACTCTCAAGTCCGCACCACCTAATTCAGTCATTTCTCTTAAGGTGTAGTAGAGGTGTTATGTGGAAAGAAAGTCAATTTAACTAGAGGAGCTCGCTCCAGAAGCTGGATTAAGAGCTAATAGTAGTGCTCCTAATATCCGTAGATGTCTCCAGCTTAGACAGGGCATGTACCTCAGGTTAAGTTCACGGCTGTAGTCCAATTGGTTCGGAGCAAAAGCCCTAACCCTACATGCCAACTGTAGCTCTCAGAAAAAATTGACTGGTTAAAATGGGTGATGTATGATAATATAATAAATACAAGAAATCCACAGGGTGGAGTTAAAGAAAGGGTCAACTGGGCATACTGAAACGTCTGGGAGGCGGGGTAAATGAACTTGGGGAGCTAGAGGGGCTGGATCCATGGAAGAGGCATCGGCTATGGGAATCGGAGGCAAAAAGGCCTTATATATATATACTAGAGGTTTTCCCGTTTGTTACCGACCGGAATCACTTCATTATCGATTTAAGCCAGGTTGGTGGATGAAATAAAGCCTTGCGTTGCTCTTTTCTCTGCGACTCCGGCCTGGGACCTTTTTGCCATTGGAAGTACTTTCCCGGGCGGAGTAAACAGAACAATCCTTTTATTGAATTCAAGGCCTGTTCGGACATATTCCAATACACCCTTAACATTCCATGTAGGGTGCCTGGGTGCAGGGTTAGGCTCTCTGATCTTAGGGGCTAATCATTACCCGCCATTTGCGAAATTTCTTTCCGCCCTGACCTTTTGTATATTAGGAGATTAACCGACCGCTGAAGGGGGGCGGTTTGCATCCATTATTCGATCAAGACTACAAAGAATGTCAACTAGAAATTCTGTGCTCGCGGTCGCAGAAAATCCCTAGAGTGTGGTGACCTCAGGAAACCCCTAGAGTGTGGTAAGGTTATTAATCATTACCTATCATCGACCATGTAAGATCTGCCCTTTTCATGTGTAAGATCTGCGTGAATGAAAAGGGAGGAGAAAAGTGACAAATAACGCTACCTCGATCGTGAATGTACCACTCTACCTAACCTACATTACCTAGTTCGAATTCCGCCTAAGACATAACGATACTTCTCTATTGGCAATAGCCAGAAGAACTGTAGGAGCCAGTAAAATACGTTAAGACCACAATAACAGCAATTAACTCTGCCGAGACGAGACTTTTTTTTTTTATGTACAGCCACTCTGCAAAAGTGTTCGTGATTCCGATTTCGGAGTGAGAGATTTCTCTATATGTAACCGTGGCGGACCATTAAGAACCCCCAAGAGAAAACTTTCCTAGTGTCCAATGGAGCCCGGAATCAATGAAGAATAAGATCAATGACCTATCTTCTTTTATATATAGTCACAAGCTATATTATATATTTTTCGTTGTTTTGAATCTCTCCATTAATAACATCAACATCACGGGTGCGCTACACTGCGCACTGACATTAAAACTAAATCACGAACACTTTTGCTGAGTGGCTGTAGGTATTGCGGATTACCACAAGTAGGCGAACATGGAGATATGTAGTAATTAAACAAACCAAAATTTGAAAGTGGCACTCTCGAAATGCCATTTGAGGCATTGGTACTATCACTACTAGGGATTCCATATATACCATTCTCTTGCTCTATACCCTTCTGGTTGTAAAAAAAATAAGTGTTTGATTGCACTCGCATGCAAATTTTGAATGTTCGCTTATTAATGGTGACTTGCAATACACTGCTACGCTGGCGCTTAGCAATGCCCTGAAGCTCAAGTACCTAGTGTTTATCTAAACTATATAGTCTTCCTCGTCGTCACCAGGAACGGTTTCTATTGGTTGTAGGTTGCGTATCTTCAAAGAACTACATACTCCCGAGATGGAATGGACCTGACATTAAAAAGCGTACGTGTAGTCGTTACAATTGATGGATATAAAAGTACAAACACTGATATATAGAACTACATCGAATATCCCGGTAGTTTTTGTAAACTACATACTATAAATTCGGCGAGAAAGAAGGGGTCGGTGTGCCGCGCAGCGGCACCCGACCCCGATTGTGAACTACTCATTGAAACTACTGGCTTAGAGTGCATTCTTTAACATATAGTTCATAGTGCGTACACACTTGAGCTTGAGCTAATGTCACAGATTACCCCCGAGGAGAGATGAAGCTTAGTCCCTATACGTTTCGACAACCAAATAATCTAAAAATGGTATCATAGTACCGTACCTCGGTTTCCTCACTGCATTTGGGGGGGCGAAGGCCGCACTCCGCTTGTATAATATAATGGAGTTATGGCTAGTACTCACTCGACAAGGGGTCGAAGTCGGACTCTCAAGCCGCTGCACGGCTTCCGAAGCCTCCCTTCTCGCACTTGTAGTCCAGCTTCAGCTTCGACGTAATTCCTGCAAAGTAGAAACCTCCCGAAACCAAGAATGGATAATTGCTTGAAGGTCGACATTGCTGCTCAGCACGGTGTGGACTCAAGGATGACTAAGTGAATGCTGAGCGGATATGCCTGCTTAACCCTGAAGTAAACTTCAGGGCATTTATGATCACTGGCGGCGTTCCTCTTGTTGTGCGCTATGTATTTAATTTTCATCCCTATATTCGCTCACTAATGGACTGGAAATATGCATTTATGATCATTGATGGTGTTCCTGTCTTTGTGCGTCATAGGTAAAATTTTCATCCCCTGTCGACCTGAAAATATGACAATTGATCATTGATGCTGTTCCTCCCTGTGTTCGCTTGCAACTGGCGTTGCGTGCGACACGTCGCGACCCCTCGATTTACCAATCACTGCTTAGAGAAAGAGGGACATGATGATAAGTCCGTATTTTAGGCCGTGTGGTGTGGCATGGCAACCAAACAAGGTTAGCCTCCTGGAGTATACGAATCAAATTACCTCGTTTGATTCGGTAGCATAAAGGCGGGAGAACGGCTGTCCGATTTCCAGGTCAAATTGTCTAGAGCCGTTGTCAGGTCTAGTGGCCTCCAAAACTGCTTTTACACTATATATACTACTGCTCATCCTGCCAAAGAAAATACTATCAAAAGCTAATCGCCTCGATATCATCAAACCTATTACATTATTTTATCGGTAGACACGTTTCTCCACAAGTTAACAGCAATCCTGTCAGAGGACTACTTAGCACCTATCCCTTCTTAACTCCACATCTGTTTCCCCCATTCCATATCTACAAATCAGGCTCCAATATTAGCTGCGCAAGGTATCATGCCCATATACACGAGAAGAGACTTGGCACCTATAGACTCGTCCAGCTACGGTAACAGCAACGCTTTCGATATATCTAGCACCGCCCTTGCAGCAGTGGCCGTCTTGGTCGCCATTTTGACGCTGCTCAAGAAATGGAAAATGTGGACGTACTTCCGAAGACGAAGATGGGGCAACAAAAAAACAAGTGCAGTAGACCTTGTACGTATTTTCGATAGTAGAGAAGGTCATGATGAGTCTGACGCTTACAAACTCGTAATGTGAACACTAGGAGATGGATAATAGAAGCTTCAATGGTGGTGGTAGTGGTGGGCGATTTTCACTTAGCCATCACTATTACACGAGTGAAAATGGCGTACGCAATATCCGAATTTATGTCAACAACAGCAGGACTACTACTATTCACAACTTCAATGCTACGGCTGCGGGGAACCGTGGTGGGGATCAACACATGATGGCTTGAATCTATAGACAGGTTTCGTGGTCCGTATTTTGTCTGGATTTGTTAGGTGCTTGAAGGGCGGAGTAAATGTACAGCGTTGGTTAGGTTGTACTATACCATGAAGAACAATTTATTTTCTTTTGTCACTTCGTGTCATTAGAGACTTGCGCTACAGGGCTGCATCTCGCTGAGCTAGAGCTGGATTTCCATTCCACTTTGCACTGTACTGCCCAGTATGAATTACCATGTTGTATCGTTGCCTGGATGTTTATTCAAGAAAAAATACATCACCATAATTAAAAACAGTTTACTCATCTCTTCTTATGCTGGTGTAGAAAGATATATATATGTCCGGGACAATGGCAAACCACCTGGTTCGACGGCGATCGCGAATGGGTTAATCATAACCAACAAAAGCGGACAGGGGCGCGCCTGCGCCTCTGCTTTAATTCTTTATCAACTCTATGGTTTCGGCCGAGAAGCTGCTATTCGCCATTAAACCAGTTTCGCCATTGCCCCTGAAAAGACTGTCCCTCAGATAAGCAAATATTTTCTGCAGCCGCAGCAAGATATTCGGTTCGGCTACCACGCGTGGACGTTCGGTTCGGAACTCTTAAACCTGGTCCTCCAGAGGGGACGGGAACGGAGACGGGGACTATATCTTGCAATTGACGTGAGGGCTAGGCTTTCTATTGTCAAAATAAGATGCCCGTGCTCGATCCCCCGTCCTCTCCTGTTCGAGGAATTGGGAAGGGAGCGGTGGTAGGCGTTGAGTAGAAGTGCCTTCTCTAGACTCGAGTCCTGGCACATACTCAACATCGGGTTACATACTTGGTCAGATACCAGCTGGTGCCGTTAGATACTGGAGTAATATACTGGAGTTTAATACTCTATATATAGTAGAGAATAAATGCGAGCCCTACGTACTACACCGAAGCCCTAGTATATCGATTCTGGCCCATGCTTTCTCTATAGTCTTCCATACCCTCTTTTTTTCTCCTTACCCCCCGTACCCGACAGTTGACCATTCGTGCTATGAGTAGTAGCTGGTTGAGCGAAGTAGAGCCCAAACCCGCAAGATGCGAAAATTTAAACCCTAACCCTCATTATTTCGGAGTACCACAGTAATTCGTCTCAGCGGACTATCACACAAGACGTCGGATTTGCCTTTCACAGAGAGTACGAAGACCAAGGGGCGTTTTCAGGATAAATGTCCAGATAGGGGATTCCAACGTACTGTGTGACCGTCATTGATGCTAATACATCCTCTTATTTTGATGTAGTTGAGCCTTTGCGAAAAGACACCAGCTCAATTTTCCGGTAACCTGATTGGTGTAGATTCTCCCATCGGCCAAGCATATAATCAGGATTTTGAACTGGAATCTTTTCGCAAAGGCTCAAGTTATATAGAGCCTGCTCTAAAGTAAATGTGATCTGTAACAAAAAAGATCTGAGCTTTAATTAATACTAATAATGGCTTGGCGAGTAATATGAGAAATCCTTGAATACTCCAGAAAACCCACAACTTGGATAATCTAGACCCTCAGGCTAGCAGAAACTACCAACTCGAAAACCACGGTTACTGCAGCCGAATGGGCCCTTAGAATTCGCTTACTCATATTATGAGTATTAAGAGTAAAAGTCTCTCGAAGATTTTCAGTTTTGATGGCCAGTGAAGATCGATTTCGATTATTATATTCCACAACAAATAAAACCTGGCCTGACATGCTAAAGCTTTTAAAAGAAAACGCGAACGAAGGTATACACAAAACGGTATAGGAAATAATAAAAGAGTGAAGAAATCCGATCGACAAAACCATATCTGCAACACCTTTGATTACGCCCTCTTTCTAGCATCGTGGACAATTATGTGAACTGCCGTGCTATCGGGTAGATTGTAGATCTCCACGCTTCTACCTCCAAAAAAGCGATGATGAGTCCCAGGAAGGAATTCGTGCTCGCTCTTTTTTGTCTGTAGGTATTACGATAATTATTGGCCTTGAGGGAAGATTCCTGAGATGGGGGCGAGGGTCGCAGGTCGAGGGTCGCGCCGGTCGAGGGTCGAGGGTCGAGGGTCGAGGGTCGAGGGTCGAGGGTCCCAGGTATGATAACGGGGTTGGTGGTTGTGAATTTTCATATTTTTATAGGATAAACATGTAGTACTCTCCAGAAATCTGTGTGTGTGTGTGTGTGAAGTCATTTGAATTGTTTCTAGGTACAATCATCGCATGCAGTAAAAACTATGGCGTAAAGACCTATCCCCAATGCCAGTCCCCCAGTTATAGTAACTATGGTATGCTACCAACCGCACTCCTCTTACAAGGTTGATGACTAAGGAAACCCCCGCCTAAGAAAAAAGGAGAAAGATAAAGATAACACAAAGGAAAATAGCGTAACCAAAGAAAAAAAGGTACTAGTATCCCAAAAACCCCAGCTATAGTGACTATGGTATGCCACCAACCGCACATCCCCTTGAAGGGCAGATGGTGGGGGGGAGAGAGGTTTGCCGACCTGGAAATGACGGCTTAGAGGAGGAGGAGGAGGAGGAGGAGGAGCAGGTGCTGGTGGTCTTTGGAAGGTGACCTTCGAGCTCGATATCCGATGGGGCCCTGTATGAAAAGGCCCCCAGTGAGGTTTTGATTTGCCTTGGCAAATGAAGCCAAAGCAAAGTCTGTAGTGAGGAGCGACCCCGCACTTCACAAACTCTTGGCGGAGTTGAGAAGGGAGTTGAGGAGGACAAGAGGGGTGACTCTCCAGAAATCTGCTTCCATATTAATTAATATCATTCTATCAATTGAAAGCCCTCACCTTATGATTTGCTACTTCGGAGCCGATCCTGCTCTTTGGTAAGCTGAGACAGTTGACGCAATTTGAGACATCTGACTTCATGGTGATGTCCGATATCCCCGTTGGATACGTTACATCTAAGAAAACAAAAAAGTCTATGCTCAAAATCTACTCTACCTCTCTACCAATTAAAACCTTCTATAAGGTAGATTCTTAGCGGGTAACGTCGGCCGCGGACGTCATGCCACACCATCTGGCGATCATGTAAGACAATCCTCCGGTTAACATGTACTCTACCTACCCCTGCGTGACACACGTGCACCATCTTCCCGAAAAGACTCCTCGATGGTCTACATACAGCGATAGGAATGATCTATGGAAAAAACACAGATATTTCGCCATACAATTTCACCCCCCCTGTTTTTCCATAGATTATTCCAGCCCTACGATAAGGTTCTAAGCCTCAAAACGCATGGCAGTGCAAGATCTGCATTATTAAGGGTAGGCCGGGCACGTCAGGCCGCCGGCTCAATAGACTACATGCTCATTGCTAACTAAGCTACTTGTCCTCCCCGTCACAATTGGCTAACACCAGCCCACCCACCAAAATCTCCTATCCCGATTTGTCTCGGCGCGATTGTTTAGGGTTAGGTATCTCACGATCAGAGCTAGCAATACCTTAAAACCACAACTTAAAGTTCGGTCTCGAGCTAAACTTGCGCGCGGATCAAAATCAATTCTCCTGTATCCGACTATGAATAAATTGAGATTTATCCATATTTGGTGCCGACCGCCGTAACCGAACACCTAACTCTGATGTCTCTCGGGTCGAGAAACGTCAGAGGTTTGCGTCGCGTGGCAGCTGATCTTGGTAAAACGATCTAGTATAAGCACCAACCGATTGAAAGAGAGAATAGATAACACAACTATACCTGGGTTTAAATCTTGGCAACCGTCCGAATAAACTGGGACTGCAATTGGAGGTGGGAGGGTGGGTCCACATATTTATAGCGCTATTTATGGACCAAGAATTCGGGTCTCGTTAGGGCTGATCGATCACCCACATTCTCTTGCGGGGAAAGAACTATTTGTTACTAATTTATGATCGCCCAGAAATCTTAGTTAGAAGGCTCCACAGAAGCTGGGAATCTTGGTCCTGGAACATTGGGTTACAGCCGTCGACTTTAATTTCCGGTGCGACCCTGCAGCTACTTATGGTAGGACCTAATGCGAGAAACGTAAATATAGAGCACTACTGGACGCTTGATTAATATGACTACAGCTGGCCCATCAAATTTTAGAATATCCTCAGTAACATAGTAGCACCTAGCACGGGATCTACCGCAAATACTCGATAAATTCGCTAGCGTTATTGCCCTTTATCATACCAAAAAAACAGCACTTTGGGTACTTTTTGGTGCAAACGGCGCTAGCGAATTTATCGAGTATTTGCGGTATTCCATGGATGTTACGATAAGCTTCGTAGTTACTCTAGCGCAACCGGAATCCGAACCCTATTAAACCTAATAATTGTAATTCCATAAATGGTTAGAAGGATAGATCCAAAGACGCTAGTAGATACGCTAACGTGGAATAATAGATGCCAAGACCTATTCGCCCCACCAATAGCCAAGTGATAGGGTTCGATAAGTGTACCTACCTACATCTGGGTTGGCGGGCCATTTCTTTTGGATAAGATATAACAATTGAAAGAGATGTTGTTACACCAGTTATTGCACGCTCTGGATAATCTGGTTTAAGGGTGGTTTCGGATCTAACCCTAGTGTGTTCTTTGTCATTATACGAGTAGAAGAGAGTACATGTAGTCTAGTTATAGGGCCAGTGCATGTTTTTATTATGATACTGAGTTATTAGGGGGGTTGCGAAGGCTATCTACTATCCCTTAAGCTGTTACATACTTAAATGTTGCCCGCACAAGACACAGTAATTAAGGGAATTTCGTACGCAAGCGACAAAATTGAGATAACTTTAACAGCATACCGTATACGGGGTCCGGGATACTATGTTTGACCTAGATCGGACTATAGAGTGCTCTGCTATTACTGACCTACTCCGATCAGTTGCATTAAAGCGGCTTTTCCGGAAAGCCTTGGCAACCTTATGAATAACGCTTATGCCTTCCCCAGCCCTCGAACACCCCCTCACTGGAATAGTTAAAAATATTTGGTTTGGCAAAATAACGACAAATAAGTCGGTTAAAACGAATATCCTTTCTTTATCGTTAAATGTTCGAGTGAGGGGGCTAGGCAAGTAGTCTAAACTTTGAAAGGAAGTGATCAGAGTAGATTAGTAAGAATAGAGCCTGGAAGGTCTAAGCTGAGCGCAGTGCGTGCGTGTTACGTACTCGGGGCAGCGGACTGTACAGGCTTAACTGCGGTCGGTGGAACTTCAATCCGTCAAATCCGACGATGTTGCACGGCTTGGCAGTGGTTAATCACTGTATCTCACTCGGTCATGAGTCATCAAGAAGAACCTGAAAATGACTTTTTACAGTACTGGAGCTGCGCTACGCTTAGCAACGCCCTGAAGCTTAAGCATACAGTCGACTCTAATAAAATATAAAGAATTCGACTTATGACCCGTACTCTGCACTTGCAGCTTTTCGGCTCCGCCGCTGATCTGGTTCCTCTTGCAACCGTCAATTTCGAAGTATCAGTTACTCTATTACATAAATTCGAGTATGAAGTAGTCAATATTAAATAATTACATCTCGAGAAAACTCATAGAAAATGGGTGGATATGAGCTAAATTAAGGTCAATAACTAATAAACGGAAGGACGTGGAAGAAGCTCTGTACGGGTAGGATGTCAACCCGGCCAGGCACACACCTCTCGAGCTCACCTTTAGCCTAGACGCAGCTACCCTTGAATGATCTAAGCCATGAGCGAGTACGATGATGACTAAAGTAGTTACTAAGCAATGCCTGGAGTCTTGTGCCCTCTTAACCCTGAAGTAAACTTCAGGGTAACGACCTCTGATTCGCGGCTGGCGAAAAGCTATGGTGCGCCCTCTCTTAAAGGTATGGCTAATAACCTTTCGACGAAAAAAGTTAAAAAAAGATGTTAAAGAAAAAGTCAAGTACTAGTGATGAAGTTTAGTTTTTCTTTACAGATTTTTGATATCTATCCTAGTTATGAAGTTATTAGAGATTGAAACCGGCTGTTTTTGTATGTAAAAAGCGCCAAGACTGAGCAAAGTGGAACAGTATTATACCCATTTATATATACCCCTCAAAAGTAAATTACGGCAGGAATGCTAGGAATAAGCCCTCTCATTGGCTTTGGATTCACCTTGCAGCTATGTACGATTGTCACCTTTAAGAGTGTGCGCACCATACACCAAATTGAGCCCCTGCTTGCAGCTTGCAGTTCTTCTTATAAAAAAAAGAACCCTTAGGGCAAGGGTTATTTATATGGCAGCAGGGCCCCTCCATTCAAATTATCTCCACTTATATTTTTTTGTTCCTATTGCTACACGTACACGCGATTATGATAACAAAAAACCATATAACTCCATAAAAGACACTCAGTTGCTGCCGTTTCGCTCATCGAGTCTTGCTCGCTTCACTTCATTTTCTTTCACTGGTAACTGATTGTGTTTCTGTGATGTATCCACAGCAGGGTCGGCAAAGCTGTCCATAATGCAGATAACCGCATGATACGTCCTGTGTCTTTACGAGACCGCTTAATAGTCACTGTTTTACCAGAAGATGATAACCCAGCGCGGCAAGACGAGAATACTGAGTGTAGAATCATTGGACATATGCTCCAGGGAGTGCAGTAATCTGTATTTCCACATGCGCGCTGGTATCGCTTACCTAAGGGCCAACTTTCGCCAAGAAGGGCTTGTACTAGGATGTTGCAAGAAAGAAATCACAAGTGCTTGCCACTGCTCGTTATTTAACTTAGGATGTTTATCCGGCTCTAAGGAAGTAAAATAGACAAGGTCATATGAATGTGAAGAATAACCCAAAGCAAAAACGAATAGAAAAGAAAAAAAACATAATGTGAGATGGGTGGGACTCAGCCCAAGAGCATAATGATAATCCTACTACGTGCGAAACTCCCGAGTCTTGACTCTTGACCTCGCCGAAGATTATTGACGAGGAGAATAGAAATATTCTCATACACCCCACCGACTGTGGTCAGAACTCGGTAAGACGAAGTCAACATGAACTGTGGTGCTTTGATGAAAACTGTAAATCCCCAAGTTCTGTCTATCGGGGTATTCATACTGCCTTTCCGAGGAGGACATGATACAAGGATGGGTAGTTTCGTGGCTCTAATTTTATAATTCTGTTGTTAGTGTTCATAGAGATTACGTATGACCGGGTTTGAACCTACTTGTAAAGTTCTACTTGCTCTCTTTCGCCGTCTTCTTAGGAATTTTGCAAGCCCCAGGGCACTCAACAGAGTCAGGATAGCAACCAAAACACCAACAGCTGTAAGAACTGTGTTGGATACGGTAAAGCTGTCCTCATTCTCGTTCTTCATAGTTGTAGTGATGGCGTGTGATAGAATACGTGATTCTCGGGGAGGATGAAGGGAATTGGAGGGGGAATGATTGAAGAAATTATTGTTATGTAGCTATATCAGGAGAAATGTATTATATAAGCCGAGCACGAGGGATAGTGATCCGCCTCAACATCCCACCCTCAGCCCCAGTCGAGTGGGGGTATCTCCTCGCGCGCGCGGTGCGTAAGTGGAAAATATGCACGCAGCCGCAAGAGGAAGCTCACGGCGTATATATACACAGCGGGTCCGGGTCTCCCCCCGATCGCGCCTGAACTCCCGATCCCGAGTTTTCTCGGGATGTAATGTGGTTTTTAACAGCGAGTCCCGGTCTCCCCCCCCGATCGCGCCTGAACTCCCGATCCCGAGTTTTCTCGGGATGTAATGTGGTATTTAACAGCGAGTCCCGGTCTCACCCCCCGATCGCGCCTGAATTCCAGATCCCGAGTTTTCTCGGCTACACATTCCGGTAGAATTATTGCAATCGAAGGGGAAGGAAAACAACCTCTGAGCTTTTGCAACTGGTGACGATCCTATAAATACTACCATGCCTCATATGCATCAGAAACTGGAAACATCGTTATTGCCATGGTGCCAAGTAAACGGATGGACTAGGCAAGAACCTTAAAGACATAGTGAGTTGAATTTAGATAGACTGATAACTATATTCTAGTCTTTCCGTGAGCGCCGTTCGCTCTTGATCTTACGTAGGCGGACTGGTGGAGTCTCGACTGGAGGTGGCTAAATATTGGACTGTTCATATTAGTGTGGTCCACGAGCCGTCTCGAGCCTATTTTATGATCAGGCTCGAGCCTACAATATGTTCCTTAAAGTATCAACTGGTAGCTCAACTTATGCGAAGAACCATGTTTGATGAAATATTTGTCCGCAAATAGACCAGTAATATAAATTTTACCCTATTTTTCTAGACAAGCCGGCTCAAGTCGAGCTAGCCAATAGCCTCGAGATGGCTCGGCTCGTGAAGACTCGGGCTCGCGTGAGCTCGAGACCTTGGCTCGAGCTTTCGGCTCGAGCCGGCCCGCCCCGTGGACCACACTAACTGTTATTGAGTGGCTGACTCGAAGTTGAATTTGTTGTTTTTCCAGTCTTTGCTATGTGTTATTAGTACTGTGTCAAGACAACGGGTTTGGTGGTCTTGATGATACGTGTTTATCACGACTTTGTTAGTTATATAAGGAGCCAGTTCTTTCTTCTTTCGTTAGTCATTAATTCAATCATACAATTCGATTCTCCTCCGGGTCTTATAAATTCGCGACCTGATCAACAGAATTGACTGAAAACATACCGAAAAGGGGAATGATTTGTGCGCTCATTCACAAGGATGGATTTGATAACATACAAATCGATTGTCTGATATCATGATCCTCATCAAGTTAGAAATGTATTTCCTGTCAGACAGATAAATCTCCCTGTTGATGAGCTAGGCGCTAGGTTCGGTTGGTTCCCCGGAGGCTAGGGCGCGTCCGGCTTGTGAACTGGAGGGCTTCGCCTGTGGAGCAGAACAAAAAGGTCAAGAAAGCTACAAAATCATACGGTAACGATAGCTTTATTCCAGCACCTGTGATCTAAGGGCACAGTACCTACTTTACTGTATCATGACGGCCGATTCATGGACATGGCAGTCAACAAATTGACTCGTCTACTTAGTAGTGGGCCGTACTATCCGAGGACAGATATTCATGAAGAGACTAGACCATACAAAGTCCGCTCATCTACGGACGGCGGCTGGACCTCGCTGAGTGGGCTAGAAAGGAAGCTGTCAAACCACATTAAATCCAAGCTTATGGAGAGGAGTTCGCAGAAATTGATGTCAGAACCACTCAACTGCGGGAGCAACCTCTCTGTTCGACCTTCTACCGCCTAGGCTACTCCCACCCTCAGTCACCGAATCCTTCCCTATGAGTTAAATTCGTTGTGTCTCGCGATATGAACCTTCCCTCTCCCACAAAGCTCTGAGTTTTGTTTTTCCGGGGAAGACTCCCTTCTAGATTACCCTATATCCTCAACGCCGGAAGATAGTACACAGTGGCTGGGGACAGGATTCTTAATGGCGCGCCACCCCACCCATAAGAACAGCGATAAAACCTCTATCATCCATCTCCAAGTACTATAGAGAGCTTTCCAAGAGCGTGTAAGTTTCTAGAAAGTGTTCGAGAGTAATAGGGCATAATTGCTCTTTAGCCCAGCGGGCTCTTCAGTCTCTTCACGCTCGCAGAGCTAGAGGTGTAGTAGGGTGGGATCACTATAAGGGCAAAGGGCAGATGTCCTAGAACAGGGCTATAATATAAAAGTTTCGCTGTGGGTAGACGACGCATTACTAGCAAACCACCGCCTGCCTATGTGTCAAGCAAGCTAGGATGCTAGAACGAAAGTCAATTTGGAAGTAAAGCTAAGAACATAGCTCGTGTCACTTGTGATTACTCGGATGGCTTGGCGGGTGCAATACCTCTCACATGACGATGGGAGCGGCAGCATACGTGTGTGAAGGACTTTCAGGGTGGATGCTGTGATTGGGAAGTTCTCGATGGGGTCCCCTGCCTTTGTCTTATGCAGCGAGCGTTTCACAGTCATAATATATCACTCGTCACTCGGTTCTTGCTATGCTACTGCATCAAACCCACCACGGCCCTAGAAACCAAACACGCGCCGACTCAACCCTCTAATGATAAATTCTGACTATTCCGTTGATAGCCCCGTAGTGGATTTTACCATTTAATACAGCATTCTTGGGGATTACGTGCGTAAGATAATTAGAGCCGAAGCCTATTTCGAGGTTTGATGGTCTGTATAACGCATTGCGCGCGCTCGGTGCTAGCTTTGTGGGTGATCGGTCGTGATAAATGCGCCGAGCGAAGGGAAGATGCGAGTGATATCCGACGATCCCTATTTTGCGTCGTCGAGCCGATCGCTGCGGGGATCTCGCAATAACAGATCTCGTAGGCTTTGTACGCCGTGGCACGGAGTGTTGGTGAGCGCGGGCCGATAATCGTTGCTATGGGAGCAGCAATTCTACAGTAAGGCCCAGCCGGGGGTGGAGGGAGGTAAAGGAAATTAACATGATCGTCACAAGATTGTTACATGTACCCACCCTAAGGTTGGTGTCGGGAGTGTGGCTCTACTCGTGGGTCCCTTTATCATGCTTATCACTTAGTTGATCTCTCGTATAGGGTGGGCATACCTGACCAAAAATCCAGAGTGCTGGCCTCGATCGACAATAACGTTGTCCTGCTGTAACGTCTACCTGACTCAACGTTACTTGAATAGGCTCGTCACGTGGCTATTAGCATATCAATCGGCTGCCGACGTATTATGGGGTGCGGAGGTATAGGTAGCTCGCTCGTTTAAACCTGTAATCAACACGCGCATGCTTCTCCCGCTGCAGGATACCAGAGGAGCCCTGCATACATCCGATCCAGCAACATCCTCCATCCTATACTCTACCCATCCTCCCCACTCCGCGAACGATAAAAGCATAGGCTCTCTCCAGCCCGCTGGCTCGGTATCCGTCCGGTCGCGACCACGTGGATCCTCGACAATATATACTCAGGGTCCATCCCCTTCCGCTACTTGATCCTTGCAGCCCTACGAGAGTACTGTACCAAGATTTGGTGTCGGATGGGCTCTAGTTATTGTGAGACAGGCAACGGGAGCGCGAATCTGCTCGATTAGCCAATAATGTTGTGTCGCCGTGTCAAGCGTGGAGACAGGTTCCTGGCGCCACAGAGCGACCAGCCACAGTTCTGGCACGTCAAACCTGTGGTTCAGCATCTACCGTCGTTCAACGTCTCTTGACGAATACTGCCACTTGATGAACCGGGGTTCCAATTATGGCAACAAACAGTGAAGCAACAGCCAAGCCGCGAGATCTCTACAGCGATGGGGAAAATTATTGTAGAAACAGGGGTCTAAAAACAGGGTTTAGGTGGCTGCCCTGGCCAATAGGACTCTTACCATACTTCTACAATAATTTTCCCCATCGCTGTAGTTCTTTTAATTTTTCTTGGCTCAAAGCGCCCTGTTCGTCAACTCGCAGTATTCGTCAAGCGATGGCAAACGACTGTATCCTGTGAGGGCCAGCACAAGGACAAGGACTTATCCGCTGTTTTATCGGCTCGGTGGGTTGTGAGCTGGGGGAATAGTGGGTTAGTTTTTCTTGGTAGTGTGGTAGTGGTGTGGGGACTCAAGCAGGGATCGCGGTCCACACCGTTTGTGGAGATTTGAGGTTGAGTTAAGCTTTGTCATAAATGCGCGCTACGTATCCTGGTTGTTGGGTGGTTTCTGGTGGGTGCACACCACACGGTTGTGATGGAGGGTAGGAATGCCAAGAGGGGGATGAGTTGTGATTACTGATCTACTATCTTTGCCAAGTGCATCCGTATTCTCCTAGAGGAGTAATTTAGCCGAACTTTTGAGTTTGGCGCTAGTTTTGTGTCCGAACAATCATTTCCAAGTCCCGGTGTATGGTGCGCCCGCCCTTAAAGGTAACCGAAAAATGAGGGAAAGTCGATGGCCTAAGGCTTTTCAACAAAAAAAGTTAAAAAAAATCGGGTCATACAGATTGTAGTATTAGCTATAAACTTTAACTTGTATGACCAGATTTTTGATATCTGTTCTAGTTGTGAAGCCTTAGGAGTTTGAAATTCCGCATTTTTGTATGTAAAATGCGCCAAGCCAGTGCCGAGTGGAACAGTATTATACCCATTTATACCCTTAGTAAAGCAAACTTGATCGAGTTGTGGCAGTGGTGCAGCAAAATGGCTAGAAATAAGCCCTCTGGTTGGCCCATGAGTCCATATTGCAGCCACAATTGTTCCACATCCATATGCCGCCGTGTCACCTTTAAGAGTGTGTGCACCATATAATGACAGGCATTCCGAGAGGTTAAATACTTCCTGCCCAAATTTGTGAATATAGGGTTAGGGTTCATACACAAGGCTGAAACTTGACTAGACTTCGGTTACGTCAAAGCTCAAATCTGGGCTGCGCCATCAGCTAGACACCTAGAAGCCATCTCTGCTCTGTCCATCCAAAAGTCGAAGAGAACGCTACACATGTTGATTGAATGTTCTACCTGACTCAAGGGAGAAATTCACTACGTGACGTCTATAATCGGTCTCCAGTTATGCTGTGCAGATACGACTCTCAATGGCGGCGGTGTCGAAGTGCATGCGTCACCCCGGTATTAATAAGCAGCGACTCACAACCGGTGCATAAAAGCATACAAGTAGGTGGATAGAACGTTGACAAAAAGCGAACCGAGTAGAGGCGTTGATATGCGCTACAAGCTTACATCTCACAAGTGTGCTTGGATGGGCTAAGAGCCTTGTGGGCAGCGGTTGATTTCACACATGCAGTGTCAATGCAGCGAAACATATGGGCCGGGACCGGCCATGGGTGTCACATATGTTGCTAGTTGAGCTTTAACCCCGGATTCAAGCACTGGGAAACCTGTCAATCGTTACGTGCGCCTGCGATGGTTGCTATCTAAGGTATTAAAACTTGAGGCTAAAAGAAAATGTAACTTATGTTGGACGGCCTAATGGCGTCAGCTCAAAACCAAACTCCAGCCGAAAAGTTGGAACGTTGCACCAGGGAGTTAAAAAACAAGATCCTGGTACGTTTTCCTCACCAAAACTGATCTGCTGAATGATTCGCTACAGTTCGAAGAAAAAGCTCAAATCTTGCGGCATTCGCCGTTTAACGCGACTGCGCTAAAATAACTACCGGGATAGGTAGCCGTTCTTCACGGCCGTGGGGTATCCCCCCGGGTACCTACCTTACCCCGTATCGCGGTTTTTCTTTGATTGTGGTTCGTGGTAAGCCGTTCGTTCATATACTGACAGAGAAAACTCACCTAATAAGACACGTGACTCTCAATCTCAATCAATCTAATATCGAAAGCTGAGGGAAACAGTTAACGGTGGGAATGCGCGGGGTGATTATGGACTTTACAATACCCATGCTATTGTTGAGCTTTCTGATTGACATATCCCTGTCCTGTTCGTGGCTTATAACCAGGTATAATTTATATCAACAATACACGAGCTGCCCGACTGCAAACTTGGAGTTGAGGGATGATGTAGTTTCGTACTCCGCCACCAGAGAAATGATAGGAGGACGAGTCTCTCGTGCCTAGCCTCCTTCTTGGCGCCGAGACTCATAGTCACCCAGCTTCGTTCCTGTGATCAAAGTGCACACCCGATCATTGACCAACTCTGTACCACAAAGCTATGCACAAAAAAACCCGCAACCCAGAAAGACGGAACAACTGCGCCCATGAATATAGAAAGTCGTGAGAATTACAGCGTTTGTCCCACAGGTTACGAGTAACCTCGCTTTTCGCCGGATGCTGGTCGGTCAGCACAGCAACGAGCCCCACAGATAGCCATTATTGTCACAATCATGCTCTAGAGTTAGGAGTTGTGAAGATTTAATATGCGAACAGAGGCTGTGGCTTTAAATGATAAAATATTTTGAATTTGAGTGTGGTATAGGTGTAGCTATGGGCATTGAGAGTTTGACCTGCGAACTAGGATCTATGTACTTGCGTCCGAAGTTTCACCTACAAAATCTCTTGACTCGTATCGGTGTACACATGTTAAATACACAGTTGTACTGGATGGTGATGATGATGATGATGAAGAGAAAGGAAAAAGAGAAGGACAGCGTGCTGACAGGTAAAGAGAAAGATAGGACAGGAGTCCCCTTTGGCTCCACCACGACCCGAATCCTTGGAGGGTCGAAACCCTCTTAATTCCTCCTGTTCGACATCCAGCAAGGCACGCGCACCATGATAATAAAATCCACGATAAAGGCTTCACAATGGAAGCCAGGTGAAATTCCTTGGCAACAACACGCGAGTACATAAACCTGTTGCTGGATACAACGACGACTGCCAAGATCTCGCTGAGCCACAAAATGAGGCTCTAGGTGTATGTGGGTAAGGATAATGTCATTGCGAGTTATTTACCGTAAGATATGAGAATATTTATTGCGAGACATTTAGGGCATATGGCTCGATGTGGGTGGGTGGGTGTGTCAACTTGATCAATTGAGTGGCAAAATGCATGTATTGCGGGTTACCATAAGTAGGCGAACATGGAGATGGTAACCATACAAACCACCTAGCCTAACAACACCAAAATTCCAAAGTCGCACTCTTGGAGTGATATTTTAGCCGTATGTACTATCACTACCGAGGAATCCATAAACCAGACTCTTTTTCTCTATATTCTTTTGGTTGTGGAGAAATAAGTGTTTAAAGTTGCATTCCCATATAAATTTTGGTTGCAACCTCGATGTTCGCTTACTTGTGGAAACCCGCAATACTACGCGTGCCGGGGTAAGTCTGTAGACAGGTTGCGGTGACACACAAGTAAATACTCAAAAACTTTCAGACGATGCACCGCCCCCCCCCCCCCCCGGGGCGCTCCGGTACTTTTCTCAAGTCTGCATCCCGTACATTTATTGCTCAAAAAGCCATAAGGCCATACGGAGGTGTCACGCCCGGGGTAGGTTACAGCCACTTGCTTCCGATGCCGGTGTGGGTTTATAAGTCTCGAGCCATATATAGGCCAACTAGACGTAGTCTTATAGTATCCCCCTGCTGTATCTCAACAGATCCTCTTGGGCATGGCGGACGTCCTTCGGCCGTGTGGGGAGTTTGTCCCTGCTGTATCTCAACAAATCCGCAGCAAGGGTCGACTGGCTAGTGTTTCAAGGCAATTGGCGTCATGGACGTCATGATCCTGGCGGGGGTGTTCCTGAAGATTCTTGACAGGTCCATCCCCGATCAGGACGGTGTGGGCATCTAACGGGTGGGTTGGGCCAGGGTTGTGCGGATTGGTTTTGCACTTATATGCAAGCTTAACCGTAATACGAGTGGTCTTCCTCTCACAATGGTGTATTTCTACAACGAAACGCGCTCGAAATGCCTCTATTCCTTTATCCATAGTATCTGTGGGGGATTTTCCAACATATGCAGATCTAGTTCAATGTTCACTGACGATATATTCGGGGGGTTGCAACGGAAAACTTCAGTTTGACGGCCCATGAAACCGTGTTGAGTGGGGAACACATGGGGTCGGAGCGAGCACCGAGCATCTATCTGTTACGATATCTATCCGGCCAGCGTTGGCGGGTGGGTTTCCGTTCAATACGTCATCTTGGGGGTTCCGGGTTTCTTTGTAGAATTTCTTGGAGTAATTCGTTGGTATGATGACAGTACTTGCACTTGAGCGTGTCCCTTAGTCTACGTCAAGGATTGCCCAGTACTCTATTAACAAACGGTCGACATTTATGCGGGTCCTTAGTCTACGTCAAGGATTGCCCAGTACTCTATTAACAAACGGTCGACATTTATGCGGGTCCTATGATTTATTAAGAGCGAAAATTGGGGTGGGATCTGTTAGTAAAGGTTGGGAAATTACATTCTGTTGGTAGTATAAGGGATATGTAAGGCTGACTTCCGCCCTAGGTTTTGATGATCTGCGGGGCAAAAATAAGCATCTCTCATCTCCTTCCAAGAGGTTGTGTACCGTGTGTGGGAATCAAAAAAGCAAGGAATTCGTCGCATGAAACGCGGAGTACCACAAAAAGTGATCTACATGCTACTAGTGGTAATCGGATATAAATACATGCGTGCCGACCACGCCTTTCCTTCTTTCCCAAAATATATATCCATTCCCTTATCCATCATTTCAAACCCAAGCCCAGTCCTCCACTATACGATCTCCATCCCCCCTATAGCTGCGCAATGACAGTCCTACCATACCCCCAAGCTCTGGCGTTGCGGGAGACCGCTTTCAATAGTGCCCCAGCAAACATATCTACGAACTCGAGCGCCGCCTCGACAAATACCATCTGGAATGAATATTCGATAATTATCCTCGTCGCGGCTCTTGTGGGCGTGATCATCGCCGCCTTGACCCTCCTTGTCAAAATTCTGAGGCATCCTCTATACCAGAGGAAGATTTCCGGGCAGATGGTGAGATCGTTCTTTCAACCTGCTTGTTTGTCTATGTATAAGGTAATATTTTAACGCCTCTGCTTCTACAAAGGCTTCGGAATCCTCGACCCGGCCAGTCTCTGGTTCAGGGGAGCTAATTCCTGGTACGTCTCCGGCTGCAAGTACCGCTTCAATTTCAGGCATGGAGTTGAGTACGCAGCCGACATCTGTCGAGATCCCGGACACGGCGGTGTGTAAGTTGGCGACTGGGCGGAGTGGGTTAGAGTTAGATGGTTGATGATCTGTAATACTGAGCGAATGGGGTAAGGTCCCATATTTCAGACGCTTACAACTGATTTGGGTGGGTTATTGCGTGGTCCGGAGAGTGTTGTCGAAGTAGGCCTTTTTCTATTTTTTTGGAGCATCATTTCAAATTACATTCCTTTGTGGTTGTGTTTTGCTTTCTTAGTCATTGACCCGAGGGGGGTTCTGGGTATTCGTAGGGTATCTGGCTACTTGTTGGTAATGGATTATTTGGTTTCTTTCCAAGTGCAGTACTAGTGTGCTTACTTACGCCTCGTTTTATGACCGCACCCGACCCCAGAACAGCTCCCTCCGGTCCATTCGTTGATTTGTACAATCCACGAGGCTGAATACTCATATCATGAAGTGGTGAGTCGACTCGATATGCCAGAACTCGATGCACTGGATCCCTCGCCCCGCACGAGAATATTTAGGGGAATATTGTCTTTCCTACTGAAGAATAAATTTGCCATCGTTGCCCCGTACGACATCCTTAGAATGTTGGCAATCCAGGATACGAGTCGCCACTTCCCGTTCCAGTCGTTGATGCATACCATGATGTAAGCTCCCTGCACAAAATATCACAGTGGCTGTTAGAGTACACCAGCTTGGCGTCGAGTGACGCGTCATGTTGCCTTGGCATTTTACTTGTGGTTGATATTGCGCCCCCGAGTGTATCGCGCGTAGGAACGTACAGCTTTGTATCCCTTGGGCTGTTACTTAAATGCTGCCAACGTGAGACATGGTAACATCAGGCGAGCCTCGCACGAAAGCCACAGAATTGAGACATAGTACTTGGCAAAGTTGGCAGCTTTAACAGCATAAGGGATACCTGTAGACAGATATGAATGCATAATGTATCCGGGGTTGGGATTCTACGGAAGATAGAGCTATCCTGAGCTCGATCCCATCCCCAAACTTGGCACGGCAACCACAAAATACCAGACTGGGTGCAAGGTCAGAGCCATCCCTCTTTGATATCTAAGAACAACGAATACGACCCGATTTCATGAAGCATCACTCGGTATCTGAGAATAGCAATGATCGGCATGCCAAGCTCAGGTTCACCTAGAGTACATGCGCGCTAGTCTATTAACGGGCAATCTACTAACTGAGCGCACAAAAATAAGTTTCGAACTTGGCCCAAAGAAGTTTGTTAGTTGCATAGAGTGGGTGTTGTGATCCCTTTGAGTTATTTCTTATTGGGTGGAGATAGCGAGGTCTGTCGAGCAGTGTTCAGCCGATGCTACTGTACTACCACACCGCGGTGAAGACGTACCCGTACCCGATTGGAAACATAGCGAGGAAAATCAATAAATATGGAGAGAAATCGCCATATTTCTCGTAGTTCTTGGACCACAGCAAAAAGTGTGCCGCAACCATGTACTCAATCATCCTTACCATTCCAGACACAGACATACCTTACCTAGCAACAGCATCGAGTCTCGACCACCGTTATCCTCGCTACCTTCAGAACTACCCTTCAATTAAGCGGCCCTACAATGTTGGTCATGGAGAAATGGGGTTTAAGCAACGATAACACATGGACGCAGTCTGAGAGTGTTTAAGGACAACAATTGTTTCAGCGTCTTTTAGTGACGCTGAACGGCAATATTATCATTGTTAGTACCAGAGTGATATCGGAAGAGGAGGAAAACAGGGGTCCGCTACGGTGATGGTCTAAGGGAGCTATTGTGGATTGGGAGGGGTGGTCGGCAGGTATTTTACAGGTCGGATTTCGATGTGGGGAAGAGTGTCTTTTATGAAAAGGCTTTGGGGGGGGGGTTATAATTATAGCTCAACTGAGGCGAAGAGGCGAAGAGGTTGAAGTTGGGTTCTGGATAAAACTCATTGGAAGAATACGAGTTATGATACTCAGATATCCTCAGCAAACAATCGCGGGCGAGAGGGGGGGGGGAGTTTGGAGCTACTAAGAGGCATTAAGGAAACTAACGACGAGACTTCGTTTCTAACCAGCTAACACATTTGCAGCTACCTATGCGCCGTTCATCTTGACGAGAACAGCTGCCAATCTGATCATCCGAACTTGGGGATTGAGTCTTTTTGTGTGGAATCCCGCTCACAATGCATGAGAGATGTGCTTCCCCAGTCAAGGGGACTTCTGCACTCAGAGGTTGTCCAAACGTCGAATTTCATTGCAATTGAGGTATAGATAGTGCACGTGAGGGGTCAATAACCATCCAGGAACAAAATATCTAGAGCCGACATGTACTTTGAACCGAAGGGCAACACAAAGAAAAGGAAAGGAGAATGAGAAAGAAATGGAAGAAAAATGAAAAAAGGGAGGTGAATTTAGAAAATTTAAAAGGAAAGGGAAGAGGGATGAGGGGATGGGAAACGAAAAGGGAGTATAAGAAAAGGGAGTATAAGAAAAGGGAGTATAAGAAAAGGGAGTATAAGAAAAGGGAGTATAAGAAAAGGGAGTATAAGAAAAGGGAGTATAAGAAAAGGGAATATAAGAAAAGGGAATATAATAAAGGGCAAAGGACTTTTGTGCCATGGCTTTTAATGAAAAACAACTCGGATACCACCCGGAAAAGGTTTGAAACCTTAGACTCTGGTACCATTGAGTGTTGCTCCACAAAAGGTCCACAATGTGAACTGTCGTTGTGCACCAAATGACAGCGAGTCCTTTCGTTGCCCACATGAACAAGAGGGGCTATATACATATTTGTCAAGTTCATGACATTTCGTTCATCTTGCGGACTGTCAATGCATAAGAAACAACATTATGTCGACAACCACATGCATATATAAAGAATGAAAGAAATGTCTGAGTACTAGACTGATTAAATGTAATAGTAGTTGAAAACCATCGTATCCGAGTCGTTCATCCCTGGAACTCATGTTTTATAAGACCTATTAATGGCATGCTAGTCTTTTGTCACTGAAACTCGTATTATGTAAGACCTACTGATGGTACCAAGTCTTTAATAGTAACCTTCGTAGTACGAAAGTCCTTTGCCCTATAATAAAAGGAGAAAGAGAAATATAGAAATGATAGAACATCATGAACTCAGACTATATTGCGGTCATCCCCTTCTTGATACATGCCAGCAGCGGTATGAACTGTTGTCCTACTGTTGTCGAAAAAGATCTCGGTATTCCGTGCCGTATTCCCGCCATAGTAGCAGTAGCAGATGTGCTGAACGGAGGTGATTCCTCCAACACGGAAGTTGTCAACGCCCTAATAATAAAATCATAGAGGTACTGTCAGCCTCAATTGGTCAATCTAATACTACGTAGGATATATGGAAGGCTCACGTACGTTTCTTTCTCTTAACTTCCGTCTCTTAAAATGCTCCCAAATCTTCTATGTCTTGTAGAGTCAAGATGGCGACCAAGATGGCGACTACTGAGAGAGTGGTGTTAGATATAGAGAAAAATGTATGTAGAGAAGTGTAGTAATTGAGCGTGTTATTCCAACTAACTAGAGAGGGGAAAATACCCATATTTATACTAAAGAAAGGTAACACAAAACATAGTAAATCATAGCCGTATAAGTAATAGAAAGACATGACTAATAAATACCAAGAGAAGAATGAGTCAAAACCCGTGACATGATGACAAATGAGAATCCTTCAATACTATGAAATGTGCTGAGCGTACTATTTCAAGACTTCCCCTCGTGAGCCACAGTAAATAGTAGGAGAAAATAAAACATGCTTGCCCTTATCCAATCCCTTTGTAAGTAAATCCACCACGTTTTCGTTTGTAGAAATATATTCCAACTCAAACAATTTATCCTCGTATCATTCCTGAACAAAATGAAAATGCACATCAATATGTTTAGATCTTTTATGAAAGACAGGATTTTTAACCAAGGACAAAGAACAATTATTATCACCACGAAGAATAAAAGAAAGTTTCGGTTTCCGTTCCAACTCATGTATCGCATTCCTTAACCAGATCAATTGTCGACTAGTATCCGAAAGAGCCATGTATTCTGCCTCAGTAGTAGAGGTGGCGACGGAGCGCTGCTTATAAGAACGCCAGGAGATGAGAGCTTCCCCTAGCATGAAGCAGTGGCCGGTAAATGAGCGGCGATCGTCGATGTCAGAGGCATAGCTTGCGTCACTGAAGCCGATGAGTGCAGTGGATGGCGTTTTTGCGTAGAAGAGTGACCAATCGAGGGTACCCTTGAGGTAACGAAGGACGCGATGGACTGCAGCCAGGTGGGCTTTAGTGGGGCAGGAGGAAAATTGTGAGAGCATGGTGACAGTGTAGGCAAGGTCCGGTCTGGTACCGATTACTGCATATATTAATGAACCGATTATCGACTGATAGATTGTTGGATCGTCGATTTTCTCTGCTTCTGTTCCCTTTTGTAGGTGAACATTGTTGTCGATAGGTGTTGCTACAGGTCTAGATTCATCGAAACCGTATTTGATAAGTACACGCTTGAGATAGGCTTCCTGTGATAGGATCACGCCGGTCTTATTGTGGATCAGATGGATCCCGAGTGCCCAGTTGGGTGTACCAGTTTCCGTCATTTCGAATTCTGCGTGGAGTTGGAGGCTGACGCGGTTTTTGCGTTCAACGGACCAATAGAAGATAAGGATATCGTCCACGTAGATGGCGATGACAACTTCCCCTGTTTTGTGGATGAAAACACAAGGGTCGAAGTCCGCTTTTCTGAATCTCATTTTGATTAGCGTTTTGGAGAGACGAGCATACCATTTCCGAGATGACTGTTTGGGGGCCGTAGATGCATTTGATAAGTCTGCATGCTTTGCCAGGAGTGGGGTAGCCAGGTGGAGATTTCATATAGATTTCTTCCTGGAGTTCGCCATATAGGAAAGTACTTGTAACGTCCATCTGATCGCATTGGCCGCCGGTTTGAAGGCAGCGAGCAAGAAGCAATCTGATGGATTCCTATCAGGTGACGGGGGCATAAGTCTGATCAAAGTCTTGACCAGGTACCTGTGAGAATCCTTTTGCGACGAGTCGGGCTTTGTACCGAATGGGGTTGCCATCGGGCCCGAGTTTGATTTTATATACCCATTTGCAGTCGACCAATTTTCGGTGGTCTGGTGTGTCAACCAGTTTCCATGTATTATTCCTAGCGAGTGAGTCGAGTTCAACTTCCATAGCCTTTTGCCATTTTTCGGAGTCAGGACTGTTGATCGCTTGGTGATAATTTGTTGGTTCTGCAGTTGTGGTGTCATGCTGAATGTTGCATCCGTACCTGACCGGAGGTTTCCGTTCCCGTGGTGGGTTACGTCTCGGTTGATCAGTATCTGTATCAACATCATTGTGCTGGGTATTTTCAGGAGCGTTTTCTTCTTCTTCTTCTTCTTCTTCAGATTCGTCATTGGAAATTTGCTCCATAGTTTCTCGAAGCATTTGTTGGTTAAATAAGTCTTCGATATCGGAATCTGAGAGTTTCGCAGGTGGTGTTGGTGGACGTGATGGTGGTTCTTGTTTGATCTCGATTTGTTTTGGTTTGGGGGGTGTGTCAGTTTTCATTGTTTCGATTTCTTCCCCTACGGACGGACCCTTAAACCTAAAATGACGAGAGAGAACTACTTTCCTTTGTGATGGTATATAAACACGGCAGATCTTATCAGAGTCTCCATAGCCACAGAATTGTCCCGTCATTGCCCTAGCGTCCAACTTTGTTCCAGCTGGTCGTGCTTCAATAGGTATATGAATGAACATTGTTTCTATAACGTGGGTCTATGGACGAGAGACTATAGTGCCAAGGAATACAATCGAGGCGAGAACGTAGTAGAGTATGTTCGTGACTATGGACAATGGGATGATTCGATCCTGATCGGAGATCCAAGATGAGCCCTATGACGTAGCGTAGAACAAAAGTAATATTCGTGGAGTAGAATACAGAGGTTGCGTAAGAAAAGAAGAGAAGAAGGAAAACAGACAAAAGCACAAGACAACGCCCCCTTATATATCCATCCCTAATCCAACGATGACTAATACCTTCACGTAACAGAAACCAAAAGAAGATAACGGAAATCTCCATTACAAATCCTAATTCCACTACACAATACCTCCTTCCTCCATTCCAGTTTATCAACTAGCCGAAATACATAGCTGCCGTTACAGTTTCACCGAAGGATCGGAGATGCCCAATGAAGGGTATCTTGCCGGTGAGTGCTTCATATGGTGTCATGTTCGGGAGTGCTTTATCCGGGAGACGATTTTTGACCTGTACCATTGTATTGATCGCTTCTGCCCATAGATTCCGTGGAAGATCGTGGTCGAGCAAGGCAGATCGTGCCATTGTTGCTATTGTTCTATTAAAGCGTTCTGCTGTTCCGTTTGACTCGTGAGAGTAGGGTACAGTGAATTCATGCTTTATGCCTTTGGAGGGAAAGAACTGTTGAAGGTCATTGGAGATGTACTCGCCACCATTGTCGCTTCGGAACCGTTTAACCGTTTTGTCCAATTGATTTTCCATCTATGCGATGTATCATTGTGTGGCATCTACTGCATCTGACTTCTTTTTAAGGAAGTAGAGGTGAGCGTACCTGGAGTAATCGTCGATGAAAGTAATGTAATAACTAAAACCGCCAAGAGAAGGAGTGGAAAACTTGCCGCTCAGATCTAAGTGGATTAGTTCTAGTGGTTGTTTGGATCGTGGTTCGGTGAGAGGAGCGAGGTGAGATTTGGTAGATTTAGCGAGTTCACATGTGTTGCATATTTCCATGTGACCTGTTGTGGGGAGAGACTTTGGATCGGCGACCATATTACGTAACCGTGGGAGTGAGGAAGCGGGGAGATGTCCGAGTCGTTGGTGCCAGTCATAGAAGCTGGTAGTGATGGAGATGTGTGTGCAAAGTTCCTTGGTTTCAAAGATGTAAAGACCAGTACTATTTGCGTTAGCGATTCCAACGATTTCCTTGCTGTTCGGTTTGTAAATGGTAAAGCCGTTTTCCGTCCCTGTCATTGTGAATCCCTTTTTGGCAATACACGACCAAGATATTAGGTTGGTGTTGCCGAGTTCTGGGATTACAAATACATTCTGCAGAGTGATGGGGCCATGTGATCCGTTGATGGTGACGTTTCCAATTCCGGTTATCTGTAGCTTTCACCCGCCGCCAACAGTGACTGTTCCACTGTGAGGTGAGGTGTTGATAACCTGAGTTCCGGTCATATGGTTAGTTGCACCAGAGTCAAAGATCCATGCTTTGTTGTCAGATGCGGAAGGTCCTGCAACGAAGCCAAAGTAGTCTTCCATTGTTACATCTGAGGTATCTGAGAAAGTGGTGAAGTCGAAGGAAACTGGCATAGTAAATACATCAGCTTCTTCGAGAGCGGAGAGGCCAGAAAGGTCAGGAATCCAAGAGAAATCCAGTTTTGTATGAAATGCAGTACCGGATGCGACGTTGAGGTTGCCAGATGCAGCGGACTTCTCTTTGTCTCTGAAAGCTTTGAGTTTCCGGCAGTCTTTATGCGTGTGGCCTTTTGCAAATTCTCCGTTCTTGGTGCACCATATGCATGTAAGATCCTTTTTGTCTTTTTTGTTGTTCCGTGCCTTGCCGACTTTGTTGTTGTTTCCATGTCCTGGATTTCCTCGCCTGATGTTGTAGGCTTCTCCAGTAACTTGTCCATCGTTGTTGCGCCGTGAGTCCAGATCCAACAGCTTTTCATAGACGTCATCGAAGGTGACGTTGGGCTTGGTTTGCAGGTTGTCAACGACTGATTCGAGAGATTCGTGCCGGAGTGAGAGGAGTAGGAAGGATGCCTTCACTTCTGAGACTGATGAGAGTTGGTGGAGGTGGTAACCGAGTGGGTCTTTGGTTTTGTCCGTAGAGTTACCAGTTCTAGTGAGGAGGGATGACCAAAAACTATTGAACTGGGTTAGATGTTCCTTGATGCCTTTATCAGGCGTATACTGTAGGGTTACAACGTTGGCAAGAAGCGAGTAGAGGAAAGATACAGTTTTCCGATCAAATCTGTCCTCGAGTTGAGTCCAGAGTTGGTGAGCGGTATCGGCCGGAGTAAGTGTGAGGATGACTTCAAATTCGATGTTGGATTGAAGGAAGACGACCGTGAGGTTATCTTTCTTGTCTCATTCACTGATTTCTTCGGCGTTGTCTGTGGTTCCTTCTTCGTCCTCTTCTGCTGATGTTGCTGCTGCTGCACCTTCTGCTGGTTGTTCTGCAGGTGGTGCCGCTGTAACCGTAGTAGTTAACGCAGGACGCTTACTCGTACCATTGACTAGATTCCACAAATCGTAAACTTTTAACATGCGACAAGCGAAGTCCCTCCAAACAGTGTAATGGTCTTAGCTAGACAGCTTGCATGGTAAAGCGGGAATTTTTACGCTATTGTTTGACATGTTTTAAAGTGAAACGATAGAGTGTACTTTGATAGTAAAAATGGTTTGGAGTGTTTTTTAAGCGTAGATGATCTCCGGGCTCATAACCTAGAGAAAAATGTATGTAGAGAAGTGTAGTAATTGAGCGTGTTATTCCAACTAACTAGAGAGGGGAAAATACCCAATATTTATACTAAAGAAAGGTAACACAAAACATAGTAAATCATAGCCGTATAAGTAATAGAAAGACATGACTAATAAATACCAAGAGAAGAATGAGTCAAAACCCGTGACTCATGATGACAAATGAGAATCCTTCAATACTATAAAATGTGCTGAGCGTACTATTTCAAGAAGATATAGTAGAGCCATGATCACTGCTACTGTTAGCTAGAGCTTGATGTGGACTCGCACTCAGTCAGGGTTCGGAAGTAAGTTGACATATAGGCACGAGAATTATGGAGAAGTTCAGACGATAGAGAAGATTAATAATGAATGTAGAGGGCTCTTTGCGTAGTTTTTATTCGGGGGCCCTCTCCCATATCCTTATTTGGGCAAATATGCCCCCATTGGCAAGCACGTGACGGGACTGCTAGCACTGAGCTGCAAACACGTGATGAACTGCTAGCGGTAAGTGCCTCTCACTTGGTGGTGATATAATCGAGTTCTAACCCTGGTAGTAGGTTGAATGCCTGATTAACGATTAAGCATTAAGAACCTGGAACACTTTTATCGTTCTAGTAGATCGGGAAATGAATCAAACGATGCCTTTCCCTGCAAAGAAAATTTGGGAAACGAATCATTTGATTCGTTTCTCGAGGGGATCGGTCGGAAATGGGACCGGGGATGCATTTCCAGGGCCGTTTGATGCATTTCTATGATGCATTTCCATGATGCATTTCCGGGATGCATTAATCCGGACTTAGTGAAGTTCAGTGAAATTCTGAAGAAATCGCATGATTTCAGTCTATATAAGCACAGGTTGGTAAGAACTATAATTATTCATGGCTCAAGTGATAGATTCTAGGTCTTGTTAGCTGAATAATCTAGGTTCAGTTCCTCTATTTTTCGTTTTTTTTACACCAACTAGTACCGCATATGGCTACCATGTTTGGCAATAGGAGACGGTTTTTGTGTCAAGAAACTGGTCAAGAAAGGTGTCCAACGAGACTAATAATTCATTTCTCGGATGCCTTTATACAGGTAGATCGGATTCATTTCTTCGGGACATAGCCTATGGCCCAGATGGTCACTTTCCCAGCACACATTTCCCACACAAACGTTACGTGGTAAAAACGATTCATTACCCGATTCGTTACTCAGCGCTACTAGAGTGGTAAGAAGTGCATTCGGCTATAGACTGGTCTATCACATCACTGGAAAAGGATACGTGAGGTAGAAAGCGAACACGATCAGGGATATAGCGGTATTTGTAATTTAAGAATCCACAAACAAAACAATCTATCTGATATTCAGCTACCTTTAATCAAACAAGTCTCAAATGCCGATAAATAGCGATTTACTCTCCACAGACCGAACCCCAAACATCGACCCACTTTACCTCGGGTCTATTACAAAAATGTACTGGACCGTCATAACACGATAGAAGATCTCACGGACCGGCACCGGCGCTCTCTGGTGATAATGAGGAAGGCCAAAGCCGTCGCCAGGACATCTGAGCTCGTATCCCTACATACCGTTCATTAGCTATAGATGAGGAAGTATGGTATCGACGGTTCCTGAACGTACTACCGTATTCTGCGTTGCCCTGCGGCGCTTTAAAAGGTTGAAGGCTCTGAGAAAGGTCAGAACGGCTACCACCATGGCGATTGCCCCAAACACAGTATTCGAGATTTCGAACCCATTGCTAGACTTTACGTCTCGTCTAAGAAGTGAGTTTGGTATAGTTGTGTAGGGTATGTACTTGGGTGATCGAGGGTGACTTTGATCAATTGAGCTTGAGGAGCATGGACGATATATATATATTATCACGGAGCCTGGCAGCCTCATAGCTTTTCGAATAGTTGCAGAGTACCGCCCGTAACTGACTGGCTAACTACTGCGGTACATGTATTTATACCTGCAAAGTAACATTTAATTACAAGTAGGTGTACTACCCAGTGCTGAAACATTTGTACCGAAGTATTTCTCAGCACGGCTTCTGCACCCTGATAAACGAGGCAAAATGCACTCCGCAGCTCACAATCTGTACCTATTCCTACGATCGCAAGAGCATCGGGAAACAAATGCTGATCAAAGTACGATTATATCTAACTGTTTTTGGAGGTTGCCGGGATTGCTTTCGGACCTCCTTGTCTATCCAGCTGTACGTACATCTTACTAGTAGTTGCCCATCTCGCGACTGCAAGGTCTTACTTCCACCTGAAAATCTCTCCCACATACATTAGTACTTCCTGAGGCTAGCTCCAGTAGTTAATACTGCCTTTAGCCAGCTCTCGTAGCATGGCCAGCTCTGGCAGTTGACAATAGCAAGCTCCAGTACTTGGCCAGCTCCAGTACTTGGTGTTGAAATCGAGCGTCCAGTGCTTGGGATTCGGGGAGGGTGACTAGTATAAAGCGGGTGAGTAGGGGTGAAGAGGACGTCAAGTGCGGGTCATACATACTAGGATCGTGGTCAACGACCTCTCTTCTGTCTTTCCCTTTTCTCTCTTACTTTTTTTGTATATATATCATTGAACGAGTCAATCAAGCAATTAAATCATCGTTCTCAACACTTGGCCAGCTCCTCCGGTCTCCGGTAGTTTCCCATTCAAACTTGGAATATTAATTCTCTCCATGACAGTTTCCAGCGAAATTTGATGCTCTCAGTCCAGTACAGAAATTACCCCCTCTTACTTTCCAACTCTAAGACTTCTCATCCCCAGTACATGTGATTGCCCACCTGCCACAGTCGCCCAACCCCCGTAGTTTTCCCGTTGGTTTGCCAGCCCGTGCTCGTCGCTATGCAGGGCTAGGGATTCTCGCTCTCGACCAATGACAGTGCAAGAACTTCAGAAAAACCACGTAGAACAAGAACTGTTTATATGACTGGTTTGGCCAATTAATAGGCTTCTCCCATACGTACCCCTACAAGAATCCTACGCTTTGGGCCCCTTAGAACTAAAGCAATGTCATGATGCACCACCGGAGGATAACTGTAGACTGGCTTTGATCTTGTCATATTGTACAGCGGGTTGTACAATTATTGTATGGTTCTTGGACGTAAATCACCGTCTTCGCGCCAAAACACGCCAAGATGGGCAACGCCCTTAACCTTCACTTCTTTATCAACTACCACAGAGCCTTCGGGACTATAGAATAAATATATTTCAAGGTGTAGGTTTGTTCAACAAATGTGTGGGAAGTTATGTAGCTTTGAAGAGGTCTTGGTGCATTTTCTGAGAATAACCGAACAACATTCTCTATCATTCTACAATAAATATTTTTGAAACCCAAGACTGTCAAGTGATTCTCCTAATGATTAAGTTGTATTTAACTAATTGGTACATGTTATATCTTAAAATGGCGGGTTCTGGAGCTATTAGAAAAGTGCTGATTTCGGCGTTTTTTGGTGCGGTTTTCCTTCGCGACGGTGATTTATGTCACCGTAGTGTAGGAATATATGAGGAGCTCTATTGGCCAAACCGGCCATACGAATCGTGTATTCAGGCCTCTTTTCTACAATATAATGGTTTTCGCTGCACCTTCAGAGGAGTCTTCTTTTTCGAACCTGGATACCAGAGGTGCTTTTTTCCGGTGGCGGTCCAAGATACCAGAACAAAAATATGATGTGTCATCTAAAATATGGGGCTCTGCTTCACACTCGACCCCCCCATCAGACCCCAGCTGCAATGCCTGTATTTGGTATTGCTCAATCAAGCAACTTGGACCTAGTCTGTCATCCTGCTTTGCAAAACCTTTCGCGTGATATACTCTTTCCATTTTGGACATAATAAGATCCCGTCGTCGTCTGTTTTGGTCATGCAGCGTTATCCTTATTCTCTCGATAAGGCTGTCCACGCTTTGCACGCTATGCACCCTACAACAGCGGGTGGGTGGTGGAGCCAGTTATTTTCTGTGAATTACTCTCTTACCAACCTCGCTCACTCATTGGGTCTGGATGGAGTCGATTCATAGTTCGTGATTAAATCTCAGCTTGATTGATTGATTGATAATGACGAAGCCGCAAAATCTCATTATATACGCCTGTGGGAAATAATCAAGATATCCACAAAATTAGTTCTAATAGCTCTCTATGGCGTCATTTATTTTCGATATCAATTCCCCTCAGCGGCGTATTTATATTATTAATAATTAGGCGTAGTTTTGTCGACGAGCCTGGTCGAGTGGAGTTTTACTATTGGCTCGAGCAGCTCATCCGTTTAGGAGACTAGCTCTACTCGACTCGTAATGTCACCCTTGCTCGTGGCGAAACTCGAGCTTTCTAGTAGATATGTTTAATGCCGGCCTATTGCTTAATAAGGTAATATTAGGTGTTCAACAATTTCCATTTTGAGGCCGGTTTTGAGGCCCAAGACATACGTTTCGTTCCTGGAGAACCCTTCTAGCCTCGGCATCGCCGAACGCGCCCTTATAGTTGGTTACCTCCATAGAAATTGTTCGTTGTGCACTCATAGGCAACCTTTGTAATCGATATTTCCTAGCTACATAAGTCGATCGCCGAAAGTACGCGTAAGTATAAATAACGTACCATCCTCCACCCCTTATTCACAACTTGTAGAAGCCTACCAAGGTCACTAAACACGTCTACCTATTGTATTAAGCCCTAATATTCTTCACCGACTGCACTCCAAAGACCCAGTATCTGGACCGACTACTCCCCACCAATATATACAGCTCCTTCTTAACAAAACAAAGACATGCCAGGTTCTCTCTCTCCCTCACTCGGCTCGCGTGTCCGCAGCATCATTGGCAGAATCACCGGAAGCAACGAAGAGGACAGTACTGACCCTGCCGATGTTGACCGCATAGTGGCCCAGCTTTGCATCCTCGAAGCAACAAACAATCAGCTTCGCACACGCTATATTGAGCTTGGAGACACACATCTCAACTCAACCCACGCAGGATCTGATGAACTGCTTGCGAGGGCACAGGATTGCAAAGCGCAGCTTAAAAGACTGCTTAAGTCCAGTGGGATCGATATGATTCTCAGAGTCGAGGTTAACAGTGCGTTGGAAAAATTAAAGGATATGGAAAGAGTATACGCGCAGGCACGCAGATGGGCCTGCGTTCAAGTTTAACGTAGATGGTTTGTTCGGTAACTTGGACCATACATCGGGTGGTTGGGGAAGCAGGGTTAGGGTTGGTTGGAATGGTCGGATTCATCAATGGCAGCTGCAGGGGTGTTCTACATTGTGGAGAGTTTTTGATAGTTTGACATACGGTTATCGATTGATGTTGGATTGAAGTTATAACATTCAAATTTAGAAAAATCAACATTCAAATATTTCTACTCGGATGTGCCTGTTTTGGATTGCGAGTGAGTTCTTTTGGAACTACATCATCATGATCAAGTTACCGCGCGCGGGATGTAGCTACATAACCTTATGGTTCAACCATCGATCAACTCAATAAGCTTATAAGCTCGAGTCCAAGGTCTCGCTGAGAATCTCTGGTTCTGTTACCAATCTCCGGAGAGGTAGAAGCGTGATCTTCTGATAAATAGCGGCGCCTACATTTCAAACTACTGTAGCTTTATCCGCAGATAACTATGCATAGAAACTTTCTGTTCTAAGTGACCCCAACAGCTGCTAGCTCGGATGGTTCGGAAACATTCTATAAATCTACCAACCCGCGGATACCCTTGATTTCGCGCATGCACACACCATAAAGGCCTAGAAAGTGATATCTGTCATGGACTTAGTATTTATGTGTCATTATTGCCTCAATATGTGCCGGAGTGAGATATGATGGTTCGAGTGATATTATATGATCCAATAGTTTTGACAGTTTGGATAAAATTGCTCATCAGGTATGAACATATCGTTATCGGAGGGCACAAATTAAAGAAATAAAAAAGAAAGTTTCCAATTTTTATTCACCTGGCAGTTATGCTACTTACATGATCGATTGAAGTTTTCTCATGGTCCACGGGTATATTGTTCACGTGGGGTGTATATGAACTAGAATACTATGATTCAGGGCTGCCATGATTTTTCTGATCGAGAATACCTATAAATAGCCACATATGCCATGAAAAGGACGTAAAGCAACATAAACTAGACTGGCTAAATCGAGTGATATCTGATGATTAACATAATTATCGTTCTTAGAATTTTTAGGGGCGGTGCTGGAGAACTACAACATAATAACAACTCGCGACGGCACGTAGTATCTCTAACTAGGAAGCCACAACCAGAAGCTCAATCTCTCGTATTACGGATCCTCCTGATTCTTCTAGCTCATAGCAAAAATGAACTGATAATCGTATTAAATATTAAGACATAAATAAATAAATAGGAATAAATAAAGTGTTCCGCAATCTCCCTAATACGTCCATTCGCGCATACATACCTTCACACCCCCCAGATTAGCGATACATTCACAACACGGTGCGCCCCTCAGAAAAAACCCACAGTCTCCAACCTCAACACCAAGTCGCGATCCTTCGCATCCTTAAACCTATGTCTCTGCACATCAACCCTCGCCCTCAGCTCGCTGCCAACCACTTCCTTCCTCAGCATCTTCGCAATCTTATCCTTGCTCTTGCCACCCCTCTTCAACAGGTCCAAGCGTAGATCCAGCTCTGCACTAATATCGGGCACCGTGGTGTGGTGCGGCCGGTTGTAGATGTCCGCCACGATCTCCGTGAACACCGCGAGCTCGGCTTCGACGAGCTCGGTAATGGTGGGGGGGTCGGCGAAGGGGTTGACGGGGTCGGCGAAGGGGTTTTCGTCTTCGTCACCGTCGTTGTCGGAGGCGTGGAAGCTGCCGCCAGAGAGGCGCTTGATGAAGGTCTGGACGCGCCTGCGGATGGGCGAGGGTCGGCGGGGCATTGTGATTTGGCGTGTGTTTGGATTTGTACTTATGGTGTGTAATGGGGCGCGGCTCGCTGTGGGCGTGGTTTACGTATAATGGATCAGGCAGGCCTCTCGATCGCTGCATTTAAAGACCTGTTTTGAGCGGGGTAGAACCATTGAATTGGAGGGTATGCTGTGCGGAATTATTCTATCATTACACAGGAGAATTCTACGCAAGGATATGCGCACAGAAAGTGCAGTGGTAGATTGAATTTATCATCTATGGAATCTCCCGGGATTAATATACCTATGAGTAGTGCTGTAACCTACGCAACTGCCTTCATGAACTTACGTAGGATTTTCATCCATATATCGAATAGAGCGCACACCAGACGCTAATAAACTTCCAGGAATGTATCTCCATATATATTTGACAATGGGTGCAAGAAACCAATGCACATCAGTCCTGTTTGGTCAGCCTGAGATGTACTGTGCAGTAGTCTTGATATATCACTCGGTCTTCAACTATCACTCGATGATAGTTGGCGTAATAGTACGCTTGAAGACCATTGCGGGAACTTGGGTGCAACAGTTAGCGAAGTGCGATAAAAGGGTTCTCGGAAGGTTTACGCCAGATCTCTTTGCTTCTAATCTACTTCGGTGCTGGGGCTATCAACTAGTATTGCCGGCCGCTCTGGCTCCATATACACGAATATGCACACAGGACAACGATCCAGATGAAAGTTTAATTATCTAGTCCTGGAACTCAGGAGCAAAGCAAACGTAGAGGGTTTAAACTACTAGCAACGTTCTGAGTAGCCATCAGTATCCAATCAAAGGCGCGTATAAACACATGCGGCACACAACTCCTATTAGCCCAAGACGGTCACTTCTGGTCTTCTCTTCGCGAAGTGGGATCAATAAGGTAATTTCCGCTGCTTGAATAGCTCATCGCTGGTGACCTCTCTTCTTCCGTATGCTACTTTACATGGCCGGTTAATGAGCCTGCTTAATTAATATTATCCGAAGCTCGGTGGTCAGTGTATCGTTCTAGCCTCAACCGAACGAAGCGGGTAGCTGGCCGCGCCATACATGGAGAGGCGGCGTGTGGAGTCGGTGTTTAATTGTTACATCGGCAAGCGAGACGTGTCGACCGCTTAGCTGGTTCTAGTCTGTATACATGTACATGTAGTTAACCGGCATAGAGGCTGACCATGCATATGGCCAAGTACGTACTGAGAGGACTGCATGGAGGACTCGGTTTAACGATCCCCCCGAAGACACATGACAGCAGTACAATTCCATGTTGGTTTAAAGCCTTAGCAGCGTTAGCACTAGCGCCAGCGGTGGTGCCACTACATGTTGTGGGACGAGGGATCGATCCGGAGCAGGCCGGTAGACCGCTTATAGACATCATACCTAGCGGATATCCGGCCGCGGATCAAACGCATGCGCACTCTACATCAACTTCCCAGTGCTGCGAGAAGGAAGTTGCCACTGGGTCACAGAATCATACGGACTGTAAGTATGTTCCTTTCAATGGTCACACGAGTTCTCCTAGATTGTAAAACACTTTAAGAGATAGTTACAGTGAAGGTCCTTCTATTATGAATACAGAACCAGCTACCTCTAGTGCAACTATCAGTATTATTACTGGGTGATATAAAGGTATATCGATTATATACATTTTAATCGTATCATCGTATAAAGTAAAGAAAAATCGCATCTAAAGATTTAAACATTTGGATGGCAGCTTATATATGGGTTTAATTAATCCACTACATGTATCTTAAGGACGTAAGACGGGAAGACGGACTCGCAGCTCATGAAGGATAAAATAGTTTCTTGATGCTTTTCCTTCTGTCTTTATTCAGTCTCATAACCTCCAAAATGTTTATAGACTTTGGAAGCCTTTCATCCCGTAAAAGAAGGTTCACTCAGGCTACCCTCACACACCCCAGACTGATTGCGTGAACTGGCGGATTCATCTCGGCCGTTTTCGGTGCTCTCACGGCTAGTGTTGGGCACGAGCCTGTTCGAGACGAGCCACACCTAGAGCTCGAGCTGGCTCGGATTGTGCCAACGAAGGTTCAGAATGTTCGAGCTCGGGAGTATGGCTCGAGCTTAGGCTCGAGCACTCATTAATATAGTTAAAAAAACGCAGTTCCTGCCTATCCTCCTGTCGCGTTAGAGCTCCACCGGCTCCATAGAGATAAGTACTACAGAATTAATAGTAACTGCGTTCAACTGAGCACAAATAACCCTTCCCATCCAACGGTTGGCCTGGATACCGTGTAACATGCAGATGATAGCCATTAGGTAAGCGATTTTCGCCAATCATCCCTGCATGAGTCAGGCACCAATCAGGACCTGTACGTCCGGGAGTTCCCGCTCTCGATCAGGAACAACGTCAATTCGTCATTTTCTGCGCGTGATTGGGCTGAATCTGACAGCTACTGGTTCGATTTCATCTCCAGATATACACACCTGGTGCTGATCACAGTAGGTACCCCTCCGAGTGGCTGGACGGATGTTTCTACGCCTAATCCCCCGCGAATCAGTATTGTCAATCCCGCAAGCTTAAGTATCCTGGGCGTCAATCATCAAACACTTTTGACAGGGACTGGCAGCAATCCACCACGTGGAAGCTTGCCTTATCGAGGTGCAGCGCAGTGAAGGTTCGAGTACAGCCATGCTGGGAAATGATATCCCCTCCTACCTTCTCACGAACAATAGGTATGCAGCCCAGATCCATAGACGAAGAACTCAGTCATTGGAATGGATTGCTCGAACGCGAAGTATTGTTTCTACTGGGCAACTTTGCGGACAACAAATTCTTGGCACTCCCGAGACTGCAATCTGGAAGCAGATTAATTTCGTATCCGACCAGCAGCTTTACAATTGAGAGAATAAACGAAGCAAACTCTATTCATAACTCCTACCAGGAAAGCTCAGCTCACAATGGAATACTGGCCTTAGGCCATACTGATATAAGAGGACGTTCGGCCAAATATATCTCGTGTCTAAATCTCGTTTCCGGCGATTAATCGCTGCGCTTCTAGTAACTTAAGTTCTCCATCTGGAATGATGGTAAATGGGTGGTGACATAATCATCTAACTGAATTTAATATACCTTCCGCTTTTATCTCCAATAAATGTTTTATTGACTACGATCCGATGGTACTCTCAGCTCTTGTTGGTATGATTGTTGTTATCTGCCGTCGGCATATTCCACTCCTAGCACGAGTTATTTAGTCAAAATCTTCGCCTTGTTTTCTTATGACGATATAACTTAGGACCATATGCGCAAAGATCACCTCTTGCGGCATGTGTACAGGACGATCTCGGGTGAATGAAACACCGGCATCTGGTAACATTGGTCGTTTCTACTGGATAAAAGTCTAGGTGAGAACTTAGGCGACTTTTGAGGAGCCAGCAGAGTTATGCACAATTTAAGTGCGTCCTCTCCACCAAATAGTGCCCAATCACCTCCCGTCTAATATTCGGAGGTTTTGGGTCGCTAGAGACAGTGCGAAATAAATAGCAGTCTCACCTCCCATCGCTCAAGTGAAAAGCCCACTTGCGAATTATTGAAATATCTCACACTGGATGTAAGTACTCATGATCATATGAATTCACCCCTCATTCACTCGATTTTCTAACTTAACAGTATCTAGGTGAATTAATTTCATCTTACGCGAGCTAGTATCCTATTTTTATTACTCTAATATCATTGATATTAGGTATTACAACTCCACCGAAGCAGTACCTCTACAACACGGACTTATATAAAGGCTAACCTTGAGCGCTGTAGAATAAAACAAGATGTTGAACTCACAACATATAATCGCTATCATATTAATCCAAGCTCTGTCTACCGAATGTTCCCCGGTCCAACAAGTATCTTCAACCAATTCAACCAAATCCAACCCCTCCGCAAGATTCCCGGGACATGAGGCTTCCTGGGTATCGGGATCGATAAGAAGGGGCACTCTCGATATTTTATTCCCATGCATCCTCACTCTCCTCTTATGCGCCTGGACTGCAGTCCACTCAAATATCGAGCCTACGTTCTGGAACATCAGCTACAGACGATATTTAGCTACGCGCAAGCTCGATGAGTGCGATCCTACTGAAGTTTCAACAACAGAGAATATCGCCACGCAAGTGCCAGCTCCAGCACCAACTATCCCTCCAAAACCTCTGTCGCCATGGGATGCGCTCGTTGCAAAGTTACGCTATGGCTTGAATACTAATAAAATGGTGTGGAGTATCATCACACTCCTCTTTCCCGAGATTTCCCTCCTCGTGGCAGCGCATGAAAGGCGAACTGCACAAATGCTCACCCACGCGATGCAGGGCGCTGTCGTACTAGGGAAATATACAAGGGAGTGGGACTTGACCCTATCGTACTACGCATTAATGGGGGGGTTTGTGGTTTTGGAAAAGCTACCTGGAAAAGGAGAACAGAAGATCGATGAGAGGGGCGAGGGGGGCGCATCTAACATTATTCCTGTCGATCCCAACCTCGAGACAATCAGAGAAAGAGTGACACTCACGCCGCGGGGGGTACTACACGTAGCTCAGTTAGGGTACCTCAAATACCCTCCATCCCAGGGTGTCAAGGATAAAAGCAAAGTTAATCGACTTGCAAAGTTCCTGGTGGTGGTGCAGGCAGTCTGGATGATAGCTCAGGTGTTGAGTCGGTACATAACCAGATTACCGGTTTCATTACTAGAGCTCTATACAATATTGCATACAATGTGTGCGGTGGTGATGTACGTGGTTTGGATTGATAAGCCAGTCGATATCACTCAACCAACATTTGTTGATGTTCCCTCGGACGTCATGAAAATGCTGTCAAAGAAGCTCCTACCGAACGATCAATTCTCAAAATATCCCGGGATCAACAAGTACGAAAACGAAACAGAGGTATTTTGGCACGGGGAAGGCACCGCATGTCTCACAAGTCGAGCCGGGTTGGGAAAGGTTCTCTTCCGGCAGTTATGGAATGTGTCCATGATTAAGAGACAGGGGATAATGGGGAAAATTCTCTTTGTTTTTGAGGTTTATCAGGCTGTGCTAAACGGATGGAAGAACTTTTGGAGGGAAGCGTTAGGGCTTTCAGTTGTCAGTGTCGTCCACGGATGCCTTCACCTAGTTGCATGGAGTTACCAGTTCCCGAGCGAGGTGGAGCGTCGGCTGTGGAAGATATCATCTCTTCTCACAGCTGGGTCTGTTGTGATCTTTTGCTTTCCCATGTTGGTTGGTATGCTTGCTCAATACTTTTGGAATGACCTAAAGGGTAAGGAGTCAATATCCACACATGAAATCGACAACGACAGTTCGGCAATGCCGGACATTGAAAAATTGGCATTGGAAACACTCAAAAGCGATTCCAACAGTCTTTCAGATCCACAATTCAGTCCCGGAATCAAGCGTCCAGTCCTGAGGGCACGGCAATTATCGACTAGCCGAATTTATACTGGGGCAGCTATAAGATTCATCTACGGATACTGCCTCTGTTTTCTTTTGGGGATTCTCCCTTGCGTTCTGGCGAGGCTGTATTTGCTATTTGAATCGTTTGTGTCAATGAGGCGGCTTCCATACGGCGCGTACGATAAAATAATGTGGACTGATTTCCTACCTCACGTCGGATAAGATCTTTCACTCTGATCTTTTTCTATGTTCTTTGTTTTATAGTCTGCTTTCATGCTGGAGTTTGGGTGGCGTTGGCTGTCATCCTCCGAGTGTTAAATTATGTCTTATACACATATACATATGTAACTCTTTCTTGTTGTTTTCGAGTCTAGCTGGTATATATTCCAAAGCTCTACGGTAGTCCTTCTCTGTTCTCTCCTTTGTTCTGAGTTCTATAATATATTGGGCTTTGTTAATATTTACAGTAAGATTTGGTTCTCACTACTGGCTACTCTATAAGTGATAGAAGGCCACCCTCTCATCCGTACACACCCGAGTCAATGATTCTTAAGAAACTGAAGTTGTATGCTACTGGACATGAATTCTTGGCAGAACGTAGATAAATTGACTCAACCTCCAACCAGCTATAGCTATCGTGCGTAGCACCCATGCTCAGTGAGGACAAGGCGTGTATGCAGCGAATCTGTGTATGGCATATATATATTGCGGAAAGCCCTTATGACGCAATTCCGGAAGGTCTTGAAACTTCATCCGAGTGGATAAAAACAAGTCACTATTGAGGTGAGGTTAAGCCTGTGGTTTTTCAGCACAACTAAGCTTCGTGTGGGGGTAGGTTGTGAGTGGGCGGTAGTGCAGAGATGTGAAACAGGGATCGATGCAGTAGACCCGACCAATAGGAAGTTCAAAGTCTCAAATATTACATAGCACTCGATCATGCCATGCATGGCGCCATTCTTTTTGCTGCTGATCAATAACCAACTTGCTGTAACCAGGCTGAGAGAATATTTCTAGAATAACTTGTTGAGTTTAGGTTGGTGGTTGATTCCCATATATATATAATATATGTAGTTACCGTGGAGATTTACAGCGATAGGTACTTCATATAACGTTCTCATGCATGGCGTTTATGCGCGTGCACTTTGCATGTGTTTCACGTCCGAAGATCTACATGGGCCTGGCACTACTACTCTATAGGGCTGCAGAACAGTAGAGTACTAAGATGTGGATCAAATCTGAATCCGGAGCGTTGATAATTACATAAGATACCTTTCCCTTGTCCTAAATGAATCTGAGAAACAGCTCCGAGGTCCGGGGATCCTTTTCACTTTACGCTAGATCACCTTATTGAAAAAGTACTCTAATCCACACAAGCTGTTCAAAGACACCCAACAAGCTAGACAAGTTCAATCAGCAAGACAAAGTCTAGCTCCGTCATGGTCACGTCATCAGTTAGCAATAATCCTATCAATAATATATTGACATGAATTGCTCTCCTCCTGTACTACATGATTCTAACTGTCTAATACTAGAGCTATACTATCCAAACTAAACGACGAAACAAAGCATCGAAACAAAGTGGCAGCTATCTAAACCATACTAAACCACATTTCCCCGTGCTATTAGCGGATAGAATAGTATAGCTGTAGATGTATGAAGCTAGTAGCCCATCCGGGAGTACCTCAAGTCCATCCACGAACTAGTCAAGTCCATTAGCGAATCCGAAGTAGTTATTGCCAATCACCCAGAACAGTGGTTTCTTTCAACAACTGTTGCCACGCCAAATTTTACCAATCGTACCCTTTCCCAGAACACACTCAAACTAAGTTATCTTTTCCGGTACGCGCAGGTGAAACTATGTACGCTGGAATCATAAACCATCACTCGATCACTGCCCGGAACCCTAGCTAAAATATTGTTGTTAATTCATTTGTTGTAGACATCCTACTCTAGCTCCAAAACCGAGCTGTGCTAAATCATGTTGGGTAAAGAACAAGGGTTCGAGAGCATATAGCGTCCTATATATATTAACTACTGCGAATAACGCCGAATAGAGGTCCATATGCATTCTATCTATTAGGACACTTGAGAGGCAATCATCGAGTATCTGTCACTTGAGGGACTAGCGGAAAGACTCGCAATCACGTAATTACGCCGAGTTTTAGGTCTTACTACTCTCCTACCCTACGAGTCGGACGGGTTCCTAGTCTTAGCACGGCTAGGACTAGTTATAATCAGTCCATAGAGAGGTTGCAAGTAACGACATTAAGCTGTCGTTCTATTATTCCGCTTGTAACATCTGACATGTTAGAGAAGAATCATAGAAACCGAACACTAATGTCTCGTCACCGTGGTGCATAAAAGATCTGGAATTGTTCAGCTCCCGTGTGGGGTGACAAGCCACCGAGTGATAGTCTATGATTGATTTAATAAACTCAACACATGGACATGTGACGGGTTGAGTAACAAGACTCGCCGAGAGTGCGTCTAAGGTTGCCCTGTTGCGTTGTCGGTTAGTCTCTATTGACGCCCCCTCTTGTCAGGATATACTTTAGATTCGTTAGTAGAGAAAGAAGACCTGATCTACGACACAAGGTTGTTTTAATGCCGGCTCCGATATCCGCAGATGTAGGGCCAGAGGCATCTTTAACACATTTAATACTTTAATTGGAGAATTGTCTTTCCAATCATAGATCCTCGTCCCATGTAGATAACGGCCCGGGAGGATGTTACGTTTGATCTCCTGCCATGTCTATGCGCTGTAATAGCAAGCGTGCCGGAAGACGCAGAAAGGGGACGCGATTGCGGTGAGGATGAGAGCACCCTCGCGCTTTGTGGTTGGTGAGATTGAGAATAAGAGCAATCAAGACAAGCCTTCCGGTGGGCTGCGCCCTGTTCAATCAAGTGGGGACGGTAGATGGAGAGCATTGTGAACCACCTTTGCAGTCATATCATCCCCACTCTTCCCCACAGAATGTCAAAGCGCTACCTACACCACTGCTGATTAACCCAGTATGTTGCTAAGGCTACCAACGGGAGTTCAAGGATGACTCATAGGACTACCATTTATAGCGCGCAGATACGCTAAATAGTTCAAACATGAAGATAAGACCAATCCCAATGTACCTACATATACGGGGCAAGGATACTGGGAGCTTGACTCATTGACTAAGAATGCATCAGGCAGCTATGGTACCTGATCAACAGCCATGACCTTAGGCAGGCTCTGACAGAAACGTAGAGCTGCTCTTCGAGTAGATGTTGAGATAGGATCCGGTAAGTAGAGAAAGAGTGAGAATTTCCACTCATCGGAGCCGGCGTACCCTTAGTAGCGCGTATGCAAGGATTGATTTAATGGCGGTAAAGATAGCGGTGAGAACTTTCAAATTCAATGTGGGACAGAGCATCCGAGGTGATTGGTATTTCTCAATTAATGCTTTAAGATCTGTCGAGCGTGACGCGAACCGGTTTTCGTAGTACCGTCACGCCACGTGACATTAAATATGTACTAACGAATATATCACCGACCAATCAATGATTGCAACAGTACTGTTGGGAATGGTCATGCATGATTTCTAGTTCTTTGGGCAGTATCTGCATTCATGTAGTACATCGTTAGGCAAGAAAACTTTATACATCTAGCTTCATATATTGATATATGCCGTTGAGTGCAGATTTATATGCGGGCTGCAATTGGAGCTCCACTAGAGTACAACCCCACAGTGTGCGTATACTCTATATGAGTAATACCGTAGATTGCATAACCAGTAGTATCAGACTCCAATATCCAGTCGGGTAGCTTGCACTTCGTGTTACGGTGACATGGAATTATTAGATATCTAATTAATTAAGGATCCAATCGGCTGGTACCCACAGTCCTGGAATAGATCCGCCACCCCGTCATCCCTATAAAAGCCCCATCCCTCTCCCAAACATCGTCCCCAAATCCCAAGCCCACAAATTCTCAATCTCGCCACTCACCAACCCCACTACCGCCACCATGGCCTTCCTCTACCAGACCAAAGCTTTCGACCTCCAACTCGAGTTCAACAACCTCGGCGTCCCCACCGGCATGTACAACCCGCACGGTGACACCATGCTCAAAGCCTTCGAAAAGCTGCAATCCCTCGCTGATACCCTCGACAACTTCACCACCTGGAACCTCACCCCAAACCCCCAGAAATATAAAGATCTCCAAACTGAAGCAACAGCCGCCGAAGCCGCCAAGCAAGAAGCCCTACGCTACTGTCCGCAGTCGTCTTGGGGCATAATCACAAAGCTGCTAGATATGTCGGAGGAAGTGCTCCTGAGGCTGGAGGCGCTGCTACCACTAGACACACTGACGCTGTTCGACCAGCGTTTGGTCACGATGAAGAGTGAGTGGGCAGTAGTATATTCGTATATATACCGCACGGGGCCGTTTGGCGACTCAATGAAAAACACGTTTGTGGCTCTAGAGAAGCTGGCGCGGTATCTTGACCGTTTCCCCGGATGTGATTTGGAGGAGAACGAGGGGGAGTTTGAGAAGCTTCAGGAGATGGCGGGGGAGCTGGAGACGCAGAAGAGGAGGTTGAAGAATTTTTTGACCGTGGAGGAGTGCAAGGTTCCGAGGAGGATGATTAAGCTCGGAGATGTTATGTGGATCAGAGCTGCTCTTCTGTTGCCGTCGGATCGTATGAAGCTGTGGAATTTGGGATTCCCGTCTGCTATAGTTAACTAAGCTTTCTACTTGGTTTTGGAGTTTTTTTCTGGATCACTAGATGGCGTATATGAGGCCCGGAAACAGCTTTGGTTGCTGTGGCAGAGTTATTTCTGCCCTCTGTTGAACATATTTGGATATGATAGTTCTTTCATGATTCCCTGTCTTTCTTTCTTTCTTTCTTTCTACATCGGTTTAATTCCCCGCATTATGGTACTCTTTCCTTCTACAGCCTGCAAATTTGGCTCAGTTATTAATAATTATCGTCGTTTTACTATTTCAAACTATTCATCTTTGTAGTGGAGTTGACCACTATCCAAACTGCTTATCCTCAATAGAACACCTACCACTTCCGTGATATTACGGGCCCATTTTGTATCTGGGCTTGATGACCCAGACGGTGGAGGAGTCAGTTCTATGGCTCAGTGCAGTGCGTGTTGCATGTGAGCATGCGACTGCGCGTGTACCACAGCTGGAAGGCTGCATCTCTAGACTTGTATTGACTCTATGAATCAATCAATCAGCGAGACTGCGCATGGATCAACAGCAACAACCCAATAACAAACTGCGCGTGTTTAGCTTCGAGTGATTATCCATGAAGCGGAATAGCCCCAAAGGCTAGGCGTGACATCCTTCCTCTTCCCATGAATCCAATCTTGATTAGGCTTGATTTTAATCTTTCTGAATCGATCCCGAGACAGTAACTCACTCTCGAGGGTTCAAGCATAGTGTCTTGTCGTCGCGACGTGTCACGCTCCAAGATAAGATAAGCTAGCGCTAGTAAAAAGAAGAACGCCCGACTGTTGCGTGACAGAAAGCAACATCTCCGGATCTCCCTTTTATTGCTGTGACGATATCTCGACAAGCACTGGTGTTTTATTCTATACACGAGCACCAAAATAAGTAAATGCCCCTCGGAAGCCGTCATTGGGATCGCTTTAGTTCCACCCACCATAGCGAGCTTAGCTGGTGATATATCGTCCTCTATTGGCCCCGCTCTATACGCGTCCGAAACCCCCGGGAGAATAGCGCGGCGTCTTGTGGCGAGTATATAACTGTCACCTCCTCCCCCTCCCTCATCCGCTACCTTCTGTTCTTCTAGAGATAAGCAAGTTGCAACCTTCCTTGGCTTCCCCGCCATAGAAGACCTCCGCGGAGCTGTCATCGTCGGCGGATCGGAACCCGATTATCTAATGCCTCTCCGCCGTCCCTGAGACGTCTCTCTGTTCTCCGTACCCCCGAGGCTTCCGCGGGGTAGCCATCATGTAGGACGTATAAATGATACTAGATCCTCCCTACCATTCCCATCGTTTTTGTTAGTTGTTTAAAATCGGCGTCGAACGGCCTCTCTTGCCTTCTATCAAGGGCCATCGACGTCATCCCGGAACCTGTCACTTGTCCTCTACTACTGCTGCAATATCTCTCTCTCCCCCGTCACCTCCTGTAAAATAGCTTTTATCACCGTACAACCCCCATCTCATCGGCGATGTAAAGTAACCACGAGATTACCTTGTCGGCCGAACAGTCCATATCCGCATCATGTTTCGATCTTCACCAACACAAACTCGCTCTCCTAGTTAGATAACGTCTAATCAGTCCAGAGCTCGATCGAGCCCCCGATCGAATTTTAATCCCTTTTCTCCCACCATCCTACATGATCTCGAGTAGTGGTAGGCAAATGACGGAATCGTCTCAAAGCTATCCTGGACCCTCTAAACTCCGCTAATTTGTGCTAATCTGTGCTGTAGTGCGTGCATTAGAAGCACTATGGTCGATGCTATATATCTGCTAGCCGGCCAGTGTATGAAACCTCTGAAGCAAGCAAACTGCTATCCATTTCGTTAATAGCCACCTTCAACGCTTTAGCTGGTTGCATAACGAGGCTCCAGAGATAGATATGGACGCTATCTATAGCACTGTAATATAATATATATGTATATCCATCCCGCGGGTGTTTTCTGATGATGCCGCAGCGCCGATGAGTCCTGGAAGGGTGCCAAAAACATACTCCTGCCCCTGGCAGGCACTTATCAACCCTCTAGTTGCGTGTCAAGAGTAGGAGTATGTTTCTGTTTTGTGTTTTGGTTAAACGGATGTCGTTTCTCTGCTCAAGATCGATGTTTCGGTGCAGAGCTATAGCTAGCTATAGGGTGACACATACATGTACAGTTTCCGGTAGAATTATTGCGACAGTGGGTTCCCCGTGACCCGATAGTCCTATTGGCCCTTAAAAGATTTTTGCTACGAGCACAGACCAACAAAATCCACTCTTTTAGCTCTGACTTTCGCAATAATTCTACCGGAAACTGTATGTAGTTGTATGGCATTAGACAGGATGATATATATTCCGTTATACACCTCCTCACCAGAAAGAAAAAAAAGAAAGGAGGAAAAAGAGGGGGGAAGGGGGAGAAAAAGAGGAAGCCACTGCCCGCAATTTATAATCTATCGACCCCGGTCCGGCCAACAACCAGTCGGTCTATCGCCGATGGGGGTATTACGCGTACATACCCGGTCCCAGACTAACGGCAGGGTTAGGGTTGCGCGGAGTGTCGGAGGTCCAATGTGGGCAGGGATTGATACAAGAGAATGTATGAAGGTAGAGAGACGTCTGGAGGGGGATTATAACCCCTATAAGGTATGGTCATGGCTGCTGCACGCGATGGTCTGCTACGCGTGAAGCCCAAAATCAATAGAAGGGGACAGGAAGGCAGCAGGGAATATTTAAACGAAATTAAGCGCATCTTTACCAGTACTAGTGGCCAGCCGGAGGATGTGGGGATGACATAGCAAGATATGTCGAGTATGCAGAAGTAAATATACAGTATGGGGAAACGGGGTGATATTACAACCGTAGGGGTGCAGCACTAATTCGGTGTTCTATGAAATAAAAAAGTCGGCCAGTGACAGGCTTATTTCCGACTTTCGGAGGATTTTTATTTCAGAATGTGCTGCATTTGACGACAAAAGCGTATTTTGTGGGATGGGGAATTCCCCCAAATGCTAAACTAATGCTGTAGCAATTCCATAGTAATAAATAAGCATAACCTATATTAACCTAAGGTCCTAACCTGTCACACTTCTAGCGTGATTGTAACGGGAGTTCGGTGATGCAGGTACGCGTGGTCAAATGCTAACATGGCCCGTCCATCACGACTGTATGTATATCCATACAAAGACTTCATCATCACGAACTGTTCATCACCACATGTGCATGTAGGACCAAAGACTTCTTCATCATCGATCATCATTTACACCACCGGGATCTTCAAAAATACTTTTAAAAAGTAAGTCCCAATTGTTTAACACCCATCCCCCGAGCATCAAAAACCATCCCATAATTGATGGATTTATATCTGGTGTTCTAGATTTATAAAATACCTCATTCGCAATTGAAGATAGTTAGGTTAGGGTAGGCATTCGTCAGAATATTTTAGTGATGCTTGAGCAATGCTGTAGTAATGCTGTTGTACTACTAGTATTTAAATAAATATAAATTTAGGTTAAATCGGGTATCACTAGGGTTATAGGACAGCACTCTTGACAAGTAGCATTCCAAGTGAAAGTCTAATTCCATTAAATTTCGCATCACTACCATAGTCTATTGAAAACTGATTCTTTCAAATAATTATTTAACTAAATCTTTTCTTCTGCAAGGAACAGTTGTGAAACGGTTTTTCCCAGAATAATTTAGTGCTTCGGCTGTAAATATACCCCGTTTTCCCGTACGGTATGTATACGTATATACCGCCAGAACTCGAAAGGTTGCAATTGGCTATCTCCGTCGAGGGATCATCTCTCAAGAACTTTACCATAGAGGTAATTTTGATCTCACGGGAGCTAGCAGTTTTTCGAGTTTTGGAGGTACTAGAAATCTCTGGTTTTTATTCCTCGAGGCAATCACTGAGAAATCGATATAAATTACGCTTTTTGAATGAATTCATCCGTCGTCAATTTCTGCTTTGGGACCTCTGTCAAGAGAAAAGGACATGCTCTCGTACTTGAAGATCTCTGCGGTATAGATTTCCTCCCAGCCAGCTTGCCCGGTCCTGATCGACCTTAATTACGGGATGTCGAGGATTTTTTGGCATGCTCCCTTCATGCCTGGCCCCGGTGGGAACGTTCCCTTCTCGCCGGTGTTCCCTTCTCGCCCGGAACCAAGCCATTCACATTCCCAGCCCCGATAATACTAGACGGCTTACAAAAGAATTGGCTTCCGAGACGAGGAATGTAGGTTTGCACATATGTGTAGAGTTCCCGAGAGATCCTAACGACGACATCAGTTTGAGTACAAGGAGTTCAGCCGGCGCTCAACCCCTCGGGCACTCGAGCTGGGGTTCCCATATGAATACCATTGCTGTAGTTGGTGATGTTGAGATATGGGAAGAACTGGAGAGTTAAGAAGTCTGGCAAGCCCTGCCTGGACCTCATCACGGGCTCGGCAGGTTACCTATCCCTTTCTCAGGCCATATGATATAGTCACTACGAATGTAAAAAATATATGTTATCGAAAGGCTGCGAATGGAGAGGTCTATAAATAATGAACCAATGGGGAAGGTGACAGTAGTATCATATGTATACCGATTATCTAAGCCCCGATGATTTGTTTTTCCTATTTGACGTAGAGGAGCGATCCAAGCCTAGCAAACATGTAGCATAGGGAGCTTTTGAATAATATACGGAATCATCTAGCAAAGGACTTCCGTAACCCTACCTGGAGCCAGACATGTAAGTTTTTCTAGTGAATCAAAACCTAGGTTAGTTCAGTTTTTAGCTTGAGGTGGACTAATCGCTTTTATACCCCAATCCATTTCATGCATATCCACCAGCTTTCCTTTGTAAAGCAATATCCACCACCACCAAAAATCCCTCCGAGGACTTCAGAGTGCCGAGTAGGTAAACCTAGGAACAAGCGTTATCCTGTGCACGTGGATAGGTATTGTTTTGAGTAAAGGACGGTTTAGAAATCCTGTATGTACACAGCACCTGGAGGAAAACATTGTAAGGAATATCACTCTATGGCTGTAAGAGCCAATAGGATACTGCGTTGACTGGTATGAACAGATTACGCCAAGCGCTCCCTCGCACCATGAAAGTTCTAAGCCTCGCCAGCTCTGCAGCTGATTGGTTGCTTTTGCTTGCCATACGACGTGGTGCCCATACGATCTCGATCCGATCGGTCATGGACAAGGGGAGACAGTGTTTTCTCTAAACAGGAACAGGTTACAATCGTTTGGAAAGCTGAACCGATTAACTTGAATTATTAAAAATAGCCGGCAACTGAACCTACCGAATAAGAACCGATTTAAAATGTGGAACCATTCTTACGTCTTGGCCTTGTTCTGACCCGGCCAGCGAGATCTCCCAGCCATTATGATTCTGGAGGGGTCGACCGACCTGGTTAGATTTCCGTGGGGGCGACCGAGTCAGCGAGCCCATATTACTTCTCATGCCCCTGCCCCACCCAGCACAGAACATGTCTACTAACCTGATCATGAAGGAGGGCGGGATGAACAAAATATATACCTACTAATATCGGGGTTTCGCAAAGCCGCACGCGCGCGTACGCACTTGATTTATGTAAGGTGCAAGTAGTAAGTGCGAGCACGAGTGAGAACACCTTTTGCAGCTGTGAACGCACTCTGAGATCTCTTGGCACGGAGCTAATGAATTGGATTTGCATCAGTATCAACGCCGCCCACCATCTAGGTACACCTTTCATAGCAGCGCCACCCACCACCTAGGTACGAGCATCATATACCTTCATAGAATCCAAGCTAACCCACCACCTAGGTACGAGCATCAGGCACCTTCATAGCAGCGCCGCCTACCTCGACCTCGACCTCGACCTCGACCTCGACCTCGACCCCGACCCCGACCCAACCTGATCCGACCTTGACCCGGTCTCGACCCGACCCTGAGCCCGACCCTAATCACAATCTCAATCCCGACCCGAGGCAGGATAGTGACCCGACTTTTAGAATGATATAGGTACAGAATGGAACCTATTCATCCCGCTGGTGGAGATAACGAGGGACAATTGAGGGTGTCTCCTGTATGTACATTTCAATTATCTATGAAGAATTTACTAATTCACTTTTAGATTTCAGGACCTATCGACCCAGTTCTGTTTCAACAATATGCTGTCCCAGTTAGAGCAGATTCCTCCGCTCCAGTTATAGCAGATGCCGCCGGGTCAATTAGGCAAGGGGTGGGGAGTTCCTCTACACGTAGGAAGAGAGTTTTCCTAAAATCAGATGAGGATAAGGCCCGAGTTGTCCGCTTATACATTAACAACTTTGGCCGATATGGTGAAGGGAAAGAAAAGTGCTTTGAGGCGATTGGTGATCTTTACCGGGAAACCTACCCAGACCCGGATGGAAATTCACCAAATATAAAAGGTTTCATGCAGCGATGGTGTGAGACCAGGAGAAAGGAAATAGAGGAATCTCGTGGGAAGAGTGGAATTGCGGAACAAGCGTCTGAGTGGCAGCAGGCGATGGATCACTGGTTGGAGTTGATAAGAGATTTGGATATGCGGGTGAGGGAGGAAAAGACTGCTGTTACTGAACGACAAGCAGCTCTTAGGAAGGATGTGAGGAGTTTGAGGGTTTCTATGACAAAGTCTTTTATGCAGAAAAGACAAGTCCTATCCGATACTGAAGAGGACCTTCATGATGAGAGAGAGGAAATTGAGGATTCTGATAGTAGCCGGACAATAATGAGTCCGTCTGAAACCAGTAATGTTGGCAAAAAACGGAAACGACAGGAGTCAGATCCTACTTTTGCTTCTCGACGTCGTACTACGGATAGGATAATTGAGACATTACTGGAAGGTGATGAACGTATGATGGAGCAGATGAGAGAGGTGGAGATGGAAAAAATTGAGCGATGGAAGGAGATACTTGTTGGGTCCTAGGTTGAGCAGCGGTCTGATATAACGGCTCGTATTGAAAGATTGGAAGAACAAGGAAAAGAGACAAAAGAGATTTTAGGACGTACTACTGCTACACTTGATGCTATTCTTACAGCTGTTCAAGCTCTGAATTCTCCGCCTCAAGCCCGTTCCCTTCCAACGCAACTGGATCAGTAAGAAATTCATTTATGTACATGTTTAAAGCGTTCTTCTCAATATCGGAACAATTAAAAAGAAAAAGATGTCTGGTGCTGCACAATCAAAAGACCTTCCGGTTTTTGAACCAAAGTAACAAGTATGACAATTCATCAACAAAACAGACGTAAAATAGTAAGCGGCTGTTGGTGAAAGACCTATCTTAAGATTCTTCCTAAGATTTGTGAATTCAAAATACTGCGTCACTTTGCCAAACCCCCACTCAACTGCCATGCGTTGCTTTGCCATATATGCGTTGAAAATAGATTCTGCCGCACTCAGACCAACGTTTCTCTTTGCTCTATATGCTCCTATCACGCCCTCCTCCAAATAGAATGCTTTGTCACCATAGATATATAATTGATCCCCAGAAGTGTCATGAGCAGAACTAAGTATTCGGTCCTGTAGTCCACACTCTTTAAACATTGCCCAATCTCCACATCTGCCTTCAAAAGGTCCATATATTGACGCAATAAGACCGTCAGGGGTTACTATTGCAAGAAATTGCATCGTATGATCGTGTTTGTGACCAGAGTAAAATAGTTCTTGATCCGCGGTATCAGGTCTCGGCCTGCAGATTGATTTATGTGTTCCGTCCATGAAACCCCCATACCATTCCTGACGGTTCACCCCGCTCTTGTATTCGTTGGCAATAGTGCTCGAAACGTACAGGTGTTAAAAGCCGTTCGTCCCATTGAAGCTTTTGATGAAATACATCATATAGATGTACACATACAGCATTAAAACTGTACTCAACCAGCCCCGCTCTCTCCCAAACTCCTCAACACAGTCTTGCAATCGCATCGGCCATGCTAGTCGATAGCATATAACAGCAAGGGCGGTACTAGGTGCTGCCCTGTATCGGCCATGAAATCGATCGGGTATGTCTAAAAGAACAGACAGCTCGCAGATTTGGCGGCGTGAGAAGCGCAAAAACTCCAAACACCAGTCATCACTTTTCTTTTGTATCGACCAAACCTTCCCCTTTCGGTACGTCAATCTGCGCTGAAGAGGGCGGTCTCTAACAACAGCGGTAGGACCACTTAACATCACAGTTAAGAACCGCTGTTTGCGCAACTGTCGCATAGTAGTATACGGGCAACTATCTGTGTTGGCGGCAAGAAGTACTTTCTGAAACCGATCTATCGATAACTGTACTTTGAAAGCGGAGATAAGTGAAAGAACACCCGCAGTCCTACCTACCCCTGCCCCAAAGTACAGCGACAGGACGTTCAAAAGAACCAATCACGGCATTTGTTTACAGTTCAAGAACGGGCTCTGTTGGCTGCACTCCAGGAGTGCGCACTTAGGACCACACTTGGGCCTCGCACTTCAAAAAGTTCCAAGACCGTCCGTTGCCGTGGAGACCAAAGTTCGTGCAGCGCTGAAAAACGCCGATAATAGCGCGTTTCTCGCGTAGGGACTTTTAAACATATATATGTATGAGTTTTTCAATTATGATCTCGGCATCAACCGATCACTGATAGGTAATAAATCTCTAGCTTCAAGTTATCCCCTGGATGTATGAGACATTGTAAAATCTCTCTCATGCATTAGCGTGGCCTATCCAGGAAATGATTGACTGAGGTAAGGCAGCGAACTGCGAACTTTATGGCACCGTTAAGTATTCCAAAGACCGACAAAGGCAGCAAGCTGCTTACCTGGACGTTTTCTCACCCAAATTCAAGGTCACATGACGTTCATGCATGAGAGAGATTTTACCAATGTCTCATACATCTAGGGGATACTCGAGCTTTCCAGAGACAGAGCTTGAGGTGTTTGAGCCAGCTAGGATGGTGCCCAGCATACAATCCTTAAAGCTCGCAGGTGCCGAACCTGTCATCATGTACTGACCTATTTCTGATCACATGGAAGGAAGTGCCTTTGTCTCTCGGAAGTGACTGCCAGTACTATCAGAAGGAGGTGACTGGTATCGAAAGGAGGCGACTGGCCTGGGTATCAGATATCGATAGAAGGTAGGACAAGGTGACTAAGCCGCCTTGTCGGCTGGGTTGAGAATTTTGAGAGACCAACCCTTACCCTGTAATCCCTGCTACAGGTCGCGTCAAGTCTCAGTCCCCCCACTGTGAGACTCGCCACCATCGCGCATTAATAGGCCGTCAACTTCTCGCCATCTCCAGCTTCAGAATATCATTGCACCAGTCAAACGAAATGTCTTCTTCTACCACCTCAAAATTGGTTTTGGTTGGGGAAATCTGGTACCTACTGGGGGAATATTACAACCTGGAGGAGATCATGGGATATATTGTCAGGGTACACAGCCTTGAGGATACGGATGTTCTCGACAAGTTGAATAGTCAGCCTTTCTTTGATCTTGTCAGGCAGCTGGCAACGATTTTTCTTCGACTCCAATCCCAGCTCCAGTCTAGTGAGAACGACGCCGGTCCTTGTCGGAAGCTGTCTGGTCCAACCTACAAATCACTGAGACAGACGATAGCAATTTTGATTGAGAATTTGCAAGCACTACTCTCGACGCCAACAGCTGGAGACGATTTGCCAGTGCAACACCTGCTGGTAATGACCATTCTGGCAGGCTTCCAGGTCCTTCGCCACTACTCGGATGTAAATGGTTTACCCGATGCACCATGTACCTCTCTACTGAAACAAGTTCTAGCTCACACAGAGCCCTCAGAACGGTTATCATCTGACGAGAAGACGATGCTGCAGATCTGTCTGGAGTTGGCGGTACAATCCCCATTAGGGACTCAGCTTAATTGCCTGTGCAGTACAGAGATCGGACTGGTAATACGCGCTCCGCTAATAGATATTCGCTGTTACTAACGCTGTGATAGTATCCATTCGACCCAGTTTGTCTATTCCAGGCGGTTAAAGAAATGGTTTCAGAGTTTGAGACTAATTGGCTGAGAAGCTACTGTGCTATATACGATATCATACACAGCATTGCTATCGGCATCGTGCAGTGCAAGGCAGATGGCAAGAGGGCTCTGCAAAACCCGTTCGAACTATGCGAGGAGATCTCGAGTTGCCTCCAAGCAGCTTCTAAAGCCTACGATGACGGGATAGGGGACGTGATGAATTTGAAAAAGTCTTCTCTGGTTAGCCTTGCGAATCTATCGACGACCATACAATCAGAACTATGTGAGACGCCACAGCAGTCACAAAGTGATGGTGGTGATGTGAATCGCCACTCGCGAGAAGAACTAGAGTTGCAATCTCTCCAGCGATTCCGAGATCTCCTTCTCAATCGTAAAGAGGACGTGTTTCATCTGGATCGCAAAGCTCAAGAAACGCTTTCTAGACTTACCACCGCTGCTAGCTCTCATAACAAGGGATCTAGCTCCAACGTTTCAACTTTACAGAGAGTTTATTCATTGAATTGTCCCGAGACTCACCACTTCGAAGAAAATGGGATACTTCGCATCCTTGAAAGAAACAATGTTCAGAAAGATTCCACAAACTTCGAGGGACTCGCCCTTCGAAACCTAGAAAATTGTCCGAAGTGTTCCCACCCTGTTGGCTACCTACGTGAGGTCGAGCCAGTCCGAAGAATTGTGGATGAGGCGAGAAAGCGGATCGCGGAGGAAGAAAATTGGCGGCAAGGGTATCTTGACAGAGGTAAAGTTGCAGGGCAAAAGGTGATCGAAACGAAATGTGCCAAGGCATCAACGAATAGGCTTGAGCCTACCGCCGGTTCACCAACCCGCTCCACACCAACCACACCACCAGCCACATCACCCGTAAATGAGCCCCGCAGTCTGAACCGGCCTCTTACGGATCCTTCCCGGTCGAGTAACCCTAGTTTAGTTCCGACCAAATCTAGCTCATCCACTCAGAGAGTACCAAACTTACAGCCCGCCCGGTCTACATTCTCGGAATCTATCAGACGCTTCCTCAACTTAGGGCGGAAGAAGCACTCACATGTAGAGGAGTTTGGGAACGATGGTAACGCGGTATCGACGGGGATCCGCAAACGACGCCGACTTCCGTTTGGCTTTCTACGCTCTAGGACATGACTCGTTGTCCTAACCGCGAGAAACCTACCTTTCGTTTTTACGATTTTCCTACACCTTTTTCCCGGATCACCCTCGTTCTTTAGATGCAAACCGGAAGCATGTCACAGACTCGTCCGAGGCGGAAACAATGGGCGATCTAATAGTTGATGTGGCTTGAAATCTGGCTGGAAATCCCATAACCTAAAGGGGATCGCAGAACCGGGTCGCAAGAAAATGCCAGCTGTGCTCGATTAGTTACAAATCCCCACTGTTATTTCCATCAGGAGAGCAAAGGACTATACCATGAATAGGCACCAAACTAGTACATGCGCCTCTGCTTTATGCATAGCGTGGTCATGACATTGCCCGTGGGATGTTATCTCGGGCATGTTAAAGCTTGAGTAATCACTGGGCGGCACAAGCCACCCAAAATACCAACCACCACAGACAAAGTACTACAAACTCTCGGAAATATATTCGGTCGAGCAGTAAAGGGATCGATCGGGGAAATCCAGCGAAAATGTCCTCCTTCCCCTCCTCCGGCTCAAGGTTGTGGCCGTAGAGCAATACAGGATATTTAATATTAATTCCTAATATTAACTCTTACTTTTGACAACCCTCAACAACTGCTCAGTCAGAGAAAATCATTTCTTTTCGTATCAGTCATATATGATAAACCCTACTTGTATTTACTATTTTTTCGTTTTCCTTGGATGTGGTTGAGCCTTCATATGTTTTTATAATTTACTTCCTTGTTTCTTCAGTATACTTCTCTGTCGTGGTCTTACATACATTTCACAAGTTCTCAGGAGCTACGTATCAACACTATATTACAATCGTTCTGCCACGTGGTTTCAATTTCAACCTGTCTTTAATCAGCTTCCTCACGTTTGCAACGCTTTTCATACGTATATACTGATTTGGAATTATAGATGGGTCGAACCAATTTGGAAGCTGGATATATATATAAGAATGTACAAAATTACTCTGCTTGGAAGTTTGGAGGGACAAGCTCTTGTTCTTTCACAATATACTGTTGATGCTAAGTCGTAGACTTTATAATTCCACGTATCCCTGTACGATCTCGAGACAAGCTCAACCGTAGGGTTGATATGATCTTATTTCCGAGATGGCCGCGTGCTATTTTTTTTTTTTTTTTTTTAATTCATTAATTGTATGAGATGGCGTGCTACATTAATGATACATCAACTTTATCGAAGCGACAAATATACTTGTACATATTGCAATTGAGATATATACGCTTTGATATTTATATTACGACAAAGTATAAGAATGTTAAACATGAATACATATAGTAATAGGCTACAATCAAGCTTTACTAAAATCATTTTGAGATTATTCAAGTTCTTCCACAGGTGGTACGGACTAACCCTGTAGCTATTAAACACTAATCCACAAACCACTTGTAACGATGGGCTTTCTCTGCCTCAAAGACAAACACTAATTCTATTTGTAGAGAACATTGTCATAATATCAGTAATATTCACTCCGCTCGAATCAAAAAGCACATACCGTTAATCTTTCTTGGAAAACCACTGATTGGTATTGGGATAGACCCATCTTCCCCAGACATGCCGACACGTTTCATCCGCACATTTATGCTCTGCTGACTGCTACCGAATCCTGTGATGATATGGGGTATCTGAAATCGCCCCCCGTCTCGAACTGCCTTGATGAAGGTATTCAGGGGACCGATCTGCGTCTTTCGCTCACTTTCGACTTCAGCCGGCATATCGTTTGCACTAAAGCTGTCGATTCTTCGGACAAGAATCTTCAACTCTAGTGAATCCTTAGGCAAACGACAGAGAATATTGCCCTCCACTCGGTACTTTTTCTCATCTCTGCAGCAGGCACATGAGTCTGATATTTCGCATATTCTAGTAGGCTCGAAGAAAAATAGCTTTGCAATGAGGAGGTCTGAGCTATGTTGCAATTGTCTGTTGAGATCTGTTGAACCTGCCTTCAACGATTCTTCGAATATTCTGACCAATATCTTTATCGCTTGGTGGTGGTCAAGAGCATAGTACGCTCCTTCGAATCTATGATTAAGTCGATGATATACCTCTGGATCATACTCAGCCCCCTCCCGAAAGTCCGACCAAGTACTCTCGCAATCAACCATGGAAAAGAAGCTGTTAGCCACCGCTTGTGCCGAAGGGAATTTAGCGTAGACTGAAGTTTCACGAATACGTTCACGATTAGGGAAGTACCCAGTTCCCAAAGAGAGAAGGATATCTAGTTTTGCGCTGGGCCATATCTTGTCTCGTTCTTTCGCGGCCCACCTGATCGGATTGTTATGGAGGATTCCACCGTCAAGATATGAAATTGTTGCTGATTCGGACACCTTTTTAAACGGCTTAAAATAAAATGGCGCTGCGGAAGTGCATAAACCACTGTTGACCAGGCATTAGAATTATTTCATAATGAGGGGGGTGGGTGGCCTTCTTACGCCTCCCAGCACTTGATCTCTGCTTCCTCAGCCTCCGCACGCTCAAAGTCGTTATTTTGATCTGAAATAGGCATTAGCCCAGTGCAATTTTGAGTGGATCTAAAAGGGTTATGAATATTAGTTACCTAAGGATGGGCGGCTATAGTTTGTAATCGCAGCAGCCTGCTTTCCAGAGTTTTTGACGGTCATCAAGGCCACCCTGGTCCTCCTCTGAACTTTGCTTCCCATCGCACTTCCGAACATACTCCATTTCTCTCCCACGACATCTTGAATGCCTTCTCTGAGGGGAGTAGTTCGATAGGTACTCTCCCAGAGACCTATCATATAGAGTAATGCCTGCGCAGGCGAAGTATGGAACACCCTTTGCGCAACCTCGAACTGGGGCCCCCGAGTATGTGTGAATGTACGCACAGATAAGGCTTCGAACTTTTCTAGCATATCTTTTATGCTTAGTATCTGCACAAAGAGGCCCAAGGCTATGATTCCCCCTGGTGTAGATATATTGTTAGCCATGATTCGTATGATATCGGACCTCCTCTCTAGATTCATACCTGTACTTGTGCCGACCACCAAATCAAAGAATTGGTCAACGCGAATATCCAGTCCAACCCGTTTTTGAATCTCCCTCAACATCAATAATTCCAATATACCCCTGATTCCACCACCGTCCAGGGTGAGAATTCGGACTCCCGAGAATGGATGTTTTGTTTGGATACGCTGTATCTGCCCCCAGCGTTCACCACAAAAGACGCATTCACCAATTTCAATCTCCCGTTCAATAACATCTGAAGGTTTTCCAAAGTCAGAGATACACCTCTCACACAGTGCATGTCCACAAGGTAAGACATGATCTGGGCATGAAAGTAGACACGCAAAACAGGTCTTATAGCTATGAACCAGACCCCAAAGCTCGTGATGTGTGCTCCGAAGAACCTCTTTACGATGGGCAATGATTCTTTCCACAGATCGTCTCTCTCCTATCCTACAAACAGAGTTGTAGGATGTCTTGAATTCTATTCCTATCCCGTTGGTTCTTTTGCGCACAATGTCCGCCGTATCGGAGGGAAGGAAGTCACCAGTACCGATCTGACTGCCGTCCTTACTACGATGGATAGATTTGTGTACATGCTTTTTGATCGCGCAGAATTGGAGGATCAGTCCCTCTTTTTGGAACTGGCAGTCTGCATGTTGTTCGTAGAAGTTCCCTATGCCTATGGTGCACTTTTCCTTATAAGTTTCCTCCCAGAAAACGTCGGGATGTAAAGCTGGTTTTTTTTTTTGAATGATTATTATGTATTCTCCAACTGATTAAATTCATAAACAAAGGTATTACCTGGACCACCTCCACGGAGACAATTGTTCAGGATGCTTGAAGCGACAAGCTTTGGAAAGTAATTGATCAAATCACTATTCCTCGTCATCTCTAGATTACGTAGCATGTTCATTATGTGATCCTGCATGCTTAGTGGGTTTGGGTTATCTTTTCTTGTGGCTTTGTAAAAGTCGAATGGTGTGTCATCTGTTGCGAAATGTTCAAACGCCTGGTTGAGTAATTGTGATAGGTCCCGGATACTATAACGTGTCCAAGATTCATCTTTCTCCTTTGATGTCTTATCCACGCTTTCAGTAATATGTTGTCGAAGTAGATTGCACTGAGCGTGCATCTCGTCTGCCTTGGCACTGCCCTTTGTTGGAATATAACAGACACGGATGTTCTGGAAGTATCGCAAGATGAATGATTCTGTAGAATTGATTTCATCTTCATTGGGAAGAGTTTTGTTCAACCTTTTTCGCTCTTCTCTCAATTCTTCCAAGTCATCCCAAACTTTAGGCATCTTATCGAAGATGAATTTGTGAAGTGCGCTCGGATCCATCAAACTGGGGCTATGATCAGGACTGGGTGCGTTGAGAACGATGATGAGAGTCTTTGCCTGAACTTGGTTGATGGATGCCCGAAGTCCTCGGTACGCCCACAAGAGGAGGTCTGAGATCTCCTTAGAAATCTTTTGGGCGTTTCTTGTAACTAGACAGACAACATCGCTGAAGGCGTAAAGAAATCTCGAGTAAAGGTCTGTATTCTTATCGGAGAGGGCGAGCTGTCGACTGGTGCTTCTGTATGTGGATGAAGTGATGCGGATTGCCCGAGCCACTTTATCGCCATCGCTATCCCATGCGGTGTGGGAAGTAGGCAACCCAGCCCCAGAATTAAATCCTTCACAATCCGCGAATAGAATAGGCGTCGACGATGCAAACGTTGCCGGATCTTTGTAGAGATGAACGCCAGAGCTAGTAGGGCATGTCAACGAAGATGCGGCTTCCAATCGAGTAACCGGGGTTTCGAGCGTTTCTGAATGTTGCGCATGCGCATGGCCTGAGAAGAACTTGATGGACGCACTTATTAATGTCGACTTGCCAGTACCGGTCTCGCCAATAAAAGATACCAAACTTGGAAATTGTTTCGAGCTATCTTCCGATCTCGACTGTAGTAATTCTTCGAATCTATCGGTCACACGCAATATGCCATCCCCTGTCAGCTGATCAGTTTTAGGATCAACCATAAACCATCTAGCCTCCTTATCCTTTGCATGGAGTTCGCTTTGTTTCTCCGGATTCTTCTCGCAATAAAACACTTCGTTGATACGAACTTGATCGCGTGCTGGCTGCTTTTGGTGAGTGGTAGCAAGCCTCCGAGGTACATGTTTCTGCCAGCAGGAGATCTGAGTGTTTTCACCCCCGCATAGTTCCAATTCTTTCAGACATTCAGTGCAAGATTCGTCACAGTACGCAGTGTTCGCACCACAGGCGCGACTATTGCATACGTAGAGATTGGAAAGATCCGTATGGTCACAGTTATGGCAGACATCCGGGGTTGGTAACTAGAGAAGTGTCGAGATCAGCATATAGAGGTCTAATTATCCACCCAGGGACGTAGTACTGTACCATTTCGTTAGATTTTGGCTTGTATTATGCAGTCCGCGGCCGTGTAAGTCTTAAAATATGAGATTGAATGGAAAGTTGTATCAAGCGCTTAGTCCCATAGAGTCGAAGGGATTGACTACCACCTAGTATGCTTTTGAAGCCCTCCAAGCATTTCGCACCACCAAGAACTACGTTCCAAATGAGATTTAGTGAGGGTTACAAGTATATATAAACCTCTGCGTAATCAAGGTAGAGTAAAGGTTCGCTCCGTATTCAAATCTCTGAGCGGGGTAATGGAGGCTCCATCGCGTACTTGTTGCTTGTATGTGCGTATCATGCAAGTCAGACCGCATCAACTACCGTTATTTCTGGCGAGTACGCCCATGGGCTTAAAGCAAAGTGGTGTGCGGAAACTGGAGAAGTGGCCGTGGTTGATTGGTGGAAATGATTTCAGCCCCAGGTTACGCCACCAATGATTGTTGCACCACTCGTCGATATCCTACCATCATCGCCTGATTTTCAAGGAAGTAGGATAGTAATGGCAAAGACGAAACCCGGTCCGGCTGCAAAAAGAGAACTGTCAAGGCCAGTGGGGCTTCACTCCTTGAATCTCTCGAAAGATATCATTATCTTTGATAGGAGGTCCCAACAATTGCCATCACCAGCTACTACGAGCCTCCCTACTCGCCTCCCTACTCGCCTTAGCGGTGCACCAAAACTCCCTACTAGTAGCATATGCCGGAAAAAAACAGACCTGAGACCAAGATGGGGAACGATCCAGCCAACTACAGAAGCACCTGACGATATAATACAACTTTTCGAGGAATGGCAAGAGTTTCAGCAATCAACAAATCCGTCAATGGCAAGGTTTCAATGTAACGGCAGCTAGGCGGGTTGGCTATGTGAGTTGTCTGGGTATAAGGGAGAAGGATTATGCAGTGTGGTTGGGTTTAGTGAAGCGGGTTTCTATTATGTTCTTTCTGTTTCTGTTATGCGAAGGTATGAGTCAGCATTGGGATAGGGTATGGATATATAAGGGGGGCGTTGTCTTGTGATTTCTTGTTTCTCTTTCTTTCTCTTCTTTCTTTACGCAACCTCTGTATTCTACTTGCTCGCTAAGGCTCGCAAAGAACTCCCTGATAACAAACCTCGCTTCAAAAACACTTTATTTTACTCCTCTCGGTTTACCCTGGTATATCATACCAGGCTGAGCCACTTCGTCCCCGATCGTACGGTCGCGTTTTGTTGTTCCAAGCAAAAGAAACCTACGAAACTGGCTTCTAGCGAAGAATTCTCTAGTCTTGACCTCCCGAAGGGAAGGAAAAGAAATCTATCTGAAACATCACTCTACGCCGCCAGAAGAACTGGACACTCAATCATGTCGCAGCAAGCCTCGCTCCAGTCCTTTTTTACCCAGTCTTCCCAGCCTTCCCAGCAAGGGACAGCCCCCTCGCAGAACAGGAACACTCAGGTTCCCGACCCAACCCCACCCGGAGCTCAGGAACAAGAATTCTCCTCGACCTTTGCAACAGAATCCGACTATAACGACCCCTACCAACCGAGAGTCGACTACCTCTACCCGAGCATTGTCCCCCAGGACACTCACACCCAGACGGACCTGAATTACATTACCTGGGCCATTAGACATGCCACCAGCCGAATCTGCCCACCCACCGACAGGATTGAAATCCTCGAAGAGCAAACGACCACACTCCGGAGAACAGTGGACACACTGAGGCACCAAATCGAGGCGCAAACAACTATGATCACCAGCATGCACTCGGCGATCCATCTACTCCTCAACAAACAGCCACAACCGCAGCAACCGCAACAACCACAACAAAACCAACAACAGCAACAACAGCAACAACAGCGAAAACAACAACCGCAGGGACAGAGAATGCCCCCTCCAGCGGTCCCCCAAATAATTCCCCAAGCAGCGCTTCAGGCAGCCCCTCAGGCCCCCCCACCCGCACCCCCCCAATGGAAAGCAGGCACCTGGGCCGCCGTGGCCTCGGCACCCGGTCCTGCCCAAGGAAACTTCCAAGTTGTCGAGAGGAAAAAGAAGTCCGCAAAGCCGAAAGCGGACCCCATCTTCAAACCAGAGTACACCAAAATCAACAGGGAGATCATTGTTGAAACCACTGCCCCATCCGACGTCAACCCCTCTGAGATCAGGACCCTAGTCAATGCAAGGATTCAGGACGAATCCTGCCATTTCATTTCAGCAAGGAGAACACCCAAAGACAACTTCATCCTGGAAACAAAGTTCGTCACCCCTGCAACAAAGGCAATGGAATATGCCAAAGAAATTGAGGAGGCCCTCCTCACCCTACAGGTACCGGTCGCTGTCATCCGCGCAAACTCTAAATGGTCAAAGTTTCTCCTCCATGGAATTCCCACAACGGTCGGGGAGGGCCTCGAGGCGGGACAATTGGTAGCATCAGAAATCAGAAGCAACTATGGAGAGAACTTCCAACTTGCACAGATTCCCCGCTGGATCTCCAGAGCAGAGACTCGAATGGAGAAAACCCACTCGTCAATGGTCATCGCGCTCCCAGGACAAATTACAATGGAAACACTAGGAGTTAAATTCCTATCTCTCTTTAACCGAAGTTGCCATATCGAGGCCTTCCTTCCAACCTTCCCGGATACTCAGTGTGCAAAGTGCCTCGAGTACGGCCACCGCCAAGAGAAATGTAAGAACAATGGGAAATGCGGCCACTGCGCCGGAGATCATCTTACCAGTTTCCACCCATGCAATCAATGCCAGGGAGGACATAGATGCACCCACACTCCAATCAGATGTCTGAACTGTAAAGGAGCTCATAAGGCCTCCGACCCAGCATGCCCCGAGAGAGCCAAACGCCGATTCCTCAATAAAGGGAAGGAAAATGCCCCACCCGCTCAAGACCCACCGGCCGCACCCGTCCAAGAGCTGCTTCCAATAGTTCAAGTACCAGCCACCGCCCCAGTCGGAGCCACACCCGTTCCCGAAGATGACCAACCCATGACAAATAATGCTTAGGCCTCGAACCACCGCGCTCGCACACCAACTCAATTGTGCACGGAGCGAACTCATTACCAAGGCGGCGGTAGAAGAAGCGGAAACAGACTCTAGTATTTATTTCCTATTATTACAAGAACCATGGACCTCAGCAGAGGGATACCCACCAGAATCAAATCTCTTTTATATTTTTACGGCCAGCAACACCAATACAAAATGTGCAACATACGTCCGCAAACATGCCAATCTCAAACCAAAACACCACTACACACACGATAATTTCATAGTATCGATTACGGTAGAAATCCAAACCAAAAAAACCCAAATCCTGAACATATACTCCCCAGGCCGAAGTGGCCCCTTCGCCCAAATAGCAAGTACAATCCAAACCCTTGATAACTGTCTAGTAATGGGAGACTTCAACTGCCATCATCAGATGTGGTACGGAGTAAATTCACATGAGTACAGAAACAACATTCGAGCAGACCGGGTCAACGGCGCACGGTTAAAACGATGGATAACCCGACAGAAACTGACCCTCCTGAACGAACCAGGCGTCTTTACGCACTTCCCCAGAGACAGAGGGAAAAGGCCCACAACCATCGACCTTGCATTTGTAAAAGGCCCAATACTCGACCACAACCTACGATGGAGTACTGAACCCTACGGAGCGGGCTCGGACCACGGGAGAACCTCCGTCCACCTACACCTGGAAAAACCACCTTTTGTACCAAGACGAATGTGGCGACAAACAGACTGGAAGCTATTGGAGAACCACATGTCAAACATCTCCATCCCTGGAGAGGCATGGGAAACCAAGGAACATACGGAACAAACTGTCGATTTCTTCCTAGAACTGGTCAGGGCAACAATCAGTATAGTAACACCACTCTCGAAGGAAGGAGTAAGAGCCAACTCCTGGTGGTCAGAGGAAATGAAACGAATGAAGGCAAGGGTAAACGCGGCAGAAAGGAAGGCGAGAAATACAAAGAAACCCAATCACGCGGAGGAGCACCGGAAGGCTTGCAGAGAATGGACAGCCATGATCCGGAAAGCAAAAGCGGACCAGCGGGAAAAGACGATGAACGAAGCGAAAGGTAGTGAAGTCTGGAGAATCCTAAGCGCAGGAAAGAGACGAGACACAATCATACCAACCATACAAGGTGAAGAAACGTTTGCGGGGAAGTGTCAAGCTCTAAGAGCCCAACTCTTCCCCTCGAAACGGACGTCCCCCGACCATCCCCCCTTGAACATTAGACCCCCCTCTTTTGACCTTAGCAACACCTTCGACATAGTCACCCCCGAAGAACTTAACAAAGCAATCGACTCCTGCCCAGCGCACTCGGCGACCGGCCCGGATGGCATCCCTTATACCTTTATCAAAGCTATAGTCAAAGCAAATACAACTCTAATCCAAGACATGTTCTCCGCTATGCTCCGGCACGGTGTACACCCAGCGGAATGGAAAATAGCTAAGTGTATCCCGATCCCGAAACCCGGTAAAGCAAATTACCATGAAGCAAAAGCCTACCGGCCCATTTCCCTTCTACAATGTTTCAGCAAAATCCTGGAGAAGATAGTGGCCCAGAGACTCTGCACCGCTGGAGAAATCCTAGGCACACTCTCAGCAAACCAATTCGGAGGAAGACCAACCATCTCGGCGATTGATGCCCTCCTGAGAACCTTGACACCAATACAACAAAACCTACTACTAAAAAACAGCACCGGAATCGCCCGGCGAGATAGACCAGCGATCCTAACCAACGACATCCAAGGAGCATTCAATTGTGTCGATCACCTACTCCTCGCGGAAATCATGCACCAACAAAAATTCCCTACCTATCTGACAGAATGGTGTAAGGAATTCAACACTGGCAGAAAACTACAGTTCCAATTCAACCATGAGCTAGAGGAACCACAGCTCTATGATTCCGGAGTGCCGCAAGGTAGCCCCATGTCCCCGGTACTATTTATGATCTATGCCGGAGTAATCCTGGACCCAACTAGCAGCCCAAAGGAGATGGACACAACTTACATCGATGACGATGCGCTGGTGCAAATATCCAAAACACCAGGCTTTACAATCAGGAGAATGGAGGAACGAATGAGAGAAAGACTAATCAAAGCTGAGCCACTCCAAATCAAATACGACCCGGATAAATCCGATCTGATCTTCTTCCGGCCCACCACATCATCCACACAACAACCACGACTTCCAGTCAAAGTTAACAACATCAATATATACCCCAAGGAGAGGCTGAAATACGTAGGAGTCTGGATAGATCCAACCCTCTCCTTCCGGCCCCATATCGAAGCAGCAATCGCAAAAGGCCTAAAAGCCCTCCACCAAATCCGAAACACCGCCCGCCTGCCAGGGATAACAGTCAAGACAGTTCATCACCTAATAACACAAGGCTTCCTTCCAAGCCTGCTCTACGGATACGAGGCTTGGTGGACTGGCGCAGACCACATCATTAGATCGCTAGAACCACTATACAACGAAGCTGCCCGGATCATCACGGGCCTACCTTGATGGACCAAGAGAGCTAAACTCCTCCAAGAAGCAGGACTACCCCCCCTAGAATACCTCCTAACATATCGCTCAAGAAAGTACGGAACCAGAATACTCTGCACCGAGGCAACCCACCCCAACAATGAATCCCTAATTGAGCTCCTCCCATACAGAGAAGCAAACATCAAAGGGACAGGTCTACACCGAATCGCTTCCCTCCTAGTTCCATATCAAACCCCCGGAAATGCGAGAGACAAGTGGAATCAAAACAAACTACTACGCGACCATCTGTTGGAAGAATGGAATACACAACCAATACCGGACTACCATCACCGGGGGGATTTCCGCCCCCCTTCCAAGATTGCGAAACTCACCCTAACGGAGGCGAAAAAAGTTTTTCGAATCCGGTGCCAAACTACCCGAATCGATAAACACGCGGTATATACAGACCCCGAACCATGCCAGTGTGGTATGGAAAACTCAGCGAAACACACACTTATGGAATGCCCAGCGTGGGCTCGAATCCGCGCCCCCCTGATAGAAAAGATCCCCGGAGCAATGACCTGGGAAAACTGGATGTTTACAAACTTGAAAACGGACCTTATCTTACAATTTGCAAAAAACTCTCAACTCTCGAAGTGGTACGAGTCGGCGGAAGCGGAGGTGGACCTAGAAGAGGGGATGGAAGAAAATGATTAGGGACGGGATTAGGAAAGGGTGGTTTCCTTTTACCTTTTTAACTTTGGTTCTACTTTGTTTTGATGGATCCAGCGCCCGAGTTCGCTGAGATATGTTATTTCTCCTTGTCGTTGGGTTGTTTCTGGTTGAGTGTCGTTCTGGAATTTCCTTACTCTTGTTGATGTTTGTTTGTGTTCGCTTTTGTTCTTGTTTGTTTGTTTGCGTTTGTTGTTTTCTTTCCTTTCGTTCTTTTGTTTGGTTCGTGTTTTAGGCGGTCGGGTCGGCGTGCGATAAGTCTTGTACTTCAAAGCAATATAAGTTTCTTCTTCTTCTTCTGTACTTCACAGTTACGAATACTATTTGGTTCGCGCTACGTCATAGGGTTTACCCGGTATATTAGACCAGGTACGACCACCCATAGTCCATAGTCCACGTTCCCGCCTTGGTAGCATACCTCGGCCCTATAGTCTACAGTCCCCGTTCTTGCCTTGAGTGTACCCTTCGGTCCCATAGTCCATAGCCCACGAACCTCCTACGTCCACGTCTTTGCCTCGGTTGTATTCCTTGGCTTCATAGTTCCTACGTCTATAGTCCCCGTTACATTCAAAAACAGTCAAGGAAATCATATCCCCGAGAGTATAAACTGAAGGCTTTAGATCTTTTACGGGTTGGAGTGGTTATTAAGAGAGTAAAGAAGGACGTCAGTGCTAGCACTGGCAGTAAGCCCGAATGGGAACGGATCTCACAGAACCATGCTGCTACATTATTGCACCTATGTCCAAAACAGCTACGAGATTGGAAGATAGACGAGCAGAAGATAAGCGAGTCACTTAAGGGTTCCCGTCAAGTTAGTCGTCCTAGTACAGCAAAATGGCCAGAAATGGAAGTGGAACTCCACCGATTGTTTAAAGAGATGCGCAACCGAGGCCGGTCGATAAATCACAACTGGTTTGAGAGAAACGGGAAATTGATATTTGCGGATTTATATCCCGAACAGATAGGGTTTAGAAGTGACGATACTGTTGTGTTTGATTGCTTGTTTTCTAGTGGATGGTTTACTGGGTTTAAATTAAGATGGGGAATATCGTGGCGATGTAAAACTGATATCGCTTCCAAAGCCCCCGAAGACTACCGTCTCAAGATCATACTCTTTTGGAAATTCAATCGGCGAAATTCACAGCTTGCGGAAAATGAAGAGGAGTCAGACGTTGGCAGATACCCATTGGGAAATATGTTTAACATGGATCAGACACCATTTCCATTCGAGTTCCTAACTGGACGCACCTACGATTTCACAGGGAACAGTACAATATGGGAACGAGCATTAAGGTCTGGCTGGGGTAAGCGTCAGGCAACTTTACAGATAACTATATGTGCTGATGGCAAAAAACGAGTCAAGCCGCTTTTGATATTTCGAGGAAAAGGCGAATCCAAACCAATTATTCTTGAATCCATGAGATACAATTCCAGGATCCGTGCTATATTCAATCCCAAAGGATACAGCAATGAGAGTATTACACTAGATTGGTTAGAAAAAGACTTGATACCGTCATCCGCCTTTCCGGAAAAACCAAGATTTCTTGCCCTTGATGTTTTCGCAGGCCAAAAAACAGCAAAAGTCCTTACCGCTTTCCGTCATTCAAATACAGTAACCTCATTTATTCCTGAAGGGTATACGGGCCTTGTACAGCCTCTCGATACAGCAGTGAATAAAATATTAAAAGGCAAAATCTCGGAACTCCTGGATTTAGAATTGGATAAGAATAGGTCGTTGTGGGAAGAGGGACAATTTACTGTTGGTGATAGGCGAATATTGATGACTTGGGTGGTGGCGGAGGCATGGGACTGGCTACATCAGGAAAGAAAGGAGCTTATTGTCAAATCGTTCCGCCAGGTGAGTATTTGTTTATCCTAATAATTTAGATCTAATACTAATGTAGCCTGAGGTATACAGGTCGGGATATCACTCGCAATTGATGGTTCAGAGGACAGTGAGATAAAAGTAAAAGGTCTTGACAACCTAGAGATTGGTGACTGGTCAGAAGGGGGGCTTGATTGCAATCTCAATCGTTTAGGAAAGACAGGAGCAGGAGAACTAGAATGGAATGGAGAGAGCGAGTTACTACTAGATCCTGTTGTAGCAGAGCTCGCACAAAATCAACTGGCAGATATTATTGATGGAGAATATATAGACAATGATGATGATGTACTAAAAGATAGAATACGATAAATTTGAATATATTACTATCTTGTAATAATTTTCAACGGCCTCAATGAGAATAGGTACGAGTACTTACCACCAAAACTCGAAAAATTGGCTATCTCCGCACCAGGATGCAGGTGATGACTTGCATGCGGGAAGTCAATTTTGGGCAAAAACGAGTGATTTTTCATTGTTTTTAGCACCGCCAACATGAGTTTAATTTGCATACGGAGAATAAATTTTGATAGTAAGAGGTTTTCTTTACAGGCTAACTAGTTATTCAAATCCCATTCTGCCATCTTATCATCAATTAATTTCTTCAATGCCTCCTCCGTAAATTCCCCTGCTCTTCTCAATTGAATCTCAAACTTTCGCTTTGCTGTTCCCATAGCTGATGACCGCTTTGCCTTCCTAACATTTCTTGCTCTCCACCTAGCTGAATTCCTTTTCTCCCGTGTTTTCTTATCCCCTATCATTATTGTAAGTACTGATATCAAAAAATAGAATATTAATTCATACATACCCGCTTCTACCTTTCTTTCTTCTTTGATAGCAGCATATGCAGCCTTATGGTCTGGGTCACCCACATAACTATTTGCATGATGCAGGAGATGTTGCCATACAGCTTTGTGAGGATCCTTCCGGTGCTGAAAGTCTTTGTTGCAGGTGGTAACAGGACACCTAATAAACTTTTCGGGTTTTTCAGGTTGAGGGTTATTGACAGGAGCTGCTAGAAGAGCAGTCCCTTTGATAGGTTTTTTTCTGATCCTACCAGTTGCTGTATAGCCATAAGGAGCTTCCATTTTGTGGGGGCGATTGTTGTTATGATTTTGTTGTTGTAGTTGTGGTGGTGGTGGTGGTGGTGGTGGGGGGACCCGGGTTCAACAGGGCAACTATAAGTGATTTGCAGTCATTATCGGTTGCCAGGGTGAACCAAAAATGATTTGCAATCATGACCGGTTGACAGGGTGAACCAAAAATGATTTGCAATCATGACCGGTTGACAGGGTGAACCAAAAATGATTTGCAACCTACAATCAGTTGTCCGGGTCAACCAATACTAATTTGCAATACATCATGCCCGCTGGTACTACCAACTCTCTCAACTCACCTAACAGTGGCGCCTCATGCATGTCTCACTTGATCTAGCCAATCAATAAGAACCTTCCCTACACTACTTTGCTTTAAGCCCATGGGCGTACTCGCCAGAAATAACGGTATTGAAATTTTGGGTTACAGTCGCACCTCGCTATACCTGACGGTCAAGATTCGCTCCGCTTCATCCGGGATAGCAAATTGTCCGGGATAGCAAAGTGATCCAGAAAAAGCAAACTTGAAGTGTCGCCCGGAGCTGGAGATGAAGGTAGAGTAGCAAACGGAGAGTTGGGTAGCAAACGCGTAAATGATTGAAAATATTGTAGTTATAAACCCGTTCCAGAGTGAGATTTTAGTCCGCTATCACGATCCATCTGTTCAAATGCCTCCAACCCGCAGACAAAATGCTGGCACTGGCAATATTGCCGGGTTTACACTCCTTCAAAAGTATCAACTGTGCAAACTACGAGAAAAATTCCCTACTATGAAGTTATCACAATTTGCTGTTTTAGATGAGTGTTTTCAAAGACCAGATGGACGGCCTCTTGCTGTTTCTAGGCTATCCGACCATTTGTAGGGGTGGGAAGCAAAAGTGAAGGAGGATCCGCCAACGGGTCCAGGTGCACAAAAGAAGAAATCACGAGCCGCTCAATATCCTTTTTTCGAACACTTTTTGGCACTTTGGATCGATGCAGCAGAGTTGGAAAGAATTGTGATAACTGACGACATTATACGATCACAAGGAAAGGTAATTCAACAAGAGCTTTTACGGGCTTGTGTAACAGAAAACTATGATGGCTTTGAATTCTCCGGCGGCTGGTTGGCCAATTTCAAAGGTAGATACAATATTGGCAGGCTTAAACGGCATGGTGAAGCTGGGCAGGTTGATGAATGCACATTACCAATTCACCGTCAACGTCTTTCAGAGTTATTGGAGCTATTTGCACCGGACGATCGATATAATTGCGACGAAAGCGGTTTGGTTTATAATAAGCAGCCACAGAGTTCAAATGTTCGCAAAGATAAAGGCAAATCATTATCTGGTGGCAAGGATTCCAAGCTCCGAATCTCAACCCTTCATATTGTCAACTCAACCGGTACAGACAAACGCAAACTTTGGGTCATTTCAAAATCCAAAGAGCCTCACGCATTCAAACAAAATCGCATAAATCCTGCCAATCTACCGGTAAATTACAGGTACAACAAAAAGGCATGGTTGCTTACTGGTATTTGGTATGATTTTTTACGCACCTTGAATACCCAAATGCGCATTGAACAACGGCATATCGCCCTGATTACCGACAACTGTTCGACGCACCCCAATTCTCTCCGACCATCAAATAATTATTCAGGCCCTCCCCCGCCTGTACTCACCAATATCACCTTGATATACCCACCACCAAATACTATATCTCGTCTCCAGCTACTTGATCAAGGTATTATCAAAGCCTTTAAGGCTACGTACTGCAGACACTATGCTGACAACATGGTTCAACACTTCAATCAGAATGGTGTTACGCCTCAACGCCTTGATATTCTGCAGGCGATACATCTAATTGCAAGAGCGTGGGATTCAATTTCAACAGAGACAATTGTTAACTGTTGGAGGAAGGCCGGAATTTGTGGACAGGACTATCAAAATCAAGAACGCACTCTCGATGATCAATTACAGCACTTTGTCGCGCAGCAGCGCACCTATTGTCAGATCGCAATGCGCCAAATCTTTGATCCACTATCAAGCTTTCAGACTCCAGATCCAAATTAGGCGCCGGCATTTGATAAATTCTTCACATTTGATGAAGACACACCCGAGGTACTCAACAAAGATCAGCCTACTACAACTTTTCCGAATCCTGTCCAAATGGTTCAAGCTGGTGTAGCGAGCGGTATTTTACTACGCGACCCATCACAGTTTGACAATAACCCCGAAATGGATGAAGATTTGGTGTTAAACCATTCCAGCGCTGTAGGCGAGAACCCACTTGAATCGCCAATCGCTACTATTGATGGAGCGATACATTATGCAAATGACCTTTCCCGATACCTTCAAGCATTAAAAATCACTGAATTACATACACCGAGTGGAAAAGAGTTACCGGTTTCTGAGATTGTGAATCGGACATCAAACTTGCGAATTGCTTTGATTAGGTATTTGATTGGTATTCCTAGTCCACTACCAGAATCAATCCTAACAGTCGCAGGCACAAACATACATCAAATATTTTTCAAACAAAGATCAACAGGTTCTTCAGTGGTAGCCTACAGTCTTACAAGAATGGAGGCGCGACAGCTCCGTCCATTGCGATAAGGTCTGAACTTGAATCACGCACCGTATATAACGATGAAGCAGCACAGCTATAGTATCCGTTGGAGGATCAAGATGCAGATGACAGTAAAATAGAGAAGATTGACTCATATCAGTCTGTCTCTATTGAATGTCAGTGGAGTCAGGAGGGGGTAGATGGAGCGTATCGAAAATTGTCTGAATTGTGATATCGGAGAGTTGTGGGTACTGTTTTCTCTTATTGCCTGATGGAAAGAAATAGAGGGTGAAATCTGATACCACCGTTAGATTCGCACAGAAAATCTGATCTAAAAACATCTCTCATATGTTATATTTGGTTGCCTGTAGCTCTTGATAGTCATAAGATTCTTTGCTTGATATTTTTCTGTTCAAATAAAAAGCAAATGGACTTATATTTCAACGATGGGCAATCGGACAGGAAAACGGGCTCAAGGAGAAGATTGGCCTTCAAATTCTGATCTAAAAGCATCTCTGTTACAATAGGATACCTTCTCTATAGACTCTTTTATTGAGAGATACGAAAAATTCCACAACTTACATGAGAAATTAATTCTTATTTACCCTCACAAGTCAACAACCAGCCATCGCGGATAGAATCTGATTTCATGATTAGAACCGAATTAAAAAATAGATATAAAAACATTCCTCATACAATAGGATACCTTATCTGAATATCTTGTTATTGCAGGATATGAAAACCCTCGAAAATATGAAACTTTATTGATGATTTTCCCTTATAGCTCAACAACCAGCCATCGCAGGTGAGATCTGACTATATGGTTGGAACCGCGCCAAAAAATACACCTAGAAACATCTCTCACTTGTATGTCTCCCTTTGTCAAATATGAAGTTATGTTGGAAGGTGTAACCCCTCGAGATCTTGAGAAGGCCAACCCTAACCCTGGCAATGACTACAACTGCAACCTGGCAACAACCATTGCAACCACAAAACCTACAACCAAATCCGGGATAGCAAAAATAATTTATGTATAGACAGGGGTAAACTATCCTCAAAATTCACATCCGGTACGAACTGGTTAAAATCCGGGGTAGCAAATTCATTTGGGTGAAAAAAAGAAGTCTCCACCAAATCCATCCGGGATAGCAAAGGATCCAGTATATTGAGTTCCACCATAGCGAGGTGTGACTGTATTCATTATAGGAAAACTGGGTAGCCAATCAAACAAGCCTACTGGTTTGGCAAGTAATACAAGGTGGTATTGATCGCTAGCTGCAGTGTAATAATTGATTCAATTTAGAAATCCTATGTTCCAATGTCTAGCACATAGGTCCTATTATATTCTATATACATCCACTTTTTTAGCGAGATGAAAGCTAAAACTATGAACCTCAGCACTACGGCATTTACATATTACATGTGCATAAATGATTGATTGTATTATATATATTCAGGATGCGAAAAAAGAAAAAAGAAAAGGATGGCGAGGTCGAGTGCCTCTCCTTCATAATATTGTGTAGCATTACTTTCTCAGCCTCATATGCATCTCAGTTCCATAGATATTCCTTCTCAACTCCTAGGCACATCACTAATTAGGAAAGCTCTGTTTTACTCCGATGACCAAGTTGATAATTTGGCCAATTGCGTACTCAGTCTGTCAAGATTGACTGATAGATTGACCCATTAAAAAAGTCAATATTAAGTTGATTGGCACGATCCGTTAAGGAAGTTGGTATCACTCACCCTGTTTACACATATACGTAATGTATTGAATGCCTATATCAAAACCAGGCTTTACAATTGACAAACATTGAATAATCTGTTCTTTTTGATATTAGATTGCGTACTCAGTTGAGTTTTGTTTCACAACTAACTATACTGATATAGAATCTCAGTTATGGAATCTGAAGTAGTTTTTGTCTCAAGTCCTAATTCTGGATATCGGGTGGGTGGGTGTGGTGCAAATAGGTTATCTCTGACGGTTCCAAATGTTGATTATGAGTGGGAGGGTGGGTGTGGTGTAAATGAGTTGTATCTAACGGTTCCAAATGTTAGTTATGAGTGGGAGGGTTGGTTTGCTAGTATGGGTGTGGTGGGTGGGTAGGTGTCGTGAGTGGGTGGGTATGGTGCAAATGAGTTATATCTAACGGTTCCAAATGTTGGTTATGATTGGGAGGGTTGGTTTGGTGGTGTGGGTATCGTGGGTATCGTGGGTACGGCGGGTACGGTAATATTAGTTGATGTGAAGAGTTTAATCATTGGTTAGGGTGGTGAGGAATAGTTAAGTGAGCTGTTTAGAGGATATATATATACCCAATCAATTTTCCCCACCTTTACATCAAGTGTCTTACTTCCAATCTGTTGTCTCTTCAGTTCACAATCAATCATGGCTGGTAATCCTTCTCAATTGGCGGGCCCATTCAGTGACACCACAAGAGTTGCCTTTAACCTTTACATTGCGGATCCTATAAGCCGGAATAGATTTTACATTAGTGAGTCGGACTATGTTATGCTTACTGACTTCTATCTCAACCCGACCAAGTCTGCAAAGACTGTGAAGGCAGACAACCTCAAGTACCGTTCCAAAACCGAATTTGTTCTGAAAGAGGGTAGGCTCCAGAAGAGAATTGGAGATGGGGATTTGTGGTATGTGGTGAGACCAAATGAGGTTTTTGATATCATAACAAGTGCACGTTGCAGCAACCAGCTCCCAGGCATCGATAAAACGTACAAGAACATTAGAGAATGTTATTTCGGGATTGTTCGTTCTGAGATAGCTTGGTTGCTAGCATACTGCTTCATATATGCCTCAAAGCCTGTTTCTAAAATCCATGCACCTCTGCTACCACTTGTTGTCAATAATCTTTTCGAGAGAGTGCAAATTGATTCGATCGATATGCGGAGTGATTCTGATGGAGACTTCAGATAGATATGTTACTTGCAGGACAATTTTAGTAAATACTCGAGTGCAGAACCTTTGAGAACAAAGAGTAGTGATAAGGTTACATTTGTGGTAGTGACTTAGATCAAATTCTTTGGACCTTCGATCATCCTGCAGTGTGATAATGGTAGTGAGTTTAAAGGTAAGTACAACCGAAACTCCATTCATATATATCACTTACACTTGCCTAATATTCCACTGAAACTGCTGGTTCAGTACTAATATATATTTGGTAGGGGCTTTGCTTACTATTTTGCAAAAGTTCGGGATTAAGATTATCAATGGAAGGCCTAGACATCTACAGTCTCAGGCACTCATCGAGTAAGCTAATGAGGTGTTGAAACAAAAGATAGCATAATAGAGGGTGAACAACCAGAGTATATCGTCGACTATAGCACTGACTGAAGCAATACATTCAATGAATAGACAATATCAGACTACTACCCGTAACACACCGTATGAGATAGTCTTCAAGCAACATCCCAACCCAAACAACCGTATCCTTCCAAGATTCCGTGAATATGCACAGGTCAAAGATAGGTCAGTTGCTGATATCAATATGATAGTAAGTTGACTCTTCTAGTCTAACACCTTTGGTTTGACTGCTAATAATATATAGAAGATAAAGAGACTGCACAGTAATGCAACTCAGGTTGACAATTCAATTCCCATCGGCCCTACTGTACTCAACTCAACTCACGAGATTGAACCAATTGAATAATTGATTCTATATGACAGAGATAATACTGAAATTGAACGGAGAAGGATGGGAGAGAGAAGCTCAAAAAGATATATGGAGGATGTATTCAGTATCGGTAATATAGTTAGTGTTCATATACCTACTAAAGACCGTCAACCAACCGACTCATGCCGACTGATCGGGGTTATCCATTACAAACCACACCCAAAACGCTACCATATCAAGACAAGGTTTAGTGTACCGGCCACTACTTTGATAGCAAAAGACATCGAGCGGTTACCAGATACCATTGAAGTCAATATTCCTATCAATAATACTAATAAATGGATCGGACTTGGTATGGCTGCAAGACTGACAGCGAGGTTGAATGATAGTCAGATATATGCTCTCTTCCTAACAATCCTATATCTATATCGAATTGTTACTAATCTGTATATGCAATCCCAATAGATCCGTTGTGACTGTCGAGGACCATTTAGGTCAAACAGGTGTATCTGTGTTCATTGTAATGAGCTGTGCAGTAAGTGTTGTCATTTCTCCAGGGCTGGAGGGAAGAGCCTATGTGGGAACTGAATGAGTGAGGAAATGGAAGATTTCAATGATTCACCATACGAGGACCTGAATGAGGATGATTCGTAGACACCAGTTAATACTGAATTTGCGGTGGAGGACCCTCGAAGATTTCAGGTCATGTTACAATCATCTAAAGCTTTGGAATCTACAACTGCCAATCCAATCAGGATCCAGCAGCAATCATATGATAGCCCTCAAGCTCCTCTAACTGTCTCTTCTATGATGGAATATATGCTGCCTTCAAGTCCGATATAAGACTCAATTACTGTTGCTACTCCAGCTGTCAATGAGCTCGAGATTGGATATCATAGTTCACAGAGCACGAGAAGTAGGAAGGGATTAGGAGGAATTAAGGTGGCGTAAAGCGGAGGGGTAGCCAAGAGAGTAATGTCAACTCAAAGAAGAAAGTGAACGGTTTTAAATATACTGTTGGATAATAAAAACATGGGAAAACGTTCAGAATACTATGGTTCTTGGCCGAAACTATGCCAACTACCACCCTTGGCTGGAACAGCGAGAGTACTGACCCTTTAGTCTCCTTTCCTTAATCAAAAAAAAAACTATTTTTATCCTCCAAATAATGTTGTTCGCTACCACCTTTCTGTTTTCAGTTTCATTCCATTTCGCCCCGTTTTGTTTGTTTCATTTCGTTTGGCTAATTGGTTTCTAGTACCCCATTTACTATTGTACAGGTCTTTCCCCGCCTGCTGCTGATCGCCCGCTGCCTCTGCTACTGCTGCTAGAGCTCGACCGCTGCCGCTCCTGCTCCTGCTGCCACTGCTGCTAGAGCTCGACTACTGCCTCTCCTGCTCCTGCTGCCCGTCCCGTGTTTTAGCGATGGCTCCCGCAGATGACTTCCCTGAATAGCTTCCCCACTGGCAGATGACTTCTCAGGAATTGCTATTCTGAACATATATACTATTGGATTGGGATCTTTAATAAATCATTCTTTCAACGGTTTCTGGTTGACATCCACGGATGAGAGGCTATAATAGCATTATGATATAGGAACCCGATCGCGCAATTCTGCTATAAATTGAGAACAATTTCACGTCTCTTCGTACTTATTACCATTCCCATTCTGAGTCCGAAAGCACTTTTTCTAATATTGCCCTACCTTTCCCTTGTCTCCTACTGCATATCAAATCACTCGAATTTTCAACTTTTAAGCGATACTTCCAATCAATGCTATCAACTTCGATTCAATTGGGACAACTCATCAGCTTTGCCGAACTCAAAGCTGCGATTGAGGATTGGACAATTGCAGATAAATTTGAAATACGCGTTCAAGTGAAAGATAGGGTACGAGCAGACTATCGATACAAAACACTCACGTGTCTATGGAGAGTCTATGCTCGCGCAATGCCAATAGACGATATTAAAGTCAGTATCCTAGTTTCCGCTCATACCTGTATTGGAGAAGCTTCATTCTCGCGAGCTTTACAAAATACCCAATCATGGCTTCATCGAGAAATCCCAAAGCATATCAACGTTACCAAACGGACTACTGTACGAGAGGTTATCGATTCGGTACAGATACACCACCAAGTTGAAGTCAACTATCAAGCGACACATGACGCTTTGTCGGCATTGACAAATAATGCCTTGGATTACGAGCAAAATTCCTATCATCGCCTCCCTACATACATTGAGAAACTTCGAGAAACAAACCCAGATGTGTATGTAAATCTTCAAAGCATACATGATGGGGAATTTACACAGTTCCACCGTATCTTTATCTCCCCTCATCAAGTGCGACTCTCCTTTCAACGTTGTCGATGATTTATTGCAGTTGATGGCACTTTCTGCAAGTCACGTTTTGTTCAAAGCCTGTTAGCTGCAGTAACAATTGACGCTGATGATCACATATTGGTTCTCGCTTGGGCAGTTGTAGAGTCTGAAAATCAGGAATCCTGGTTATACTTCATGTCGCATTTGAAGCAAGCTATACCTTTGATTATGGAAGGCTCAACGATAATTTGTGACCGTAACAAAGGATTAATGATTGCGATTGATTCTTTGGGTCCCGGTGTGTTCCCAGCTCACTGTTGTTTTCATTTACACGACAACTTCAAGACGCGCTTCGGTACACGCATAACAGAATTTTATTTTTCGAAGATTGCAAACGCGAAATCTGAAGATCAATACCATCAACATATGAATAGCTTACGTGCAGAGAAACCTATTGCTGCAGATTATTTATCTTCTATAGACAAACATTTATGGGTTACAGCGTTTTTTCAAGGGTGTCGTTATGGTCATAATACATCAAATATCGTCGAGTCATTCAATAAGAGTATCAAACTAGAACGCGAGCTCTCGGTATTGGATTTGCTTAACGAAATATGGCATTCTCAAATGGCGCAGCGATTTAAGAGAAAACGAGAAGCAGAGACATACCCGTTGGGGTTTCCAAAACAGTGTTTAACTGAAGCCGAAACTAGCAGAATATGGGCACAAAGCAATACTGTTCGTATGGCTGGTATTCATGGAGGGGAGGTGCAGCAACGCGCAAATAGGGAAGAAAACCGTACAACACATATTGTGAATTGTAGGTACATTCTTTGTAAAATCAATTGCAGTGGCAAATACTGATCAAAATTTAGTGGATACCCGAAGATGCACCTGTTTGCTCTATCAAGAGAATGGAATTCCTTGTACTCATACGTGGGCCTGCATTTTAGCCATACAACAAGCACCTGTCAATTACTTTCCCCCTGCTCTTTCAACAGCTACATGGAGGGCTACCTATCGTGAGAATTGGAATCTCGTCAGTATTGAGCCAGAAGATTTGGCATTCAACCCGGTTTTTTTCCCTCCAGTGACTCAGTGGCAACCCGGCCGACCCAAGAAAAAGCGGGCCGAAAGAGTTGACCGTGGTATTGCAGCCTTGAATTATGCTCGCCGAGCAAATGGGGAGGAAATCCCGGCAGGTACCCAACAAAAATGTGGTACCTGCAAAGAAGGTGGTCACAACTCTCATTCCTGTAAAAACTCACACTCATAATTTCATTTTTTACTTGCATGTCTCATTTATTTTCTTGTATTTATACCTGCATACAATTAAGCCTCACAATTTACTCTTTTTAGAAAGAAAGGGTCAGTGCTCTCGCTGTTCCAGCCAAGGGTGGTAGTTGGCATAGTTTCGGCCAAGAACCATGGTATTCTGAACGTTTTCCCTAAAAACATTATCCTCATATGTTATTTCTCAGATATTCATCAATTATACCTCTTAACCATTTTATGTATTTTTAGCACATTGAACACATTCTCATCTACATAACTCATTATTGAAAGAATAAAATATATCTCATGTATCTCAGTCGATAAGTAAATATCTCGGGTGAGTGCAGCTGTGCTGTGGCAGGCATAGCTGTACCCGGCCGGGTCCAGCTGCCAATACAGCCTACCAGGACGAGTACAGCTGTACGGGGATGAGTACAGCTTGCAGGGGCCAGCACAGCCTACCAGGGTGAGCACAGCTTACCAGGGCATGCACAGCTGTACTGGGGCGAGCAGAGCTGTACTGGGGCGAGTACGGCGGCTAATACAACTTACCAGGGCGAACAACGCCATGCTGTGGTGAGCACAGCTTACCGGGCGAGCACAGCTGTACTGGGGCGACTACGGCTGCTAATACAACTTACCAGGGCGAACAAAGCCATGCTGGGGCAAGCACAGCCTACCAGGGTGAGCACAGCTTACCAGGGCATGCACAGCTGTACTGGGGCGAGCAGAGCTGTACTGGGGCGAGTACGGCGGCTAATACAACTTACCAGGGCGAACAACGCCATGCTGTAGTGAGCACAGCTTACCGGGCGAGCACAGCTGTACTGGGGCGACTACGGCTGCTAATACAACTTACCAGGGCGAACAAAGCCATCCTGGGGCAAGCACAACTTACCTGGGCGAGCACAGCTTACCTGGGCGAGCACAGCTTACCTGGGCGAGCACAGCTTACCTGGGCGAGCACAGCTTACCTGGGCGAGCACAGCTTACCTGGGCGAGCACAGCTTACCTGGGCGAGTACAGCTGTACTGGGGCGATGTAACGGCGTATATCGACTAAGGTAGAAGGTCGGGAAGGAGTGTGATTATTACTCGGGTTTTCGTTTGTTATGTTTTATTCTTGTGTTTTGGATTACGTTGGGTTCTAGTTTCTATGGATTTCTGTCGTACGGATTAGTCAGTGATATTCGGAGGATATATATATGGTTTCGTTTGGCCTTTTTACTTTTCTTCTTTTCTCCTTATCCGAACTTCCTGTTCTCAACCCTCATCATAGCTAGTATTCGACACATGGGTATTTTAACATCTTTTTAACCTGTATATTAACAAAAAATGAGAATGTAAAGATAACAGTTATCGATATTTTATGTTGTAGTCCTGATCTTGTCATTCTAGGATGTTATTAACCAACTTGAACCAAAGAATTTGATTCATAACCGC